GTATTCCAATCGAGTGCATTAATAATCGGACAATTACGCAAGAAAGTAAGTTCGACTATAAAAAATCCACTATCGGTTAATACGTTCAAATTACATATAAATGGGAATGAAATAGAAAAATATGTAATTGAGTAAATAATAAAAGAAAAGAAGAAAGAAGAATAAAGAATAAAGAAAATAAATGAAAGATAATAAATTGTTGTGCTTTTTAAAATAGTGCTAAACACTGTGTGATCAAAAATGTATAAAAATTACAAATTAAAGTAACAATACGACGATATAAAATAATTGCAAAATTAAAGAGAAAGAGAGAGGGAGAGAAGAAACAAATAGCCGCAAAAATAAAAAAAATATAATAAAGTGTATATGAAAATATAGTAAGGATACGTAAATTTCATAGGATTTTATAGCAAGCCTTCTTGTTTAAGTAATAAAGAAACAGAGAGATTGATAATCCGAGATACTCGAAGGTAAATAAATATATGTGCTGACCCCGATATAGAGAGATGGAAGAAAAATTTTGTTTATATTACAATAGGTAAGGACGTACGCACAAAAATAATAGGGCGTATTGAAAAGTCTGCGTCAATACACATTTCAGAGTTTTACACCCTCCCGAAGAGATTCATCATGATACAACCTTACTACGAAACTTTTTGTGTCCTAATAACATCTACAGAAAAAATATCACAGATCATACACGAGTCTCGTAAGGCATAGATCTATGCACGAACCCATGCGCATACAAAGTCACGACTTTTTATCGAGAGCCACGATATCCAGGAAATATTCGCAGGTAAAATTGTACCAAATTGTACTCTTCTTCATATTGGAGCGATCGGCAGGTAATAGTTTTCATGTATTTTTTCTGTAAGTAAATTTCGCGTCCCACGGAAATATTCAGGAATATACTTTGAATACCCAGAGCAGTATCTACTGTCTAATATAGACCTACCAATCCACAACATGGATTTTCGATTTTTTCACGAATATTTCAAAATTCTATTTTTGACAATAATTACGTATTTTTTTATTAAAATTATATTTTATATGAGTTTGTTGCTTCCTCGTATACGCAAATATCTTGATATATGTATCTCTACATATACATATATATATATATTTGCGTTATTAAAAATAAATAAGTATTTGAAATTATGGAAACGATTAATATATAATAAAATGTGTCGTACGTAAGATATTTTAATATTTTATGTGGCATTGATTTTTTTTCTTATATAAAATTTTATATTTATTAGCAAGAGTATTAAAAAAGTGTCGTGCTACTTGAGATATAAGCATAGAAATCTGAGAATATAGAGATCAGAGATTTATACAATCATTTTGCGACGCAATTAATAAATAACTGTCCTGTATTTGTGTATACGCGTATAATAATAAACAGTCGCGTGCGTACAAATATGTATGTGTGTGTGTTTATACATACATATACATATAGAAAGAGAGAGAGATAGGTAGATAGATAGACAGATAGATAGATAGATAGATAGATAGAAATAGAGGAAAAGACAACAGTCAATAACCAGTCACAAAGTACCTTTTAGTCGAGTTAGCGAGCTTCTCTCTACGCTCAGGGTCAGACTGAAACAGACATCATGACGCGTCATTTTTAACGCGATTCATTAACACAGTCGTTGATTGGTAGGTAAGTTGGATAGCTTGATAGATTAACAGATCGAAAGATATCGATAGAGAATTGGTTACCCGATAAATTTGCCTCGTGATATGATATGAGTAAAAGATGAACGCGAAAATTACTTGCGACAAGATGCATACAAGAATCTGATTATTACGTGGCACTATCGTCGCTCATTAATTACGACAAACGCTCTCTCGCGTCGTCTTTTATTTTGTGTATTTTCTATGTAATATGTATAAAGCATACGATTTTGATAATATACAGAAAATTATGTTTAATTAAATTATGTTTAATTATGTTTAATTAAAAAATTAATTAAATTTAATTGTGCGGAGAAAAAAAAATGTGCCAAAACTGTCCGTTTACATATTTTAATGATTGTTTCCTCAAAAAACTTTGAGATATATTTTGGCAAAAATATTACGGTTATAATATTCATGTAAATGTGTTATATTCGGTGACTTCTTATTTACAACATTAATTATCTCGACCAAAAAGGATAAAAATTTCTAAGCTGAGATTATTTAAAGAATTGATACAGCAACAAGAATTTCTTAATATTACATGTGTCTTTGAGTATTTAATTAGTCAAAACTCTTTATATTTCTGTCACTTATATCTCAAAAAGCATTTACATTTATTAATTTAAAAATAATGAAAAAGCAGCAACTTTTTCGTTCAATCTTTAATAGATAAATAGTCATTTGTAAAGTAAACATATGTGTCGGGCATTTTGGCATATTTACAAGTGATATGCTATAAAAGAACGCATCGCTATGATGGTTTAATCTTCCTGAATATACATATTTGTGAAATATATATCATATTTTCATTTAGACATTCTTCTGGATACTAATTGTCCAAATGACGATTTTTTAATAAAGTCGTGCGCTTTGCTGCGTGAGCTCAATTAGCATGATTATTTCTCAGAAGAACGAAATAATATCGTAGAATCGTTTCGAAGAAAAGTATCGATTAACTTGTGTTTTGCATGCAATCCTTTCTATAAACATTCATATAAGCGTCTAATTAACGACGCGTCATATTTAATTAGATGGCAAAGATAAATGTATCAAATATTATTTTATATATATATATATATATATATATATACATATATAATGTTTGATACATTTATCAAATAAATTTTAACAAAGATTACTGCTTTAAAAAATAACACGGGTCTCGCATAAAAGATTTCAACGTAAAAAGAATCGAATGCTATGTTTCAGATTTCTTATTTCACATTAATTTGCTTATTCGATGGGTCAGCAAATTTATGTATTTTGGACTCATCGTACATTAAACACACACACATCGAAAATATGAAAACTTGAACTAAATTTTTATTAAAACTTGAATCAAAATTTCAAAGAGTAAATATATAAAAATATATATTGCGTATTAATTGAATTATTTAAAGTACACTAAAATGGCACAGGATTTTCAATAATTAAATATAATATCGTTATCTATCTAAGTAAATCACTGTAGAAGAGAGAAAGAAGATTAGATAGATTATGATTTTTTAAATTTATACCGCATATTTTCGGGTAAATAATTTTTTTAAAAAGCAGACTTATTAAAAAAGAGATTAATTAATAAAAATTCCTTCTGTTATGTTATTAACTTAAATTTATATATATATTTTGTTACGCTTTCTCATCATTCTAATTTTCATTTCATATATCAATATTAATATATTAATGTTAAACACAAATGTTAAAAAATTAAGTTAACTTAAGAAATTATACTCATTGAATAAATTACAAGTTAATATGACATTGAGAGAAAATATTTATTGAAATATAAACTCGTCACAATAAAAAGTATAAAAGTTGAAAATGAATATTTATTAAGTACTATATATAAAGTTAATATAAATTTGAATAATCTATATAATTTAAAGTATTTTCTTGTAAAAATATTTTTTGATATGCACACATATTTATATTATGTTTTATGGAAAAGAATATAAATTCGAACCAATAATCATTGCGAACATTCAAATTCTGGATTTTTGAAAGATTTAAAACTTTTATTTAACTATTTTTAAATAAGAATAATTTTTGATATAAAAATGATAAATATATTAAGGAAAAAAATATATTTATTAACACAAATAATCATTCATCGCTTCTCGATATAATCGAGATATGCAATGATTAAATATCGATAAAATATTAATTTGATCCTCACTTAATGTGAAGCGCATTGATCGCTTTAAAAGCATCGGCTTGATATATTTCGATATTAGATATATGTTAATAAAATAATTGGGATTAATTATCAAACACATGCGTCCCAAAACCGTGCACGCACGTGGGAGACAGAGAAAGAGAGAAAGAGAAAGAGAGACAAATGGGGTAGGAGAGAAAGAAAGAAAAAAATTATTGGAAGAATGGAATCAAGAGAGTCGTGTCGTGTTCTATACAGCGTACCTCGATAAAAAAGATTGGTCGCGATTCGAAGATCGTTGATATCTCGCTCTTCGATGACTCATTTAAAAAATTATAGTGAAAATTGTAGATGTAAATATCTGTCTAATATTGAACGAAATCTATATCTCTGTAAAAGTATTTATTAATGCGATACACACGTTATTCGTGACATATTTAATTTTCGATTTTATATGTGTAAGGAATATTTTTTTTTATTCTCAATACACACGATCTTCATTTAAATCATTCAAAAATTTTGAGGTTTTAACACTTCTCACGAGTTGTAGCTACTTAAAAATTTTATATAGAATTCTTAATATTGATCGTAATTTTAAAAGTGTCTACACTTTATTATCCTATAAATTATAATATAAAACGGAAAAATATACGCGCCCAATTCTTGCAACTTACGTTTACACGAATCTTTCTACCTGCTGTAAGAGTTGTTAAAGATTGTCCGATCAAACCTTGTTAATCTATTTGTGTAACGAGTCTGCTTTACAAACTAAAACGAATTCGCAAGAACTGTTTGCGTGTATTTTCTTGTTTCTGACGATTCAAGATATAGCTGATGTGCATATTAATATATATATGTATCATCGATCTTAAAAATTTATACTAGAAAATCGTTTATACAATAAAAAGAATTCTTTTCGAAACTTTAACAGCGTCAGAGTCTATTATATAAAAAAATCTATTTTTGCGAAAAAAGAAAGTCTATTACTTGTTGTTAATTTTATCGCAGCATTTGTAATAAGTATTATTCGGTTTTCGTAGTATTAAAATATATAATATGATGTCTCGTCCATCCTTCTCATGCAAATTATCGGATAGGAGTCAGATTTTCGAGTAATTTGCAGCTTCAGTGAAGTAATTGGAAAAATCCAGTGAATACATACCCGTTTGCGAATGCGGAGATTCTATCCCACGATGTCCATCCTCCGGCCTAAGAACCGATGAAAATGTCGGCGCGCTCGAAACCGAGACTGTCGGCGGCTTTTCAGTCTTATCGTTTCTTATTAATTGATGAACCGGTGGTGGGCCTGCGCATAAAATGACGGATGGATATGGGTTGACTTTCAATTGATAAAACAAATGTAAAATCCGCTCGCGACAGCGTGAAATAAAGTCTAAAGTATTCGTTCAATTCATTGACAGCAATAAAAGTGGAATATACATCGTATAATATAAAACACACATAATATGATACACACGAGTCTTTTACTACATATGTAATTTGGATTTGACATTTGTCTTATTACTTGTGACATTATTATTGAGTTGTAAACAATATGTATGGTTGATTGCGTGCTCCACTCCATCTCGTCAACATAAAAGGGAAATGTATGTATTCGATAAAAGAAAACGGGATTATAGTTGGCAGCAATCCAGATATACTTATTGCTGAAATTTTTCCGTGCATATATCACACTCGAGAAAGTGGTCATTTTATTTTGATTGTAAATTTCGTCCGTTTACCGATTGGCAATATTGTCTGTATATTTCGCCGCATAAAATTAACATTGTTCGTTGCAACAAGATTCGATCGTCGAGTCTCTATTGTTCTTTCTAGTATTGTCCCATCTCTTTAATTATTTCTTGCTTTCTCGTCTTTTTACGTGTTTCATTTTTGCAAGGACAATATTGGAAAAAGTGACTATGACTCTTGCAAGATTAATGAGTGCGCAAGAAAAGCTGCTTGGGAAGAATGTACAACTTATTGTGTAAGATAAAAGATGTATCTTACAAGTAAATGCACACGCGCGCGTAACTTTTTCTCAAGTCGCAAGATTTACATCCAATCCGTAATTTACGAATTTAAAAAAATTCGAAAAAATTCGAGAGACGCAGAGTAAGAAATTTATTCCATCGAAATAATTGAAAGATACGAAAATTATGAACCGCGAAACGCGACGCGCGTAGCATAATTTCCAGATACTCGTGGACGATGGAGAGAAAGTTGCGGAAAGAGATTAAAGCGATAAAGCGGATTTTCCGGGGACGGAAATTTTCAATGACAGGGTCGACTCGACAGAAGAGGAGGAACATGTCCGATGCATGTAGATGGAATAAATAATTTCCGCGTTGGAAATTGGCGAGTCCTTTCCGCCTCTGCGACGTGAACTAGTTTAGCGAGCGTCGTGGACGGCGATGCCGCGGCTACCGCATTCGACCCCGACTCTGTCTACTAAAAATAAGGGCAAAGGCAGATTTTGAAACTCACTGAAGCTAGCCGCCGGCTGAACGTGATCCGCGGTCGTCGCTGCGGATGGAGGGGTGTAGCTGCTGCAGTAGTACGGCGGGTGCTCTATTTTGATCGCGTTTATTTGAGGCTGCATGTCGCTGAGGTCATGCAGTATGGACGCTGAAACCAGACACACATTAGCACGGTTCCTAGCGCGTTCGTACGTACGTGTCATTCGCTTTCGTTTGCACTCCCCGCAACGCAATCGCGAAAAACGGCGCTTCCGCGCGCGTTCGAACGAACGGGAGGGGAGAAAAATTTCTCTCGCCACCAAGACACCCGACACAGATGACACGATCGATGGTTCGATCGACGGATTTAATCTAACGCGGTCGCGCGCATCTAGAGTAGCAGCTATTAAATGCAAAAGAGTCGATTGAATTAAATTGGTGACCCTCGTTTCGATTTCCGAGACCCAGTGGCGTATCGCCACTCTGTCTGTTATTATTGCCAATGTTGAATCCACACCGAGGAGAATTCGCATACGACCTATTCCAAAAGGCTAACGGCCCGTTTTGAAAGTTTTTTTCTCGCAACTTACCTTGAAACGCACGGTTATATAACACGTATATGTATATTTCTTACAGATATGATAACGCAATTGAAGAAGAGAGATATATGTATATGTCAACGTTCGTAGCTATCAGGATGCTTTCAAAAGGTCTTTCACATCGAGCTGTTGGTCACCTTTCGAAAGCATCCACCAATCGCAAATGTACATGGACGATCTCGATAGAATTCAAAGAATACATCGAATTTATTAGACAAATGTACTAATAATTTAGTTGCATGCAATCAATGAAAGAGAACTCGTATTCGAATCTGTGAGAAATATAACGTCGTACCTTTTGAAAGCATCCAGAGCTCTTTGGAGCTGAAGACACCTGTCGCAAGGATCGTGTCATTGCAGACAACACCGTTATATAGTTCATGGTATCCTGTACCTGGGAACAGAACCCAGCGAATCATGTTTAATATCCGCTTAGATCCACGACTCGATACACGTACGAGTTTGGATGTCTATGAAAGTTTTATCTCAAAAATCGCAACATCAAGATAACATACGTGAACGCGCCAGTTTGAAGTTAACGGAACGAATATAATGCACGGAATAAATATATTGCATAAATGTAAACCGGAAAATCACGCGAGTACCTTTTCTACGCCTGTCTTCCTCCTTGCTAGCGTTGCAGATACCATTTAGAACCTCTGTAATAGAAAAAAAAATTTGTTTCATTAATAACGAAGCAAAAGAAGAGGCTATAGGAACCATAGACGCAGGTAATGGTGCGTGATAGTAATAATATATTATGATGGAAACTTTGAATAGGGTCATCGACAGTACATTTTAAATATATTTTTATGTATTTTTACGGTTCTTATTGTAAGATAATAACTTTACTTTATATACTTTAAGCTTCTATCATAATATATTATTACTATCACGCACCATTGCTTGCGCCTTTGGTTCCTAGCCTTCTTTTGCTTCTTATTTGATTTGTATCGTTTGAACCATTTTTACATTTTTATATTTTTACCTTTTTAATTAATAAGTTATTTAAAATAGTGACTGTATGTGTAATAGTACAAACACGCTTTATTTGTCTCTCTCTTTGTCTCTTTCTTTCTCTTACCATTCTTTGTTTGTTAAAATTTAAATATTTCGACTATTACGAGACTTATAATATCAAAATATTTAAATTGAGAAAATTACATAAAGCTGTTCTTTCCACGAAAAGCGTGTAATGTTTTCACTGTTGCACGGTGTTTTATACCACCGCGTTTTAAATCTCATTACGCAACGTATCACCGAAATACTCGAGGGTCCGGAATGTACGGCGATTTCGCGAGGATTGAGAGGGGTAAAAAAAGGTTGCTTTTTACATCAATAAGAACTCTAGTTTTGAAGTGAGTGCTATAAAACGTCGAAAAATTAAATATCTGCTTTCGTGTCGTCGCATCATTCGGCAAGATTTTTTTTTTTTAACGAGAGAGAACAATCATTCAAAATGTCATTCAAAAAAGATTATAAAATTTAATCTCCTTCTCTTCTTCTCTTTCTCTTAAATATTCGAAAATTTAAGATTCGAATTATATTAAAATAAAATAATGTCAAAGACAAAGCTTTGTTAAATTCGTGTAATCCAATAAGATGTGTCTGTCGCGAGGAAAAAAGTCTCTTAAAGAGTCTGAATCTCTCTCTTCTTCTCTCTCAATTTTTATCGCTTGATTTCTTAAATAAATAGACTCTAATCTTTATGAGAGATTCCCAGTGATCTACTTTGCTTCGCAATTTCGATGCACAATGAGCGTATCGCTTCGATATTCGAAAATCAATCGGAATGACATGCAACGATTTCGCACAGGTACAAAAATATTCAGGTATTTTCAGTGGCATGAAAGAAAATCAACGTATAAGCGAAGCTCTGTGAGCTCGCTAAAGATGTCCGTTGCCTATTTATTTATAGAGCGAGCATACACAGCGGCAAGCATGGTCACGCGCTTGCGTGCACATTTTCTCTACACTCTTCATTCGCGCTCGCGCAGCACGTAAGAGACACACGCACACAGCAACACGCGATAATATATATCAAAACATGCTCGGATATTTTATTGTGCCGATATAAATACTTTAAGCACTCTACAGGAAGCACTCTGCTCGTCGGAAGAAAAATTCTTTCCAAAAAAAGACGGAGAAGACTATACGTTTATCTCTACATATATTTAATTCAATAAAATGTTCGTCTGTACTCGCTCTATAAATAAATAATATTCAAATTAATTATGAGATTAATATTAAAAGAGAAACAAAAATTAAAAGAATATTAATGGCAACTCTTGTATTATGCCAATATTAATCTTCTTTTTTACTTTAATATTAATTGATTTCAATTTAAATTGATAAAATCTTAATCAAGCTGTAAACAACATAAAAAGAGGAAGAAAACACATATCTTTATGTATATTTGTCGTTTCTCGTTTCACATCGCTATAGTCGTGTTCGATGTTTCGTTTCATTTTAGCCGAATAGTTTGAAAAATTGGAATGAAAGAGATCATACGTCATGTCGTCGCTCTAATAATTTTATTACGCGTGACACTTGCTTTCGCGTTATACCCGAAATATACGAAATTTCGCCAACTACGCTCTTTGCTCAGTTTATAATAGCATGTTCTATTAAAGGACTACCTACAACTACGTTCCTCGTGCTGGAAATTACGTTTCACTCTAAAATATACTCGTTAGAAATATTTGACGATTGTAAGACAAATATTTGCAATCAATGAATATCTTTCATTTAGTTTACATAAATATTAATGCTACATTTTCTCGTTTTGCTGTCACTTTGGATTTGATTTTTCAAATCCCAAGAAGCGAATCGGCTCATTGAAAATGCTCTTTCGATCAATCGGACAAATTATTAATCGTGAATCTCCCTTACCATGACTCGTGATAAAATTTGCGAGATAGAGATCCAGCTCCCGGACGGAAACGTTGATGTGATAAGGATTGACGCAGAGTCCTGGTTGCGCGCACTCCGCAGTCTTCTCTAGCCGTTCTCCATCCGTCGATTCCAAGGGAATTGCCTTGAAAAGGATCACCATAACTAGGTCCAACCTCCATACCTATCGCAGGAGAAAATGAAAACGTTGGTTACGATCGTCGCGCAAGTTCTTGGAGCTAATTCTCAGCAATTTTGCGTTAAACACTCGTGCTTTTCACTTGTCTCGTTTAATGAAAAGCGATACGAGTCGTTGGAATAACACGTGAAAGATCCTAACGAGAGAAACGAAAGCATTCCTAGCGAAATTCGAATCATCTCGACATACCTTATCCGCTTGACGAAGGCAATCGATTCGACGCATTTTGCCTTTCTGATCAGGATTGCTTAAAACACACATCGCTGGTCTTTTCCCCGTAATACTCAGCACGAAATCCTCTCGATATTCTTGCGTGATATCCTTCCGTAACTTTCCGAGAAGCCGCGAGGCCCATTTCTGTTTTACTTCCAGCTTCTCGTTCTAGAGGAAGGAAAGAGCGATTGTAGATTTCGCAAAACACCAATCGATGTAATCAATGAATAATTCTTCGCGCCAATTATCATATGCTGCTTATGATCGTGGGAATATTTATTTATTATATATTTAACGGTATAATCTCTTATTAAATCGAATGATATACCTATCAAATTAGACATTCTTCAAAGAAGAGTCCACAATTGTACAAAAAAAAATGCCATTCGCCACGTCTCGATACTGGTCCCACCTTTCCGTTACATGTAGCGGGACAATTCGAAAGTATCTCGATGTGAAAATTTCGTCGAGTTTGTAAAGCTTGTAACGAGAATAGCGACTAGCGAACAATCTCGAGGAGGAACGTCTTTCGGGCGAGCGATATGCAGCGCACGCGTGCGACCCTCGTCACACTCGGAATAGCAAATATACACGCATGCATAAGATCCCTGAGAAATGCATCGAAAGTGCGTGGAATGCATCGGAGAGAACGCTCCGCGCGATCTATCTCGCCTAGCCCGTTTTTGCCGTGCACGTATTCCCTTTGGGGACAACAAATTTTTTTCTAGCTCACTAAACCGCCGTAGCCGTCGTCGTAATTCGCATTTCGATATATTCCCAACATTAATAATCGTCGGAGATATCGAAATCGCAATGTTATGCGTCACAGCTGATTACGGATGATATAGTTGAACGCGATAACGCTTGGCTTTTACTAATCGTAAAAGATAAAACTGGAACAATTATTGTATAATAAAAGAATAAAAAAATATAAACGGAAATTGCAATTAAATTAAAAAAATATCTAGCAGAGGAGAAGTCGATTCCTCCATCAATGATTAAATTAATAACTGCACACACGCGGATGTGAAACAACAAAGTTGATCGATATAAAAATTTGGCAGGGCTATTATTAATTAAGTGTAACAAGTGTTGAACGGTAATAAATTGGCAATCAATTTTACCGTAGCGGACGAAAGAGTAGAGCCAGGTAGCGAGGAAACGCGTATGCGAGACTGTCACGCGCCTCGACATTTCTTCGCGCGTGTGAATAAAATGTCAGGCACGTTTTTGCGCGAATAAAGCGCGGATAAGAGTGCATTCGCGCGCTTTTGCTCGCGATGCGCCACGCTTGGAGAAAGCGTCGCCGTCGCACACGCGTTTAACGTTGCGTCCTGCGTGCATACTCGATATCAGGTATGCCGAATGCGAAGGAGAGCCTTCGTGTTCACGAGAATTGTGTTCAACGAGAGAGCGCGTAACACCGTGACATGCGTACGCATGCTACCTTCCCAAAGGCGCGGCTTACTCGTTGCCGGATGACTCGCCCAGTGATTCCGATGATTGCTTTTTTCCCTAATCTCTGCTCCGAGTATGATGCGCCGAAAAAATTTCATTACGCAATCGCAAACACCTCGCGTATCAATTTTATTTCACGTTTTTTTGGAGTATTTCGTTAAGCTATATAAGATCAATCTCGCTCGTATGCGCTTACTCGATGACACGCGCGTACACGCACACCTGTCACAACAGCTGCTGCCAATTTATTTCAGATTAAATATGAAAACTCGCGCGCGCACCAATTCTCCCCTTTGCCTCCCTCCTTCTTCCCTCTGTCGCGCACAAACGCAACTCTAGAAATATACATCGATATTCTGTCACATTCTAATAGATATCCGATGGCTTTACTCAGGTGCATATGCGTTTTGTCACTTTGATGATTTGATGATTACCTCTAAAACTACTCTACGCGCGCGATATTTTTCATATAATATTATAATTATTTCTTTGATTGATTCTCGAGTATTTTTCTCGTTCATCTTAATATTCAATCTTTCCTCCCCCTCATAAACTTTAACGCTAAATCGCTTCACGAGAACATTTTATCTCCGCAATATGAGAAATAAAGTACGGACTGTATTGTTTAACGGACCATGTTTGCATTATCAATATGCATATTTTCTTGAAAATGCCGCTATCATATATTCAACAATGCTGGGACGAAAAATGAAAAGGCAGAGAGATGAAGAAAGAAGAAAAATTGCCTTATAAATGTATGACCGAAACATCACAAATACACACACACACACACACACACACAAACATATATATATATATATATATATATATATATATATATATATTACAGATAAATAAAATGTAAAAAGACGAATCTTTCGTCATGTAGTATCCCCTCTCGTAAATCAATAGAAAATCAAAGCGTCGCATTCGAGGTCAGAGACTAGATCAGCTCGGAGACTAGATTGTCGTTCGATGATAAGAATAGGTGCGTGGAATGGAACGAAGAAAATTCCAAGTGGGGTAGAGAGACCGGGAATATATTTATTAATTTGGCAAGCTTCCCGACCAGTGTATATCTACCGACCCTTTACGTTACTACGTTATGACGCGAACAAAGCGATTCTGCGATTTCTTTATAGGCAATTCCGAGGTCTATATAGAATGTTGTGTAAATATTACAGCCCCTCGAGAGTCAGCCTATAAAGGAACATGGACAATCTTTCCCGAGCTTCAAATCGTCCAAACTATCAAAGTGGGAATTCTCGTATAACGTGCAATCATCCCCTTGATAGCTCGTACTGTCTTCTTCCTTCATGTTAGACCATTTTACAATACTTGTAGTATTAATTGAAGAGAGACAGCTTTTCGAAATCTTTTATAATACATATCTATATCGAAATGAAAACGTATCTCTTAGTAATGTGTAAAGAAAAGCTTACTAGAAATAGATTTCATTGAAATTATTAATAGCGAAACGGATTAACGCGTTTATTAATGAACGATCGAAAGCTGAGAAAGATGATCAACGTGTGAAGATTACGCGAGAAAATGATAGGAGAATAATTTAATGTCGATTGTTATCCTCTTTAGACGAACGGGAGGGATTACAATGTAGAGAACGTATTGAGACAAATGTGCAATTACGCTATATATGTAGTTTGACTAACGAGCCGGAAAAGGTGACAATGCGAGCGACGAACGGAAGGGAGTAGCGCCGCTAGTTTGCATAAATTTAGGAAATACAGGGTGGAAAATCGATATCTGCATAGAGATTATAGATGGTGGTTGGTAGGCGCCGCGTAGCCGCAGCCTCCGTCGCGACGGCGTATGCGCTACATGTCTACGTCCTCCCCAACACCATTTTCGACCGCCCTAAACCGGCCATCCCTCCCACTCATCCCCATTGCCGAAAAGTTGGTGTGCACTCGTGTAGCGGATACTTCTCGTGGGTGTTGGTGCTGCACCCCTTTCGCCCTCTCTTTCTCTCCCTCCCTCCTCCCCCCGCCCTCCCTCTCTCTCTCTCTCTCTCTCTTTCGATCTACCACGACCCTTCCAAACCCTCCGTCGAGCTGCACATACTCTTCTCGCGTACGTATATGCTCTTCCTTCCTCTTACGAGCGACGCGACGCGACGCGACGCGCCGCACCCCTTCTCTCGCTCTGGTTTATCCCCGTCTATCCATCCATTGCTCGCGTTCTCTTTCTTTTTCTCCAATTTTCCATCTCTCGTTCTCTCGTACCGCGCTCGCTCGTCTCGGTCTCTCGCAGTGCCCTACACCCGAATTGAAGTAGTCGATATCGTACTGCGGTCTGTCTCGAAATTAAGAGAAAACGACAGACTTGCGTCGCGCGTAGTCTACCTCGTATATGTATATATATGTACATCTCTCTTGTTATTTTCCATTCGTATCCCTTTATTCCTTTCTCTTGTAAGGTATATTAATGTGCCGCGTTGCAACTTGAAAAGCACACGTTACGAAGATTGACGCCTCGCACCCTTTCCTCATCTATTCGAGAATGTGAATTTGACTCGAGAGGAGACTCCTTTGCGAACTCGTATTCTTGCGTCGTTCGAGACTCAACACAAACAGAAAGAAAGAGAGAGAGAGAGAGAGAAAGAGAGAGAGAAAGAGGCATTCAAAACATACTTATATATTCCTTACGTTATATTACATTCTATTGCGGCGAGCAATTGTGCGCGCTCCTATCCAAATCAAACTATCCTTTCATTCTGCAAAGTAAACTACGTTGAAACAACACCTATCATATCTTTAGTTAACCGTCTTTAGAAAGAGAGAGAGACAGAGAGAGAGAGAGAGAGTTTTGAAAGGAAAGAAGAAACCAACACATCTTAATTTCTCAATGTACGAAACACGTTACCTTACACCAAACACTGCATCGTGCCAGTACTCGCATACACACACACTTTAGCATGGCCAACGACCTTTCATTCATGTCTGTTCGCAAGGCCGGTAGATTGATTACGAGGCAAACATAATTTGAAATTTCTCCCAATAATTTTCCAGTCCAGAAGCGCAGTTTCCGCCGAAATTCGCCGTCAAATGTAAAATGACCGTTTTGTCCGTTTCACTTGTAATTTTAGCGCAACGTGAATTTGCGTGAGACGTTCTCATTGTTTAGATGCATGGAACAAAACTGAAAGGAAAATATGAAAATATGAAAATGGAGGAAGAAGAGACGTCTATGCGCCACTAGTTAATGCCAGCCGCTCTTCCGCTAAATACCGCAACATCGCGAAATTAAAATATTGATCGAACCCTGTCGCAAGAGGGAGGATGGGAATGACGGTGGAGAAGCAACGGGCCGATAACATTACCAACGATAGCACATCCGACTGCGCTATCATCGAATGAGGCACGGTAGATTCCGATAGAAGAGAAACTTGGTCGGAAACCTTACGTATTATCCTTATTGTTATAGTCTAAAATTTTTATAACGCTTCAATTCACAGCGCGCACACAATCCTCATCATTTAAGTTAATTGTTTACAAACTGAGGATCCATTTATTCGTGCAATTTAATTTTTATACACCGGGAGATAAAGACGCAATAATAAATAATTCTACAGACAATCTAATTTCTCTCAGAGTCCCTCACCTGGAGTTCCTCCTTACACTGACGTTCCTCTTCCAAGCTCATCCGTTTTTCGTGTTTCTTATAGTATCGTCTCTTGGCAGCTTGTAGGTTGAACCATGTGTACGAGAAAGACTTCACGAATGGTAGAAGAGCCTCGATAAATGGATGGAACTCATCCTGCAATCATACCATTTTTTTTATTTACATTTTTTCATCTCATCAAGTTTCACGCGCGCAGTTAGAAAAGTTGTTTTTTTTTCGAGTACACATGCAACTGTCAACTATTTTATAAAAATCAAGAATTTTGTATAAAAGAATATGTAAAAAATTCACTCAATATAGTAAATGACATAAACGACACTCTAAACTAATTCAATATCACTTTTAATGGATTGAAATTTTTGTCATCAAACTCAGTAAATTTCTATTATTTCACTTATGTACACAAAAATGAAAACTAAAATAAACCAAATTAATTATTTAAGAGCTGTTGTGTACGAGAAAGACTTTACGAATGGTAAAAGAGCCTCGATAAATGGATGGAACTCATCCTGCAATCATACCATTTCTTTATTTACATTTTCTCATCTCATCAAGTTTCACGCGCGTAGTTAGAGAAGTTGTTTTTTTTCGAGTACATGCAACTGTCAACTATTTTTAAAAATCAAGAATTTTATAAAAGAATATGTAAAAAATTCACGCAATATAGTAAATAGCATGAACAACATTCTAAGCTAATTCAACATCACTTTTAATAGATTGAAATTTTTCCCATCAAACTAACAAGCAAATTTTTATTATTTTATTTATGTGCAAAATGCAAACTAAAGTAAATCAAACTAATTATTTAAGAGCCATTGTAACGATAAATTTCCTTCTGGCTGTTTGGTAAAATAACATAACGATAGTAGTTGAAAATATTCTTAATAAAAGATTACATTTATCATGCATTTGGTCAATTTTAGAGAATAATTTGATTTATATAATACTCATTTTAATCTCGTTAAAAATAGAGGTAATCACAAAAGAAATGGAAAATGAGCGAAAGAAAATAAAAGTAATAGCACAATGATGACAAAATTCTATAAAATAATGGCAAAAATTGAGATAATGCACGGTACAGCTGTACCAGCACAATTATATCTCCGTTAATTATAATCAACTATAAATGTAATATCGAATGATTTTTTGATGGATCACATGCATTTTGCGATATAAAGGGTAATTCTTTTATTATTATGATACGTGTGCTATTTTCTTCATTCGTTTCCGGTAGATTTACGTTACTCTTTTTATTCATCTTTTTATTTTAGAGCTTTAAAACTTGTATAATCTCGCGATACACTCAATTTGAATCTATATATTGAATTATAAATGTATCGAAATATTGGATACGAGTATTGGATATTTGGCGGATACGGCGATATCGGTTAAAAGGCAAGATTGAATTTAGCATTGTTTTTTCGCTCCCCTCTTTCGCCCCTCTACCTTTTAATCTCTATCCGTAATAAATACAAGAATTCTCTCGTCGCGCACATCTCGCAACGAATAAACTGCTAAAAAAACATAAACGAACCATCGAGTATTCGCAAACACTGCAGCTGCTGTAGCACACTACCGTCGTCCGTTCGTCCCTCCTGTCAGCGTCCAGCTGTCAGAAACAGCGATCCTCGCGGTAACGATTACGAAGAGCTCGATACTCCTCCACCTCACAGTCGCGAATCGCCCGCGGCCTCATCTGTACCGATCTCGTTCCCGAGAAGAAGCCAGTGCTTCAGCAGAAGTCTGCTTCTTCTCACGTGCTTTTCCAATTATTCGAGATATTTGTCTATTTATTCTCACTTTTGACAAAGTCTCACTAGCCGTCGAGAAGCCGCTGCCAGGAATCTTGCTCGCGACACTGTCCCCGTAAACGCGTCCATGTATTTCCGTGATTTATTAACCGTACGCGCGACTTTTATCGACGCTACCACGTGGACTTGTTTTCGTGTTTATCAAGTAATCATCCTCTTTGAGGCGGTATCCCTAGCTTTAGGAACGAGACGATGTTTCTTTTCTTTTTTTTAAGAGAAATTTTTCCTCGTGGATCTTCCACCAATCTTTCTCATCTACGAGACTTTTTCCGACGATAGATTGCGCCGCACAATTTAAATTTTAGCTATCGAAAGCGCCAGCAGCCTCGCCGAGGTATATATTTGCGCGCGACGAAAGAGGAAAAAGAACAGAAGGAGAAGTACGTCTACGTGTTTTCGCTCCTTTCTCTCCGCTACGTTTTGTATACGTTTTGTTATTAAACGAAAGACCGAAGAAACGAACGAGAAAATGTACGGATGAAATAATGAGAGAAAACGAGCACACCTGGGAAGATGAGACCGTCGTTTACGGACGTTTTAAACGGACACGCCTTTGTACGTTGGACGCGCGCGTCCATCTGTGTAGGTAACGCTGTTATTTTCGGAGCCAACGAAAATCAGGAACGTTAAACACTCTCGTCATCGCGGCAAGGATAAAGACACGTTGGAGAAGAACGCGCGACAAACCTTGGGATATGTTTGGGAGAGGTACAAGCGCGCGAAAGCTATAAAAGAAACGACTCCAGCGCGTCATCTTGTCTCCGCGCATCTCGTTTTCTTTCCTTTTTCTTTCTTTCTTTTCTGTTTTTTTTTTTTTTTAATTATAAATTACTCTCTACGCGATAGAGAAAATCCATGCGAAAAATCGACGAGCAGCCAAGCAGGAAGAAGCGCAAAGTGAATCACTCCCGGAAAACGATGGTCACACGGAAAACGTACCATTGTCAGGTACGAGCGATTCGCGAACTCAAATTAGAGAGTCCGTCACCTCCTCCTTCTTCTCTTCCGCCACCACCGTCTCCTTCTCCTCCTTCTCCTCCTCCTCCTCCTTCTCCTCTTCCTCTTCTGTACTTACTCGCGCAATATTGCGTGGCGCGAACTTATTCGAAGAGGTCCACGAGTCGCGATCGAATCAAACATTTCGACACCGGTGAACGCTGTATAATTTTTACCGCCCGTCAAAATTCTCTCGGGGAGGATCGACAAATTTTCCACCTATTATTATATATTAACAAATAAACAGTAAAAAGACCACGAGAATCACTTGCAATAACAAGCACTAATATACATATATATATATATATATCTCTATAAATGACGCATTATACTGATTTGACACGCGCGACAAAGACTGTATCGAGTTTGACGTGGACGATGCAAAGGCAAGCGCGATTAAGCAAAATTAAACGTAAAACGAACGCTTTGTCCCGCCACGCAAGATCAGCGGCGCAAACTATGGCGAAACGTTTGGCTGCATAAGAAAGACACACGATGTACTCTTTGGAGAAGCTTGCCACATCGCCATTTCGTTAAACTTGCGGCGAAGCGTGGCCGAATAGCGTCTCGAAGGCACGATAGCGGCCAATACTGTATTTCTCTCAAACACTCTCGTCTAGTTTGGCTACTTAACGGCGTACTAAGTCCGAGCTACTCCGGATTCGAGTCCCGATTGGGTTGACTCGTTGGGCAAGATTGCAACCGCGCGATCTAGTCGAGTCGTCCGTCGTCTCGATAGCGGATAACAACGTCGGTCGTCGCGACGACACTGAGACGCCGGTCGTCGAGACGCGCGTATCGAGACGCGGACGGCACCGCGCGGCGGCCAGGTACGGCACCCTAAACAGTTATTAATAGCTCCTGTCCTAGCTTACTAGATTTGCCCTCGAACCGACGCGATGCGACGCGACGCGACGCGACGCGACGCGAAGCGACGCAACGCCAGGCACAATCTCCATCCCCTTTGTGCATTGACCCTCTCTTATCGCTCTTTCTCCCTTTCGTATGCAAAATTTGCGATACTCTCCTTCTTCTCGATTCTCCGATGTTCGAACAATTTAGAGTAGGACACAGTCAAAGTGCGCTATCCAAGACACAGACGCGAAATATTTCTGGAAAAAATGGAGTAAAAAAATAGCAGGCAAAGGGGAAGGAAGCGGTTTGTCAAAGAAAGAAACATCGAGGCATCAAAGATGACGCGACGAGGAAGAGAAACGTTTGAGACAAAAGTTGCGGCCGAAAATGAATTTTACACCGCGATGCCTTATATATTATAACGCGTCTCGAGATAAGACAGATTGGCCACGCGTAAATAGCACCGAAGCGCGCGCAACGTTCGAATTGACCGCCACAACAAATGCCACGAGTCTCTCTTTCCTCGACGCATTTTTCATCATCTATTACAATAAAAAGAAGAAGAAGAAGACAAAGAAACTTATAGAAATTTATACCTTCGCGATAACAGAGCAAAGTTGCCAAATCATCTCCGCGCAAGCAAGGTGAACATGGAAGAAAAGGTAAACATGGAGAACTAGGTGAAAAAGATGATTGAAAATGTAACGATAAGCACCTGTCCGACGGAAGGAGCTTGCAGGTAAGTCGAGACATCCGGTTCCACCATGCAGCTTCTCAGAGTGTCTGGGATGAACATGAGTAGTCTGGACGTAGTCTGAGAGCCAGGCTGGAGCCGGCTGGTCACGACCCCGACGACGTCGCCGCTGTCCGACGCCGCTTGATACCGCTCGACGCCGCTCGACGCCGCGCTCGTCGTCCAGCGAGACACGACTTTGTGCGCTTTAATACCCAGGTCCGACGACGATTATTATTATTATTACGTAGAGAAGAGCGGGCTCTCAATTTGGACGTCGATCGCAGCGTCTGCTCGCAAGGGATCGCGTCCCGAGGACCGCACCACTCGCCGTGACCGGGGAAAGGCCGTCGATCGCGAAGATATCGTTCGACGATCGTTTCCGCGACTTTCCGAGGATGAGACACGTGGGACGAGGGTATTCTTCGAGTTGGCGAACTTGCGGGGCGAGTCCGAGCGCCGCGGTGTCGCAGTGACGACGATTTTTCAAGCCCCGAAGAGATCTGTTCCGGTCTTTTTCGCTCTTGCCCTCGTCCTTGGCGCTACTCGCACCTCTGGCGAACGATTCCGCGCTCTCGATTAACGTTCTCGCGGGACTGTCTCGGATGCTCCCGACACCGGTCTCGCCGGCGTTGCTGCGGATAGTAGTATTGCGGTAGCTGTCGACGCTGCTAAACTCTTGTCGTTTGTCGGGTGGTGACGAGACGCCGCACCCAAGCACACGCATCCTATCTAGCCGCAGTTGAGAATTTCTTTTCGATTTCCGATCTCCTCGGTGCCGATCTTGCTCTCGTGCCGCACGCAGAGTGTCGCGATTCTCCCCCACAAACTGTCACACTGTCGCCCCTTCTCTGTCCCCTTGTTGTACCTCTCTCTCTCTCCCTCCCTCCCGCTTTTTCTCAAACCGACTTTCACCCCTTCCTCTCGAGAATAGTCTCGATATCGCTTCTTTTCCTGTCGTTACAAGTGTCGCGAGTCTTTATATTTGGCCCTTTTCCCTCATGTATATTCCTCGCTCTCTCTTTCTTTGATTTTACCGTTTCGATTCCTCCTGCCTTTCCGCTCTCTCTCCCGTCCCATCTGTATCTTTATCAGCGATTTGTCCTCCTCTCTCTCTTTCTCTCTTCCTGTCACAATCTCTCTCTCTTTTTGCCGCGCAATTTTCAGATTGTCTTTGTTGTCACATCGACGTTGTCAAATCACGGCGACGATAATGACCAAGAGAGCTCTTGCGCTCTCGCTTCCTTCTAGTTTTCCTGCGCTCGATCGGAAGACGCCAGGCTTCGAACTACGTCGACTCCAAATCACGAAAGCTGCGTCGGCGTCGGCGTCGGCGTCGGCGTCGGCGTCGGCGTCGGTGTCGGCGTCGGCGTCAGCGTCGGCGTAAAAAGTGGACAGCGTCGCGCAAGCTCGATATCCGAGTGCAGTCTCCGCCGCGAGAGATGGAAACACAACTCGAAATAAGGAGAGAAGAAAATTAAATTAGTTGAAACAATAAGTTACAAATTTTTAAATAATGCGAGTTGCGCGAAAACAAAATGCAAAATAGACAATGCAATCGATATTGAAATGTCTACTTGATCAAAACAAATATCGAGAGAAATGTATGAATGTAATTTTTAATCTTGGTATTTGCAAAAAATATCCTTGAAAGAAATCAAAAGATTAAGGCAGAATAACAATTGCATTAAAAGAAAGAAAACAGGAAATATTAATAAAAATATGGCCAAGAAATAAAATTAAATTTACCTTTCACATTAATGAACCGTTTAATGAAATAATTTATCTTCATATCGTTATCCATTTGATAAAATAGTCCATAATGCAACTCTCAAAAATGTTTTGTCTATTTTCATCATCGTCGTGTTACTTGGAAAGTACAGCTTTTGTAGACTTGTCAATAAAAAAAGCTAAATGTCTAACAAGATCTGAATACACTGAAAGATTAATGTTACTGATATTACGACACAGTTATTCAATCGATTATAACAAACAATTGTTCATCTGCAATTAATAACGAAAATTAAAAACATTTAGCAACATGGCGGCTTTACATGGGAAACTTGTAACATATTATAATATTATAAAGATCATAAAATTTCGGACAAAGAAAGAGAAGAAATATTGAATATATAAATTTCTACAGACATTCTATAAAGATTTTAGAAAAATAACTTACATGGTCTCGTAGAAAAACTTGCAAATTATCGCTGATGTTTGGCGATCGATTGATCATAAACATATAAATGGAATATCTTTTCACACAGCAAGTTACTATTACGAACGTATACCACACAATTTACAGAAGCGTTGGTCAAGTTGCAGCACAAAGGTGCATTCATTATCCATCTTTTACCAGATTCATCTTTTATTATCGTATCGAAACAGATAATGTCCACTATGTAAATTTGTCACAATGAATAAAATAATGCTCCATTTCACCACCTCCGGTTATCTTAATCGGCCGATTAAATTTAAGAATTGCCAACTGCAAAACTTAAAATCTAATCAGACATCTATGCTCAAGAATATGTCAGTTGAAGTCTTGTGGTTGGCAATACTGATGATAAATTTAAATTGGCCGATTAATTAATCGGAAATGGTGAAATTGGGCTTAAAAGATTATAACTAAACTATTAGTATCAAAAATTTTGATCCGACTTTTTAACATATACATTACATACATTATATTCATTATTGTTATTTTTCCTAATAAACCTTAGTTTTTAAATTACAATTTCGTAACATATTTTACCTATTACATGGTAAAAAATTAAAATTAAAGAAGTTTGTAATTTCATCAAACGTGAGAATATTTTTATTTGTCTTTTTATGTGAAACCCTATATACATAATATTAAATACATATAATATAAAATAATCTAAATACACAGTAACACTTTATATGATGGTGAAATAAAGTTAAAATTTTCAGTCTTTTTCTCAACGTTTTGAAAACAGAAAGAGAGAGAGAGAGAGAGAGAAAGAGAAAAAGAAATTCATTATATATAAATTCTTTATCATTTATTAATTACGTACAAAGATTTTTCAAATTTGTAAACTTTGAGATAAATTTTTTAAATTACATTTTGCAATGTAATTCAAATGCTGCTTCAACTAGAAATGAACATTATAAAATCATAAAAAATTCACAAATAGTAAAAAGTATACAAATTCGAATGTTATAAAAAAAATATACATAATTATATATTTAACAAAATCTAACTAGGATAAATTGAATCGATAAATCAATTTCCATAATAGTAAAAATTTGTCCAAGCATTTCTGATAATTATAAATGCGATACAAATATATTTGTTTTAAAATTATATTTAATGAGAAACAAGTGTGGACGCGTGCGTTAATTGCAATTTTTAAAAACTTTCGACTTCTTAGCAAACATTAGGAAAGATAAATTATTCTACATTAAATAGTCCAATCTAGAAAAACACTAAATTCAAACTTGTGAATTTGTTTAAAACTAATTAAATTCTTATTGAATTAGCCAAATTTTATTAAATAAATGCTTAAAAATCATTCATCATAAATATTTAAATAATAATACTCAAACTTTTAATATTGCTCCAATTGCTATATAACAAATTGAATTTGAAGCAAGTGTATAATATTATGTTTATATATTTATAACGTTTTATTTAACATGGAATCCAAGTGGCAATATGGAGGATATATTTCGTTGGATATTTATAAAAATGTCTTTCCTAATTTTGTCAGAGTTATTGTTCAAAGTTGTACAATGGACAATATCAATGCACAATACATCCGTTGTGTGTGGTTCGATTCTTTGAATTATTCACATATTGCTAATAGTTGATATAAATGGATTAAAACTGAAAAAATTGAAAATTTAATGTTAGATGGAAAATGTTACGTTTACAAAATGTTACAAACTCGATAAAAATGATAACTGGATACTTACCCTTTTTAAGAATTCCTCTGCACATATGCGTGCTCTGGCATTAACCGATAACTTCATTTCGCTAATTTCTCGATCAATTTCCTCCATAAAGTGAATAACAAAATCTACTATTTTATGTTTGTACATTTGCTCCACATGAATATTAGTGATTAAGAAGCTAATATCAAAGCCCTAAAATAAATTAGGCTCAATTGTAGAAAATATATTTGATTATACATATAAGTAATATTAATATATAAATTTGATAAAAAATTTAAAATTTATTTTTAATTACTCACCTCTATTGGTTTTCTTCTGAGTATCATGAAATGTTCGGCTCTCATTGTCATGAATCTTGTGAAATTATGACAAAGAATCTTTTCTAGATCGTCGGCTTGTTTCACAGCAATACTTATTCTCATACTGTTTATACTGGACTCGATCAAAACCTTCTCCTTATCATTTCTACTTATCAAGATGGGTGTTAAAAGCAGTTCTTTGCTCGCTCTTACTTCCACTTCGGGTTTGTTGTGCTTTTCCACAATTTGGGAGGAAAAATTCTCCAAACACATGGCAGCGGTAAGCGTACGCCTAACTGCTGTCAGATAGGGTTTTAGCGTTCCCGACTACAGAACAAACAACAAAGCAAACAGTATGAGAAAAATCTTTGATATTAATCATTCTCACAATTAATTGTTGCAAAAGTGCACAATTTTTTACTTTTTTTAGATAACTGTAACTAGAAAAAATGCAATATATTTCAGAAGCAAAATTAAAAGTACAAACAAATTGTTGTCAAAATCTATCCTAGTACATGTACAATAAGTTGAGAATGATTTTAATAAGCTGGTCGAATTAAAGAGACAATCCTTAATAATAAAATAAAATAACTTACCATATTTGCAAAAAATAACTCACAAAGTTCGAAATAGCATCCGTATTGATTAATCTATTGGTTTTTTTAAAAGCCTGTCAGGTTTATCACTGCTTGTGTCGGCAAAGATAAACGGTAGAAAACATGAAACATTACACCGGTCAGTACATTTTCTATTTTTCCAGCCTATAAACTCTCTTATTCAATCAGCCTGATTCACTCTAATTCAGGTCGTGTAGCTCGACTTTTCCTGATTCAATAAAACTTGATGATAAAGCCGGTGTTTTTATCGGCTTGATTCTTCTACTTTCAGCATCAGTGATTTAGGGCGTGTATCGCTAAACTCCAAGCTGTTCCAAGAATGCTTTTTCGTATCAAGTGGTATCAAGTTGAACAGATTGAGGGCGTATTGGGGCGTATTCGTTTGCATTTCATCCCCATTGGAGGCCCACAAGTGTTCCCAATTTTGTATTCTATGCCTAAACATTCACTAGATTTTCACTCAATTTTTCCTAGGTATTTTTGGGAGGGCACCATATATTTACTAGACATTATTGACCAATCATAGCCATTCTTTTGAAGAATATATGGTTACATTCTTCAAAAGAATGGCTGTGATTGGTTAATGACGTCTAGTAAACTATCCCGAAGCGATTAAACCCGACCATTTGAAAGCGCCACATATATATTCGTGCATTATGACCATTATGATTAATTTATTTAGGTAAAAATTTGCATACGTATACAAAAAAACTCAATCATTATTTGATTTGATTAATTTCTTTATGCATAAGCATTAAGTCCGTATCAAATTATTCCATTGAAACTTGAGATTGAAGATAAAAATCGAAACTTGACCAATCGGAACAAAGAAACTTTAGTTCCGTTATTTTTATTAGTCAGTCTTTAATGACTAGTCCAATCTTAAGTCTTCAATATTCAATGCATATTCTGTGATACAAACTTTACACATCTTTACAAAAATTTGTTTCAACAGAATCCTGATAATAACTGCACACATTTGACATATGCTTAAATATTCACGTATTCGCAAAAGAAAAAAATAATTTTTTTATTTGTTTTAATCATAATAAATATAGAGGGGAAGGGAGAGCGTTTGAAAAACGCGCAACTTCAGACGTCAAGGCGCGCGAATATAGTTACCAAATGCTGGAAACCTCTAGAAAATTCACGATATTGGCCACACGTTGAATAATCGAACTTTGTTTGAGGCAACTTCACGTCGCTATCGCGTATCTCCACTTTTGTCCGCGAACGTGTGCTTTCTTTCCGATCAGGAGGAAGAAAACCGTTTACTTTTACCAACTATTAAAATCGATTAAAACGATTGACGATTGACGTGCGACAAACAGGAGCCATTTTCGGTGAGTCCCGAAGATAACTTGATAACAGAGTGTCAGAAGACCACGCGCGGTATCTCTTTTTGCAGCTAGGTTTTTGCATTTTTTTTACACACGCTTCGAGCTCTTAGAAACGAGTAAACTTTCGAAGAGAAGCGCTCTTTGCCATCATTTCGCATCAAACATTCGCACGTTCTAAATTCGATGCCAAGCCAGCAGCTACGTGCGAAGGCATGTAAAAGTACGTGTGCTCTATTATGTATCGGCTAAAGCGTCATCGAGTATCAGCGTAACCAATCGAAGAAATTCAAGTACATGTCAGTTACTTTCGGTTGTTGATAAAGCGTGCGCTCGTACGTTGCAGAAGGTAAACCTGAAATTAGGACGTAGGTAGGACATGGTATGTTTGAAACTTTGTCGTGTGTGTTGTCATCGTTGAGTTTATTATAGATGCCAAAAATGTATCGAATCGCCAAAGGAAGTTATCAGTGATTGTTACTTATCGTTAACCAATATTATATTTTACTATTGCTGTAGCAGTAATGATATTTTACTAGATGCACAAGGACTACAGTTGCGCAAAACCAAACACAATTATTTTTACAATAGGAATCTATAGTTTAAAAACTTTAAAATTACAGGTTTTAGTTTTTATCAGTGACTTGCGACTAAAGCATACAATATGACCCGATGTCAAGGACAGAAACATTGTGTTACAGATTGTGTAATATTGTGTAATCGAAAGACACAGCGGCAGCAATGTATTTGATAATTGTACATTGGAAGGTACAATGCAAATGTACGATGTAAAATATTTGGTAAACATTTAAACAATGTTTTGAAACTTTATCTCGACTTGATGCGTATTTACAGCATATTACAATTCATTTGTATTTGACATTGAAGTAGTATCTTAGATATTAAATTATTACATTTAAAATGGGTGAAAGTAAATCTTTTCTTCCATTTTCTTCTTATTTCAATGTAAGTTGGAAGATGGTGCAATTTTAAATTTAAATCAAAAGTAAATTCAAGATACGTACATGTGTTTTTTCTCAAATAAAAACATTTCATTCTTTCTGTTGAATTTTGTAAAACAACATATATTCTAAGTTATTAAAATTTATTATTATTATATTCTATTTATTTTACTCACATTTATGCATATTTGTTTATTATTAAATCATTGTTGAAATGACTTTATGCAAAATGTAATCTGATTTTCTCTTCCATGCAAATTAAAAATAAATTTAACAAATTGCACTTGTACATTTGCATTGTAAAATTTTGAAAAAAAAGACGTATATGTATGCGTAATCGCGATTACGATTAACCGGCATCTATAAGGAGAAAGAGAGTGTACACGTTGATATTTAAATTATACTTGCAACGAGGACAATACACGGAAAGATTTGCGCGCGAGCGAGGACACGAGGCATCGCGCGGGATCCTTTTCCTTCGATATGTCGTTCTCTGGCCAAATATGTAAAACTGACGTCACGCCTCCCTGCAAGAATATAAGGACGCCCACTAGAATCGCCTCGCTCTCATTCGTCCTCGAAAATTGCGTACCCTCTTTCGGATCGCCAAATATATTTCCTTCCGTGGTGATTTTCGGTCCTCGTGAGTTTGATCGATTAGAGGACTCGCTCGGAAACGATGTGAAAATTCAAGGTCGTGCTTGATTCGAGAGAGATGAAAAAAAAAAAATTTTGAAATCAAAACTTTTGAAATTTCTCTCTCTCGCAACAACACGATAATTCAACGATTAAAGAGTAATGAGAGTGGGGATTTAAAATATATAGGTAAAACGAAATTCGCAGTCGTTACGCAGGCGAGAGATATATACGTAGGATTACGTGGTCGCGAGACGACCCACGTCGCGATGACGAGCACGTTGGCTGCGACTTCACCTGAGAGACTTAGCCGTAAAACGCGTAGGCAGCGTAGATCAAAATCAAATCCAAAAGTAGCGTGACTCACTCACAATCATCCTCCCTTGATCGAAGCATCAGTTTTTTTATCTTTATCATCTTCGTCTCTACCAGTCGCGTATTTCTTCCCTTCAACAGAGAGAAAAAGAGAGCACGTATATATATATTTCTTTTTGGCAAGGATTCAGAGTTATCGAAGGCAAGAGTAGTATCAACCATTAGTTGAGCATCAAACACATTAGTAAGGAACGAGGATTGCGCGATACATCTTGTTTTTTTTTTTTTTCTCTCTTTATTTCGACTTGTTTAATTTGGCGATTAGCGGTACCTCGCTATACAAAATCGTAGGTCGGAGACTTTGTATTCGTAATAATCTCTACGTTCGATGCATCCAACTATTTTCGATAGTCGTCTTGGCTAACTTTAGCAATTTCGTCGGTCTGATCTCGAGTTTGTAAACGCTGAAATTTTCATCATTGCGCGTACGTATAACACGTTCCGGTTACCATATTCAACCAAAAAAGTTGACACGATGCAATTAGCGATAATGCGCTATCTATTCTTACCTGCGGTCCATTTAAATTGTTAATGACATTTATATGCGTCGCATAACGCTATCCCGCACAAGTCACGACGTGGCATCGTGATCAATTATTCGTCAAAACATTAGGAATTATCGTATTACGAAACAAAGATATCTGTGTCGCGTCATCCAAAAAGATTTTCGAAAAAGTTTGGCAATATAATTAATAATTAAACTTTTCATCGTATATTCCTTTGCGATATTCGATAATCGATTGCATGCATTAAACGTCATCAATTTATATCGGCCATAATAAGAAAGATTCGCATTGTCCGACAGGTGGTTTCCTAAGTCCTGATTCCGAACGTGCCGAACGATGGTCGACTACTACAAAGTGCTCGAAGTACAACGGAATGTTTCCAGTGCTGATATAAAAAAGGCGTAAGTTTATCGTTAATCTAATTTGCATCTCTCATCTCGTGGAATTGAATTCCGAGCGAATTTTCAAAGTCTTACGAAATAATACGACCTACTCTTACGATCGGTCGGATGTTTTTAATAAACTTCACTAACGCAATATCCGGCATTTCTGTTCCCTAGGTATAGAAAATTGGCATTGAAATGGCATCCAGACAAGAATCCCGATAATTTGGAAGAGGCAAATAGAAGATTCAAGGAAATCTCGGAAGCTTATGAAGTTTTGAGCGATGGTAAGTGCGTTCTATGATAATAATAAATTAAATTGAAAGGACACACTGCGATTCTCGCCGAGAATTGGCTTTCTAGCCGTAAAACACACCTCGATGTCTTGGAACGCAAGATATACCTTGAATAAATTTTTCTATAAAAGCACAAGAGATTTCTAGGATTAATGCGATAGAATCTGCCGCTTTTTCTTAAGATCGACACATCGTACAAAATGTTTGTTCCGAGAATATGGATTGTCGAAAAATTTGAAAGAACGACGAGTGTACGCATAATTTGTAAGAGAAGATCGGGGCGATACAAAAAATCTTTCCAGATGTGAAGAGACGCATTTACGATCAGCGCTTATATCAGAAGGCAGCATCAAGGCCCGGCCGTGGATTCACCTTCCGGAGTTTCTTTGATTCTCCTTTCCAGCGATATTTCGGTATCACTTGATAAAAAAAATACGATTTGCAGAGTGTTCAAAACATTTTGTATATTATAGTTTTTTTCTCTCGTTTTTCTTTGCCTTAATATTGCGCCACACAAAATGTATATATATATATATATCCGCCTCTCTCTTCTTTTTTCTTTCTTTTCTTTCTTTTTTTGCGAAAAAACGACGCGAATAAGGACACGGAATATCTAACGCGATGCAGAAGCGAGATAGGATTTTGAAAATCAACGTTGTATGTGACTTATTATAACAACACGGTTATTTGTAAAAACTGCTACACTGTGTGATGTGTAAATATCTTTTTTAAAACGATACTTTATACAAACAGAATAGACATCCGCCACAATCGCTCATCCTCTTTATTCTTACAATAGTAGTAGTGAAAGAAACTTTGCGAATTTTCCTTGATCTATAGTATCACGCTGATCTATAGTATCAACGCTACACCACGTTGCAGTTAACCCCGCCTGCCTTTCATTGTCAGCGTGTGCTAACAGTTGGCGAGTTATAACTCGATCGAAATAGTTACATTCTTGATGAAAACGATCAACATGTTACATAACATAAACTAAACTAAGCAATACATCAGTCGCGATAAATCTTTGAACGTTGTTGACACTCCATTTTTTTCATGATGTATATTATTCGTATGTACATTATTCGATTAATATTGGACTAACCTTGCGGCAAACCTTGCGGAAGCCTCGCTTGTTGAGTTTTTGATTGAAAGGAAAAAAATTTGTGATAATGATCGAAGCCAATAAAAGATTATAATCATTTGCTTTTAAATTTTTTTAGAAAAAAAGAGGCGTGTTTACGATCAATATGGCAAAGAAGGTCTTCAAATGCCCGGAAGCAAAGGACGAGATGACTTTGATCCGCACTTTGCCGGCACGTTTGTTTTTAGAGATCCCGAGGAAGTATTTAGGGAATTTTTCGACGGTATGCCCTTTGAAGATTTATTTGCCGGTAAGCATGTACGCGTGCTCGCAGTATACATTGCAGATGACGAATATATGTGACGAATACAAAACGCCATTGTCGAATTTCAGGTTTTCATGGTTCTTCTCGGAGAGGCCCTACGGGGAGACATGGTCACCCGGCTAGTAATAGTCTGAGCACTTCCTTCTTTGGTCCCTTCGGATTCGGCTTTCGTTTGCCGTTCGATAATCTAATGGAGAATACTGGAGCCGCCGGAGCAAACTTTACCTCTTTCAATACTTTTACTAGTTTCGATGGAGCGAGCGGTGGTGCTGCTGTGAAACGTACCAGTACCTCGACTCGTTTCATCAACGGAAAGAAAATTACGACCAAAAAGTATGTCTGATGTTGCGAATCTTTAATGACATTAAAACGTACTCTTTCTAATCGTTCGTTTTATTTCCTTTTTTTTTGCAGAGTCTTTGAAAATGGGAAAGAAACTATAATGTCTTACGAAAACGATGTACTGAAATCGAAGACGGTGAACGGCGTACCACAGTCAATAACGTACAGTTAAAATACATCTCATTCGCTCGATCTCTCCTTGGCAATTGAGAAATTCCTGTCGTCACGGTTCAAACATCAGCAAACGAGTACCTGGTATTCGCGTTGATATTCCCCGACATATTCTCCTCTCCCTCGCAATAGTCTCGTCGAGAACGTAACATTAGTTTTTAACGCGTTTTACTCATTACAATTGACAATCGATGATAGTGAGATAGGCTCTCTAAGCCCGAGTGATCGGAGCGTTAATAATTGGAATTTAACAATAAAACAAGAGCGAAATTGCCTCTCACGAACTTCGATTTTCCGTCATCTCGTTTGTTTATGTGTGTATTAGGTTCGACGAAGCATCAACGAGTCGTCAAGTCTGTGAGAACATCAATGATAACACGATGGGTAGCCACAGCTCGAATGCGATCCACAGCGACTATCTAAAAGCTAGCAGAATAAAGACGCGTCATCATCCGCACATGAGTAAGAAGCACGATAGAAGTAAGAGGAAATAGATTGCTCTTGTCAAGTTCCTTATATATGCAAATCGACAAGTATGCGCTCCTAATGTACTCGATTGATGTAATTTTTTTCAAATTTTCATTTTACATATACATGTCACTATTATCCATCATCTACCATCTAATGAAAGTTTAAAAAACAAAATATTACCAATTTATATATCAAATTATTATTACATAAAAGGGGGAGAGAGAGAGAGAGAAAGAGAGAGAGGGAGAAAGAATATAATATCCTATAATGCAATTGGTTTTTGACATATCCACGCGGTTCGGTTATAATAAAATTCATTTCAAAAGACAAGATTTTTGTCAGCTTTTGGTTTCGAAAGCGAAGCGGCGCGCTATCTGTTGTCGTTGAATCATTTAGTTTCGTAAAGCAATGAGCTGTTCGAGTCGAGTTTGGGTACTCGTGATAGCGTATCGCTTACGCTGCTAATCCAAACTTTACAATTTGCAAGTAACATCCAAGCCTTGTCCTCTATCAATAGCTGTAAAACGTAACCGATGGCGTTCGCGCTAACTTAAATCTCGATTAAATTAGATATCGCTAGGTTACAGAACTGACGCAAACTTATAATTTCTCAAACAAAAATGTCTTGTACATCTTTCGTATCGGTTAATAATAGGTATAATTTATTTTCGTTGCTGCGTATTTTTATTGTCGCGTTGGCTATAGCGTTATTTACCAATTTAAGTTTTAGCTAAATACATACAGACACACGGCGAGATATATCATTGAAAGTGTGTTAGGAAATTGTTTTCTTTGATTAGTTATTTCCATATGTGTATATAATGATAAGAAAAAAATGTTATATGTAAAAATACATTATTAATATACACTAATGTCTTGAGTCGGTATGAGTGAAACTTTAGTACGGGACTGAAACGCAAACGGCAAAAGTTAAATTATTGTTTGTTAAGAAGGGAAAATGATTGTGACCGAAAGATATATGCCAGAAGTAATTTTATGCTGACTGTAATAAAGTAGATACAAGATTTATAAATGAACGGAACAAAAATGTGCACCCTATACAAGTGCGTGTAGTTGCTGAACAATACAAAATTGATATCATACTATATGCAATTATTCGTATGTGCGTGTATAATGCTTCCTGCTACTCTATTACAAATGAAAAGTTTCGTAGACATTTCAGTAAGATTACACGCGAATATTTATGCGCACATATATGCGTGATAATGAATCGGCTACTTTTTTCCAATCGAGGCGATTAATTCCTCCACTTTAGCAATATATTGCTCTTTCGCCGTTTCTTGTTCCAGGCTTTTTTTACCATTCCAAGCATCCCACTTTGCTTTCCCTTTAAAGTCCAATATACCTGGCCGCTCTAAACGGAAAAAAATTGAAAGGCATTGAGATTATACATACGTGTGCAACGAGTATGAATTTTGTGCAAAAATTTTATGTAAACAAACCTGTATTGCAATCACCTACGGTGGATTGCTTGTACAATGCGTAGAGTTCAAGTAGATGTTCGTCTTCTGGCTGCGCAGCCAATTCTTTTACCTCTGCGGCAGCATGATTGAATCTCTGAGAAAAAAAAATGTTTATGCAATCATCTTGTAAAAAGATTTCTCTCTACTCTGTATTGTTTTTATCTAACGAATAGTAACAATTTAATCAAAATAACGAGTATGCAATTTAGATTTGTCAAATCAGAGATAGTTGCATGTGCTAACAATGCAGTTTGATTGGGGAATTGAGCTTTCCTCTTTATATCAAAATTATCGTCTGATCGCCATAATTAACCATTTATGTATCAAGCTGAGCTTGTGAGTTATCAACCTTTATTTGTAAAGTCAATATTATCAGTCAATAGCACTATTGGCTGCTGATATAACCTAATCTCCTTGTTGAGTCTAGCCTAGTGAATTTTTTCCTTCTTTTGTCTTGGATTTATCATTAAAGAGCAGGAGAAAGAAGCAAATTTAAGATCAATAAAATTATTTTAAAAAATCATGTTTTTTTTTGTCGCGCTGCATTAATACGTTATCTTTCTAAAGTAATTTCGAAAATAATGTTCATGGCATGCAATAGTTTATTTTACACCGATATAGAAGATTTAAAAAAAAAAGTTTGCAATTGGCACAAACGTCACTAGTCTCACTCTAATCAAACTTCACTCGCTAATAAACTAATGGTTCGATTTTGCGATACAAATTTTTTTCACCAAGCAAATAATTAATTTACTCCTTACTTCGTCCAGCGACATGATCGAAAATGGTTAATTCTGACACTGAAATTACGACGATAATCTCGAGGGAAGAATCGTACGAGAGGTTACGACACTTTTATCAACTGTCAACTGAAGGCTGACGATAAGAACGCGTACGTACGTGGTCGTATACGTGGTCCTCTTAACGTTCAGCTTAACGCAATGAGCAATAATTAATGCGGGGATTATCGAGCGACCTTTGACAACTGAAGTGACTATAAAAACTTACATGTGTTTCATAAGTAATTTCGCAAGAATACCTTGGTGAAGAGAACGGTAACGGATCGTTTTTTCAAACAACCTGAAAAATCAAGGGTTAATTTTTATAATCAAACAATACCACGCCCATGTATTCTCATTTTAATGTCAATATTTCGCTTTATTGTGCATGATTATTGAAAATCATGATATAATAGAGAAAATGTAAAATTTCTCAACGCAGCGTATACCGAAATATTTATCTATAAGAAAAATTATAAATGTTTAATAATATTATACTTGTGCAAAGTAAAATTAACAAACGTTATAAATGTTTAATAATACTTGTGCAAAGTAAAATTAACAAACGTACGATAATAAGAGTAGAGGAAGGACGTTAATAATGTGTAACTTTTGCGATCTCTCTCAATCCGTATTAATTGAAAATATATAAAAATAATATCGCATTGTAAAAAAATATATTGTCAAAATTGTTTATTCCATTCCGTTCGATTATATTTTATTTCGTCCGTGAAATTAAATCACGGACAGTAGCGTACTCTATGTAAAAGTATGTCTACCGGGTAAATCAGATGACATAGCTGTTTCCGTTGTACGAGAGCGACGCATGGTAAACTCGTTACACAAATGTCTCGTGTTATAAATTCAACGTTATTTATACACACAAATTTTCAATAAATTTTCATTGTAAAAATATGATAAATCGTAAAAGAGAAATATTTTTCTGAGAAACATAAATATGTCTTTTTCGTTCCGATTAAGACGGAATATTTGTTTGAGCAAAGAAAATATTTGAATAAACTCTCGATAAAATTTGCAATTTTATCATCTCTTCTTGACAGTTTGAATGATAAAAATGTTAACGTTATATTTATGAGAAACTCGAGAATGTTAAATAAACTGATTTCGATAATCTTTTTATTCAATTCTCTTATTTTTTTTCTCTCTCTCTCTCTCTCTCTCTCTCTCTCTTTCTCGTACACGCGTATGTATGCTAAGCTATGCATCTCGAAGGCTTTAAATTTACACAAGCGCATTATACGAGAAACACAATGAGGCCTACGCGAACCTTCAACGACTCGAGACTGATCAAGAGACGCATACGTCATAAATTTTTCAATTGAGAGTGTTTAAACGACCAGGATAATGTCAAAGTTACATAAAATGATTTAATCGTTAGTTCTCTATAATTATACAAGAGTAAACACCCGTCACAAAGGATGAAATCGATAACGCAAGAAGGAAGAACCAAGAGACAATTCGATTACACGTAAACATCGATACGAAACACTAGAAACTACGACCGCGAAAGCGGCTCGGATTTCGTTGTTTACCGATGCAAGAAAAAAAATATACATATCGAGTAACACGTCTATCTATTACATTATGTTTAATCATTCCTCGTTACTGATGGACTGCACCGCGCCGCGTCGTATTGCGGTATTTTTACCCTTGACAACTAGTCGTTTCACGGAATACAATCTCGTTATCGTACCCCAAAATTCAGAGCACACAGCTACCGTATAATCGAATATCGCGAGTATAAAACAATCGATTTAACCTTAGAGCTCTCTTTAATTGTGCGATTCATGTTGCGTTTCAAACTACGGCTTTGACGATATCGCAGAATGAATCTATTATGATCGATCGAGGAATGCTAGATTCGTGCTTCTCTCTTCTCCTTCCTTCATCGTGTTATTCAAATTGATATACATTACGTATATATGAGAGACACATGCCGTGATATATAATATAACACAATGGAATGCAGCGTAGCATAGCAGATAGCATAATATAATCTAACGTAGGATCTAGAGTAGGATAAGGTTTCATAATGTGGCATTACACATGTTAGCGGTATGTGTTGCCAGCCACACTTTACGCGATCGTGCTCCTCCCATTACGTACGTACAGTACTGGACAAAATAAATCATACACTTTTCAACGAATTGAATTTCTTAGTATAACTAATTCTTTTAACAAGCAAATAGATTATTAGATATAGGAAAGTCGAAGCATTTCAAAGTACTTCAATAAAGAAAATTGTAAAATAATAAAAATTACGCTCAATTCTTTTGTAAAAAATTTCTTATTCAATATTGTTACATTTTGCCCTGGACAAAATAAATCATACACTTTTAGAAGTAATAGTTAGCAAATAAATAAAGTTAATTCTAATTGTGATTAGTACTTGGTACGGCCACCATTGGCTTTCAATACCGCTTCCAATCGGCGAGGCATACTTTGGACTAATTTCTTTAAGTATTTAGGATCAATTTCCTTCCGAGCCTTCTGGAATGTTGCATAGGACGATGTCTTGTCACACACGTTCGTTTTATTCACGTTCACGTAAGCCCGCATAGTTTCAAATAAGCCCGCATAATTTCAATTGGATTAAATCTGAGATTCTTTCAAATTCTCGCACAATACATCAATATATTCTTCTGCAGTCATGCTTTCAATTCAATTCGAGCCAAATTACCATGACCAATTATCCCAGACCATGTAGCATAGAGCCCAGACCATAAAGCACCTCCATACCATAATATTACCGCCTCCATATTTTGCAGTCTTCTGCAAAATATTTACTTCTTTAAAAGCCTCACCAGGTTTTCGCCACACCCTAGATCGTCATTTTTATCCAAATAATTCAAACTTGCTCTCATCAGACCACAATACTTTTTTCCAAAAGTCTAGAGACATATTCGCGTACTTCTTGGCAAACTCAAGTCGGTTTTATTCAGAAGACTGTAAAATATGAAGGCGATAATATTATGATATGGGGATGCTTTACATGGTCTGGAATCGGTAATTTAAACTCGAATTGAAAGCATCATGACGGCAGAAAGATATATTGATGTATTGTGCGAGAATTTGAAAGAATTTCAGATTTAATCCAATTAATAAGTATGCCTCGCCGACTGGAAGCGGTATTGAAAGCTAAAGGTGACCATACCAAATACTAATTAGAATTTATTTATTTGTGAATTATTACTTCTAAAAGTGTATGATTTATTTTGTCCAGGGCAAAATGTAACAATATTGAATAATAAATTTTTTACAAAATAATTGAGCATAATTTTTATTATTTCCTATTTTCTTTATTTAAATACTTTGAAATGCTTCGACTTTCCTGTATCTAATAATCTATTTGCTTGTTACAAGAATAGTTATACTAAGAAATTCAATTTGTTGAAAGGTGTATGATTTGTTTTGTCTAGTACTGTACGTTCTTAAGGATAAATCTTTTCTTTTTTATTTCAATAATTTATTCAAGGAAAAACGAAACTATCAATAAAATAATTATTCACCGTGAAACGCGCTATGTATTGGATGCAAGGATGTTTCAAAAGATGTTTACAACACGTTTATATGATTATATTTTAATCTAATCTGTTATCTTATTCACATCGGTAAATTGTAGGTGATGATAGGTATATCGTATATAAAAAAAGGATACAAAAAAACAGCAGGGTGAAAAGGAATATTTTTTTATCGTACTCATATAAAGTAATGAAAAATTTCCTATAAACTTCATAAATTTCGCTCAATTTTTAAAAATGTTCAACGTCCAACTGGTTGTTTTATCGAGAGATACAATCTAGAGACGCGATAATATTTCATGGCTATAACTTTATTGAAATAAATGACATGATATCAATTCTTGTAATCCATAGGAAAGAAATTTATTTTAATGTTTAAAGTGATGACGCATGTGATGTGCTTAATCGCTATTATTATAGCTTTGTCACCATGTCGTCCGTTGCTTGTTCATATTTTATTGAAATGTGAGGAGGGAGGGAGATAAATAGTTTGAGCTTCGAGTTCTCTCTCTCTCTCTCTCTCTTTCTGAAATTATCGATTCACAGCCCAAAGTTAAATAAAAATGCAAATTCTCTCTTGGAATCAATTTGATACATTGGTATCGTTATACTTAAAATGATTTAATTTCCTACTTCTTATAAGTGATAATAAGAAGGCGTACGCACATTGCTCGCTCGTTATACATATTTCACTTAAAAAATTTCTTGAACACGTGCGGATGATAGTCTTTTATCAAAGTGTTACTCATAATGACTGTTTCTAAAAAAAATATTATTTTATATTTATTACAAGATATAAATTAAATGTGAAAGGATGTAGAGAGATATATGCATATCGCGATAATCGTCAGATATGCGATTCTGATTTTTATCATACATCCGCGTTACAAACTTGTGTTTGGGAAAATGTGTTTGAAAAAATCTTTGAAATTAAGCTTAATCAAAGGATAAAGTTTTGGACGATAAAACAAGGATTGCATACAAAATTGCAAATGTTAAAACTAGTAAAACTTGGCAGTGATGATAAAAAAAATACAAATTTTTTCTCTCTTTACTTGGCTTTCACGTAATCACTCATTTTCCCTCTTTCTCTCTTTCGTTTTGTATTTTTTCAAATATACGATAATTGTACTATATTTTTTATGCTCACACGAATAGATTTGCAAAAACCATTTTCAAAAGAGGCTTGATTCGAAATTAATTGCTTTTTAACGCATTTTTATAATTTCGTTATATTGAAAATTACTAAACTTCGAAAAATGTACGCAAATTTGTTTATACTAGTGTCATTCCTCAGTTTATTACTAACGCGCACTCAAGTCGTGTCTGTGAAAGCTATAATTAAGACATTACGTTTTTTGATTCCAAAAGTAAGAAATAATCCGCATTTACCGCGGATAAATATCGCTTAAAGATTAAATTTTTTACATGGTGCAAATGTTTGCCTGCATTACTGGGAATAATACGCGATAATTACAGCGATAAAGAGGAGAAGCAATAATAATCCGCTTAAGTAGCAAAACATATATAATGGAGCGGTAAACTTTTTAGGAATTGGATAAACGTGGATAATGACAGATTACAAGTTATATACAATCGATATTTTAATTATGAATTTTCCACCGAATGATAAAATTTTAAAATATTAAGATAAAAGATAAAAGTAAAATTAACTTATCTTAATTCAGCCAAAAGAATCCCCGCGAGCCAAGAATTTAAAGAATATCGGATATTTTCCTAATAAATATGATATTATTATGACATTATCTTTTATTTTAAATTTTGAAGAGTGCAAAATTTCGAAATATCAAGAGAACATATACATATTATTCTCATGTGTGGAACAAGAGTAATTACGTAATTCACTGAAATTCTACCAAGAGTTTTATAAAGATTTTATCGTGTAATGTGTTTCTCGCATGCTATTGCATGCATCCGAATCCGAATTAATAAAATGTGTGAATGCTTTTATAAAAATATATATAATTAAAGAAAAAAAAATCGTATTTATAAGAGACTCTTCCATTTGGAAGATAGAGTCCATAAAAACCTTAAGAAAAATTTCTCGATAAGAATGTAGAAGAATATAAAAGTGTTTAAAAACAAACGATACGAGATTATACAAACGCGATAAATATCTTTATCGCTCGAGAGAATTCCATTTTCAGTTCTGCAATGCTTTTTGAAAGAAAGAGAGAGAAGAGTCTTATGTAACGCAAGGTATGTACGTAGAAGAAGGTACGTGTCATATCCGCGCAATTTTGCCACAGCCATTTGCTTCGATTCGTACCATTCGACTTGCGTGTCAATCGATGTAGAAATGTTCGATAATTTATCTCGTAACAGATAAGCCTACTTTCTGCCTAAATCAATATCGGTGATATAATTTCGCGAGAAATGGGACACGTTTTGACGTAGGACCCACGTTAGAGAAATGAAGAGTGCGAGAAATAAAGTTGAATGTTTATTTATCTATGTAAATTAGGTGGGATTTGTCGTGCGATGGTCGTACTTGCCGCACTTTTAAAGTACGAGAGGATGTGGCTGATATATATATATATACTCGTATATAAAATGCGTGAGACAAATGCACGTGCGTCCTTGTAACGACAGACACATCTGTATGGCATTTTCAAACGGATTACATGCAATTATGTGTAATAACGAGCAAATTATAATTTCTGCTACATTGGCCACATTACTACGCATCTACGATGTACAGGAAATATGCTCAAAGCTCGGGAATGATGCAAAGATTCGCTGCTTTCTCGCATTTCGATCGTCTCATCGAAACCGTATCCGGGAAAAATGTATCTGTCGCGCAACGATTTACATTTCTGAACAAGGTTTAATATAAGGAAACACGCTTTTCAATATTTATGAAACACAGTCATTTTCTATGTTGTTTACGCGCATCGTGCAGCGACAAGCACATTGTTTTTTAACGTAACGAGAGTCTTGGATCGATTAAAAAAAATGAAAAAAAATTTCGCTAAATTTATTCATCGCAATTCAAGTGATCGTAATGACTCAATGATTTGTGAGTAATTTGAAACTGGGAGATTATAATGACTCAATGATTTGTTATCTACAATACTGCTTCGTATGATTCATCTTTCCAACGGTATAGGTGGCACAACAAACAGTCATCCTATCAATGACGTTCGCGCGATAATGTCGTTTTACAATATTCCCGAACGTGTTGTAAGTAACGCGATGAATACTATCGCGTACTTTTTTTTATCTAATAAAAGAGAGGAGCAAAGTAGTAAAACGAAATCTTTTATTTATATCCTTCACGAATTTTACATCTCTCAGAATAAATTTTCTGGAATAAGGTCAATTTATACGAGAGGATCTCTCGGAAATTTTTTCATACGCAAACACGCATACATACTTGACACGCACGCACGCACGCACGCACGCAATGATGTGCTAGCTAAACTTGTACCGCGAAATGATATACGTCAATTGTATGTGCGTTGTGATATTTTAATTTTTTTAACAACTCTCGTGGGACGCATTTTTTAGCCAATGAGAAAATTTATATTCTAGTTGTATCGCTGCGAGAAAAGCAAATTTTTCCATTTAATATCACATATTTGCATTCGGAGAATCATTGAAAAAAAATAACGTAGATATTTCTATCAATTTACGAATGTATGAAATGTATGAAATAAATAATAGTCGAATTAGCTCGATAATTACATTAATTGGACATCATCCTGCACTATGATGATTACATCGAAAAGTTGGGAAAAAAAGAAACGTTAAAATTCGCGTAATCATTCTATTTGGAGTGTATATGAGCAACCTTTGACTTTGAAACAAGGAAACAAATTTCCATAATGTATCGTATATTCGAAATAATAATAATAATAATTACATTATCATTTATATAAGTACATTATCTTTTATACAAATGAGAAACTAACAGAAAATTATCGATATAATGAAATAAATAAAATCTGATTATAAGATATCGAATCAATTAATTCATCGTTAATAATTTATTGCTTCTGCTTTATCTGAAAGCTTCGTAATAACGTATACGGAGATAGTCTAACTACTATTTATGGAATTTTAGTAATAGTATTTGTTTACAAATTTGAGAGATTAAGTCGGGGGTCGCCTTATCGTTCTAAGTGTGCGTTATTCGAATTTCAAAATGTTGAATGTCGCTTATTTGACAGATCTGCATTTTACGTTATGGAAGCCTCGTTTCCAGAAATCAAATAATTGCGTCGCAAGTATGAAAAAAAAAAAAAACATCGATTATGGGGATAAATTGGAAACGAGAAAAAAAAATCTACCATCGAGATTATCCAACCCAATCAAGTAATTTTTTTCCAAGTGAAAAAGAAGAGAAGAGAGAGAGAAAGAAAACGTTTCTCGTAACAAAAAAAATTGTAGGGATGATTCGAACGTAAATTAAGAGTTTCGGTTTACATTCGGTGTATATACACATATACGCACACACGTACTCGCACGTCCGTCGAAGGAAGGAATCGATATTTGGATTATCGGTGCCCGGACAATTGATGCTATATACAAAAACATTGGTGTATCTAACGTTAAGTACAGTGTAAGTACAGTTTTAGTAAATCAGCGATAACCAATGTATTGCGTAATCTCGTTATCGTAGATGCATACACGGGAGAGACTTTACCGAGTTTCTAGGTCTAACAATTTTGCAAGACTGCGAGAAAATTGAGAAATAAGTAGATGCGACAAAAATACATGTGTCTACATATACAGCAGTCGTATATACGTTTACACGCACACATACAGACGCGCACATTTGCTCAATGAAATTTAAATTGTACAGCCGGGATGAGAGTGCGAGAATGCTTATCTCCAATTGTCGAAAAATCACGCCATTGGATTTCTGGCAATTTATTTATCTTTACAATCTTTCAATCATAATTTATGTAATGCAACGACAACATATAATATATTCGCGCAATTTCGATACATTTTAATCATACATAGAATGCGACGCACGTGGAAAGACGCGAATGCCGTACGATACCGCCGACCTGTACACTTAAATCTCGACTAGTTTTACGTATCTATCAAAATTATTACAAATAAATAATACATGTTCGCGGACAGGAAAAAAATCTCATACATTCCATACCGTGATGTTGAATAACGGAAATTCGATGGAAATAATAAACGCGTCAAATGTTTCTCTCGTTGGCTATATCGACGAGTCATTGTATCGCGTACAGATCGATTCGATCAACTTTGCGCGAATAAAATTTTCGGCTCCTTATTCCTTTTGACGTAATATCATTTTTTTTTATGCCAATCTTTCTTCTCGTAATATTGTTGCGTCCTTGAATTCGATATCGCGATATTCGGACGGTGTTGAAGTCGAGGCCGAAACGTTGTCGAGAGATTGTTTATAAACAACTCGCGCTGTCAAAATGTTGTGCGGATGTTATTTTTTACGAGTCTTACTTCTTGCGCTTATTAAGTTGCAGGGCTTGCAAAGCGTTACTTATTTCGCGAGAGCGATCATGTAAAAGGTTTCGATCGGTTGTTTTCGCGTTAGACTATCGATCTCGATCGAACCACGGACGCAACATTTAAATTTGTATATAAGATTTAGCAGCGAGGCAGAATCTATACGATTCGTTCGACATTTTTTGACAGTTCCGTCTGATGTAATAGATGGAAAGAGGAAGCAATTTTTACGATAAAATTGGACCCGCTGAGAACCCGGTTCGCGCGAAAAGTTTAAAGCGCGTTCGTGAGAATTTTGCTTGTTCGGAGCCAGAGCCCTTAAGCTACCAATATATTTGGGTAAAAGTCGCAAATAAAAATATAAATTTCATTTGACGCGACACAAAGCGTTATTCTTGGATCGAGGTTGCAAATGTCTTTTTCGATCGCGACGACTGGAATTATACCTCGTAGAGGAATCGATCGGCCGCGAGAGGCTCGCCTCCGGTTTTCGCCTCCGCTAATGTCGCTTTGATTCGATCGGTGCACCCTGGGGGATGCACCGATTCGGAGCGCGCACAGACCGAGCGTTAATATTTGACTTTCGCCTTAACCTCCTCGGCGACGCCGCCCCATTTGAGCCTATAAACGCGCGAGCGCCACTGTATGAGAGGATCCAAAACAGCCTGGAGGAACAGATAGGGTCTCGTAATCTCGCTGAGCCACCAACCGCACACAAACTCGAGTTTGTCGAAGGGCAACGGACCGTTTTGCACGACGCACAGGAGCGTCCAGTCGAACATGAACCACAAGAGTATGTGCACCAGATAAAAAACTAGGGAGTCCCAGTCGAAGAGGACGCTGGCCGCCCAGGAAGCGAAGGCGCCCAGGACGAGGCACTCGCTGAGCGGCTCGAAGACGATGGTGGTGGGTAGCATCGCCACCCGCAGCTTGGCCCATCGTCGCAGTCTCGCTTGGAAGGACGTGACCTCGCAGTGGCCGCTGTTCTGCAGAGCCGGCTGCGAGGAGACGGTGATGAGCCAGCCGCGATCCGTCAGCGACTTGGCGTAGAAAAAGTCCTCGGCGAGGTAGATGCCGAACGCCTTCAGGCCCCCGACCTCGTCGAGGATGCACTTTCTCAGGAGGGCCGACATGCCGGTGTGGCAGTTTATCCTGAGCAGGTCCGCGGCGAGGTACATCCGGGACTGCACCGTCCCGAAGAAGATCTTCTCGTACGCGGCGGCGAAGCCCTCGCGGTCGCAGGTGAAGGGCATCTGGTGGACCAGGGCCACCTTGTCCGTCATGTGATTCACCATGTCCAGGAGAGTGTCCTCCTTCATGCGTATGCCGCTGTCGCTGATGAGGACGAGCTCGTGCTTGGCGGCCTCGTACGCCGGCTGCATATTGTTGATCTTGGGATTCACCCCGACGTTGCAGCCGCCGACGAAGAGCTTGGCGTCGGTCTCCGGGTACTTCTCCATGAGCTTGCGCACCAGCATCAGCACGGGATCCGAGTCGTCCTCGACGCAGAACAGGAGCTCGTACCGCGGGTACTCCATCGTGAAGAAGGTCTCGAGGTTGCCGAAGAGATTCGGGTCGACCCCCATCAGGGGCTTTATCACGGAGACCCCCGGCAACGGCGTCTCGTAGCTCGGCGGTTGCGTCGTCTTGCGATGCAGCTTCCAGCGGCCGGCGATCAACGCCAGCATGTGCACGACCCACATGCCCGACCAAAACACCATGAAGAATATCGCGATCACGTAGAGAGTATATAGCATGGAGTTCATTTTCCAGGAGCGAGGCGAGGGCCGGTCCAAGGGCCCGTCTAGGCCGGCCGGCCGCGGACCGGCCTCGGCAGCGACGCGCCTCCGAGGGAGAGAGCTCCTCTATCTCGCTTGGCCGCTTCTCCTCCGCTTCTCGCTGGGACGCGGGAGGAACGTCCGGGCCTCGTCGTCGCCCGTCGACGACATGGCGCTGCTCGGCTCTCGGCTCCTTCGACGCGCGACGCGACGCGACGCGACGCTCCTACTCGTCGAGCATCGCTATCGTTGACGTTTCCTCGGCACCGCAACACCCACAACCGCCGCCGCAGCTGCGACCGCGACCGCGACGACGACGACGGCGACGACGGCGACGACGACGACGGCGGCAACGTACTTTCCCCTTGCAACGCATTCACAACCTTTAGCCGGCCCGCTGCCTCCGACGTCGCTGCCTCCTTTATCTTTTTCGCCAATTCGTTCTAGCAGCCTCTATCTCGAGATAATAACCTCCTCCTTCTCGAACCGCGCCGAATCGGGCACCGACGAGCGCGTCAACTGCCGTCCGCGTCGTCCGCGCCGCGGTAGCCGACCTCGGGCTCTCGCGCCCGCTCCTCGTTCCGTTCTCGAGCGAGCGAAGCGCTCGAGCGTCTCGCCGAGTCGGGAGCCCAAGTCGAGCCGGGCATCGTCGAACGGCCTGATCGGCTTGATTCCGCACCCGCACCGAGTATCCGACGACGCGTTGGCACTGTCGCTCTTCTCCGCTCTAGTCGCTGGCATTGACGCCTCGTCCTCGTCCTCTCTCGACGGCTCCTCGCGCTATCGTGCCATTATCTCTTCCTCCTCTCTCCCGGGCTCTATCCAATTCTGTCCTCGAATCGAACGCCGGAAAGCGAAAGCGAAAGGAATCTTTGCATGACAAAGCGAAGCGGCTCGCGGCTCGCGGCTCGCGTCTCGCCCCGAAATGCCTCTTCTTTTAACGTGGCGCGCGCACTGACGCGTCTCGCGACTCTCTCCCCTCCTCAAAGTCTCGCTCGGCGACGCATACGTGCCAGGAACGGTAGGAACCGCAACTTTTTATTTCGTCACGGATGACTCATTTCGTCGATTTCAATTCGGTATATTTAATCGCAGCTGACGATAACAACTCCATCAAACTCTACGATATCCCATCCTAGAAAGCGCGCAAAAGTGGGGATTCTGTCCAATGACCTCGAGCCGAGGGAGATAGTTGCCAAGGGGTGATGCTATTTCTATTTTTGTATCGGAGAGACAGAGAGCAAAGTACAGACTGAAAAGGTGGGGCGCATTGAAAAAACGGAGAAGGTATCACCTTCTTGGAGATTGGTCGTCTTTATCGTGCTTCTCTTTCCCTCTCTCTCTCTCGTTGCATTCGATATGTTATATAATTCAGTGCAAACGTAAATTTGCTTTTAGATTGAGAGAAAAAGAGTCGACAAAAATTAATCGCATGTGATTATCGGTTTCAATGATATTTTCTCTCATTGTCGGTAAGACATTTCAAAGCGGAATAATTTTAAAACATTATACATGTGATAAAAGTACAATATCAAATTACAATAATTTATTTTTTGACAAACGAGTATTCTTAGAACTAGTTGTCGGGTTTCCCTCAATTTTCATTTTCACGTCATTGCCTTCTCAAACCTGAAATTCTATATTTTACGATAAGTTTAGGATCTTGTACATGTATAATAACATACATTTTTTTATCATTTTATGCTTCCAGTCTGCGCTCTTTATGTCCTAAATTTTTTAAAAAGAGGATGTTTATTTGCCGTTGATGAGCTAGGAGCTTTCTTGTACTCGTAATAGACGGCATCGTCCGCTCCCGACATTGATGTCATAGTGCCAGCTTTACGTACAATCTGAGAAAAAATTTTACTTTAATATGTACTCGCACACACATGTGTGAAATGTATTTTTTGACTATAATACATGTTCCCAATTTAATATTTTAAAAACTTTGATTATATATCAGATCTCTATTCTACATTTGTGTAAATCACACTCACCGGTCTTGGTCCTTCGTTGGGTATTCTTTCTTCATCCGCATCTGTGTCGCTAGCTGTCAAAACTTGTTGCAACAATTGACCTTGTTCTTCTCGGTTCCCATACATTAGATCCGGCTCCTATATGAAAATCATTAAACTTTTTGATAACAATGCAAATATTTTGTAAACAAATACGTCATATACATGAACACACACAACTATAAAATTGTATCGATTGTATCTTTACCTCATCCATGCCTGCAAGTTTTGTAATGACTTTGTAGGCATAGCCTTGATTTACGAGAAATCGTTGACGCTTTCTGGAATAGTTCATTTCCATCGTATCTTGCGATACGAGCGTATAAAAGAATGCGTTATACTCTTCTGCAATTGCTCCTACAACGAAATTTTTAGTTGCAATAATTGGCAGTCGATAGACGCGAGCAAATTATATACCTTTTTTAGCTCTAAGAATACGTCCTAATCGTTGCGCTTCTTGTCTTCTAGATCCACCGTGAGATGAAATTTGAATCAAGACATTAGCTTCTGGTAAATCAAAAGAAGTATCTGCTACTTTACTCACAAATATCGTATTCACTTTTGTATTAAATTTAAAGTTTTGCAAGATGTGTATCCTCTCGCTCTAAAAATATAAATAATATAAATAGTAAAAAAAACGTGCGCTTTCAAAGTATAATTTTATATACGTATATCAAAAGTTATCTAGTTTACAATCTCTACTTACTTACCTGAATAGTAGGACCATAAATATACGGCTTATTCATTTTAACAGCATAATGTTTTAATGCAAACACATTATCGGAAAAGACGATTGTTTTATCGCCACGTCTTTCGTGATATCGAATTAAATATTGGCAGCACCGAAATTTATTTGGATTCATCACATACAACAACTGAAATTATAAAGAGAAATACGACATGTATATAATACATTAAAGAATATACAAGTTGTATAAAATATATAATAAATTTTTTCTAACCAGTTTTTTGCTCATCTTGCAACCAAGATATTCTCTGTAAAATTCTGGCGTCATGGGACACCAAACTTCTGCGCACTGTACCCTTGCTATAAATCCTCTCTTTTGCAATTCTAACCAGTTTGCCTCGTACAACTTTGGGCCGATTAAAAAATTTAAATCAGCAATTTTGTCGTCTTCTCGCAAAAGCGTTGCCGTTAAACCCAACTTGCAGTGAGATTGAACAATTGTTAATACTCTACGGAACATTTTTGCAGGAATAGTGTGTACCTCTAAAAATAAATGCCACAATTATTAATGTAAGAAGTACCAGTGTTACTTTTTATTTTAAATAATACGAATAAATTTACCATCCAAAACCATAATACCCCATTCTTGTTCTTGAAGCCAACGCATCGTATTCTCGGCATCCCAAGAGCGTTTTTGAGTGTGCGTAATCATAGAATACGTTGTTATCAATATACCACAACCCATAAATTTATCCTTTGCTTCGCTGGTAAATCGACAAATCATTGAATCGTCAGCAGTCGACCACATTTTAAATTGTTGCTTCCATTGTTCTACAGATACACCAGAGTTACATAAAACTAGAGCACGTTTACGTACTGTACAGCAGGCTGTCACTCCGACTAAACTCTTACCAGCACCTACATTTAACATGCAAGATTTAAAATTGTTGTAAAAATGTCCCTTGAAATTTTGATTACATTATATTTAGTACGACTAGGCGAGTTTTAGTATGAAATATACTTACCACAGGGTAAGACTATTACTCCGGATCTAGCTCGTCCATTGCCAAACATTTTCCGCAAACTTTTTTCTTGGTAAGGTCTTAATACAGCTGATGGTTTCAAGTCGATACTGGAATATTATTTTGATGTATTTTTAATTTTTGATGTACATGAAAAGTGAGATGTACAACTTTTTCATCAATATTACTTACTTTATATCTGGGTTTACACTATCATTACGAAAATCGTACTCTGCCAATAAAGGGTACTCAAGTTCGATGCAACGTTTTTGTACAACTTCAATTTTTTCCTTTTGTAATGACATATACAATTTTGAATATTTTGCAATATTGTTTAAGAGATAAATACTTGATAATATAAAATTGGATCGAAATATTGACACATACCTGATTTACTTCAAAACTAACTGTTTTCAATCCTTGATCTTCTTCTTCATCTTCGTCGTCTTTATCAATTTTATCATAAAAAGCTGTTATGTCTTCTGGAATGGTAGTTGATTCCACCATCATTTGATCAGATTCCGTTTCCGAATTTGTCTTACTAGTGGCAGGAGTATTTTGTGCCTTTGATCCAAACTATATTCCAACATAAAGAAATATATCTTATTATCATACTAGAAATTATTCAATTAATTATTGGCACACTTAGTTCTATAGACCTGAGGAACTTTTGATTTAGCTTGAACATTTGTGACAATATCATCAACATCTGTATCTTCCGTAGGCGTTATTCGTGTCCTCAACCGACATTCTTGAATAACTGGATCTTTTAATAATTTCTGCAGCACTTCAGGAAATGGCGATTCGATAAAATATTTATTATGTTTTAAAACAAGTTTTACCTATATAAAATGTTTAATATTTTAATATTTCAATTATCTCAGGGTTATTTTTTAATGTCAAACAAAAGAAATTTGTTCAAGTTATCTTTACTCACTTTTCCATAGGATAATGTACATAATTTTATAAACTCAATTATACCATCGGGAACACTAGTTTTACTTAATCTTTTTAAATATTCTATTATATCTTCTGTTTGCAGACCAACACTAACCGCAGCATAGAGCGAATAGGCAGTCAGTTTGTACTGAAAAGGAGAAAAAATTGTATTATACGTATCGCTTCCTCTCTCTAATAATATTTATTTTATCATTCTTTGTTACTCATACTTCGTGAATAAATTCTGGTCGGCATACAGGTTCAGATATCGCAATTAAGAAATCATGAGCATGTTTATATACGGGAGAAAAGGATTCCAAAAAGATGTGTCCATTTGGTGCCTATAAAAAAATGCGTAAATGTCTTTTAATACTTTTTCATCTTTAAATATTTCTCTGCAATGTTCTTGTGCCAAATTTGAATAAAATTTTAGTCTTACCACCCACAATGGTCTGGATGTATTATCTGGCTTTAAAATCATTTGCAAGCGATAATCTTTGGCTCCAAACTCATCTTCGGTCGCGCACTCATCCTGCTTTTCTACATCAGTTTTTGCCGCGTCTGGCACACCATCCGCTTCATTACTGTCTATCGAATCGTCGTCGTTATATTTATCATATTCGTCTTTGCGCTTTTTCCATTTACCTTTATTTTAATAAATGTATTATTAGTAAATATATAAATGTAAATGTAAAGTATATAATTACTTTAATGTACGTCAAATTTACATCAAATTTAATATTATTTAGAAACATAATATAATAAAGATATAATAAAGAAAGAATAAGTTGAAAGAAAATTCGATTTATAACAAATAAAAGATAACCTGTAGAAAAACATGGATTATACTTGCCATTATCTTTTTTAAATCGTTTTGGCGGACCCATTATTTAAAGATGTCTAATTGCTTCCTCTGCTACAATATATGTATCAATTATTCTCGTGTCAGTAGTATTGATAACTGCCAACAAACTGAAACGACACAGCATACATTTATCACTGAACCATGTTTCTTTAGTCCCGATCTACAATAGGTAATTTAAGCTCTAAGCCTTAAGAAATTGACCAATTACAGTCGAGTATTCTCTTCATACTTGACTGTGATTGGTCAATCTCCTAAGGCTTAAAGCTTAAATTACCTATTGTAGATCGGGACTTACACCATGGCTGTGAACTGCACTGACCTGCACTGATCTGCACTCCGCACTCGGCGCTGCACAATTTTAGATACAAGAACGATACAAGTAGATATAAACAATGGTACCTGTATTTAATAAGCGTAAAATTCGTAGCAACGCTACGAGAAAGCGGAAAGAAGCGAATAGTAGTGACGGTGAGTTATAATGAATAATCCATTTCAGTGTAGACTAATTATAGATATCGCACGTCCAGTGGATTAAGTTTGGTTAAACGAAAGAATTTTAGGTTATAGGCCCAAGTGAACAGGTAAATAAATGTTTGGATTTGCATTTTTTTTATATAGATAGCAGCGAGGATGAAACTACGGTGATTAAAAAGGAGAGGAAACGAGACGATCATAATCCTATGATTCAAAGTGTGAGTATTTTTTATACAAAATGTCACGAAATTAATATATCTTTTTCTCTCTTTTACTTAAATTATACCATTAAAATGTCTAGTTATTGAATTTTTGATAAATTTAGAATATGTGACGTTTTATAAATCTCATCAGTTTTCGTTTTTCTAGACAAATGTAAAAAAACAGCAGGAAAAAATTCATTATGACAATGATACTGATGATGATATAAGGGTTTCCTATAAAAGTAGCGGAAATGCTTTACCAGCTGGTCCGAGTGACCAAGGAGCAACAGCTATTCTTCAAACGGAAACGGAAAAAGACAAAGATGCGCAAGCATTATTCGAAAAAGCCCAAAAAATAAATGAAGTATGTGGAATCATTTATTCGTTAAATATATTAATTAAATTTAAAATTGATCTTTTCTGGAAAGATAAAATTAATAATGTTGCTCTTATTTGAATTATTAGGAATTGGAAGGAAAAGAAGATGACAAAATTTACAGGGGTTTAAATAATTATGCGCAATATTATAAAAAGAAAGACACAGCAGCTGGTAATGCGTCTAGTGGCATGGTTCGTAAAGGACCAATTAGAGCACCCTCAAATCTTAGGGCAACTGTAAGATGGGACTATCAACCTGATATCTGTAAAGATTATAAAGAAACTGGATTTTGTGGCTTTGGAGGTATATATATAATTATAATTTACTTTAGTATTAAATAGATGTTGTAGTTCATTTTTGTAGAGTTTTCTAAAATTGATATAGTAAAAATTTTCTTTTTTTTTTTTTTTTTTTTTTAGATAGTTGTAAGTTTCTTCACGATCGGTCGGATTATAAATTGGGATGGCAATTGGAAAGAGGGGCTGCTACTGGAGAATGTGATAATAGTGGAGATGAAGATGATAAAAAGTATGAGATTGATAGCGACGAAGACAACTTACCATTTAAATGCTTTATTTGCAGAAACAGTTTTACAGATCCAGTTGTCACAAAGTATGTATTATTAACTTATTAATGTTCAATATTACTGTTATATATTAATAACTTTAATATTTAAAAGGGTCTAATCTATTTACTTATTTTTAGATGTAAGCATTATTTTTGTGAAAAATGTGCTTTGCAACAATATAAGAAAAGTACACGATGTTATGTTTGTAATACTCAAACTAATGGCACTTTTAATCCTGCAAAAGAAATCATTGCACGAACTAAAATGGAGGAGAAAGAAAAAATAACCACCGCAAGCGAAGCCTCTGATGACGATTAACAAAAATAAAACAACATCTTTACTTCCAGACATACAATTTTAACAATTAATGTATAATATGAAGAGTGACAATTTTTAGAAATTGTAAGCATTAATATAAATTGTTTTGATATATGTTATCAATGTATATAATATATTTTGTGGAGCATTTAATGGAAAGTAAACGATCCTTTGGATAGCTTTCCAATTTTTCTCTTACACTTATTCTTTAAATAACAAACATCTTTCAAAAATATGTTAAATTTATTATGAATATTAGAAGCAGTAACGAAGATATACATATATATCCTAGGGATGTATATGTGGGATACACTCTAAATAGGATTTAAATTTTTTATTAAATGGATAATAACTCCATGCATAATATATTTTTAATAAAAAAGTAAAATTTATTTACAGAAAGAATAATATTTACATATTTTTTTATATAATTGCATCAAAAATTTTTAAATGCATTCTATAGATCAAAAGTCTAGATATCATCGAGAAATAATGTTGCCACTAGCAGAAAGACTTTCTTCATTGATTACTCCCAAGAAATAGAGACATACCAAAGCAGCACCTTGTTCAGCCCATTTCTTATTTTTTTCCCTGAAAGGAGGAAGTGTACAATAAAGAAGTAGAAATAAAACGGAAAGAAATAAAAATCTTTTCTTTTTTCAAATATAATTTACCAGAAGGAAGAACCATATTTCCTGCCGTCAACGGTAACTACAGAACAAAAAAGTTTATCTTCTTGCTGAGTATTATATATCGGCATTTTTTTACGATTTTCCTTGGTCCACTTGAGTAATCTAGTCTTTGGCAGTTCAGAGTCTGTTGTGTAACTATTCCTCAAAAAAGCACAACGCATCAAGGAAACATCATTCTCTTCATAAATTTTTCTTTTGTGAGAAACATTATTGTCCTTTGCGTCTTTGTCGAGCATTACTGGCATCACTTGAAATCGACCCAACAAGCCCTTATCTCGAAATTCCTTATTTTTGGATCGGCAATAATCACCCAATCCCCATACTTCACTAAAAAGAACTTTTTGAGCAAACATAGAAAGCGAAAAAAAAAAGGAAAAGAAAAAATATTCACCATATTTGTTCTAGTGTTTGCGAATCGAGAAATTTTCTTCCTAGAGGAGATTCCTGAAGCTCCCGTAAAATATTTTGTACACAATATTTTGTATTGGAAGGTGAATTATCACAATCAACTGCATATTTTAAATATGATTTTATAACATTTTCCATTGATAGTAGACCTTCTTTACGAAATATCGAACAGTTCCATTGAGCTGCGCGAGCAAGCATCACACTACTACAACCTGTTTTTTCTTTAAATCTATAGAAACAGATTAAAAAAGACTTGAGAAATGTGTACCTGATGATTATTTGATAAAAAAATGCTGAAATGACCTGAATTACCTGAATATGTCGGAATGCTGTTGAATGTCTTTGGACCCACCATTCGCGATGACCGGTATCGAGAGTCTATCCGAAATCTGCTTGAGAACTTGATTTCGATTGGGGTGTTGCGGTCTCTCCTCAATCGTGCGACCGTGTATGGCAATGGCTTCGATACCAGTAGAAGCTAGGGTGTCGCAAAGTTGGAGAGTCTCCTCCAGGCTGGATAAAACGCGTATTTTACACGTGACTGGTATTGTTACAGTTTCAATCATCTTTCGCAAAATATTTGTCGCTTTTCGTGGGTCACTAAGAAGGGAAGCGCCCATTCCTCCGAGTATTGAAAATTTCTTTGGACAACCCATGTTGACATCTATGCCAGCAACATCCTTTTCCACCATACGAGCGACTTCGGCCGCTCTTAATGGATCGGACGTACCAATTTGAAGAACCACATGCTCTCGTTCCCGAGGACAAGTACGAAACACTACTGTACCGTCAGTTTTGTCGATGTAATCGATTGTGCTCAAAACATCTACAAATCAAATAATAACAATGAATAAATCTAAAATCTTAGACAAATTAAGTTAAGAGTCAATAAAATCTGATGAAATAAAAATTTGTTTAAAATTAGGAAAAATTGAACATTAGTCCTTCTTTAAAGGAATACCGCTTTATTCGACTCAACAAAATTCAAGTCAATTGAAACAGCAACTATGACATAAAAATTTAACTATGATAATATTAATTATATTAATAATCACAATAGAAATGTGTTAAAGTTTGTGTATCGATGAATCAAATTCTTATGCTCAAGTTTAATATAAAATCCTTTTGACATAATGTCAATACATGAAAGTTTTGCATAATTTTTGCAAAAAAAAAAATGCATTTTACCATTCTCTCGACGAATCGAACGAAGTAATTTTCTATCAATCAACTCTTCGGTATAAACTATGTCCGCACCGTAGTCTAGAGCGAGCAAACGCATCGGAAGTGTTCCGATACGCACCATGGGCGCCAAGATGAGTTTATTGTCGTAGTTGAGTCTCGTTCTTGTAACTGGAGCCGGCTCTTTTTCCATTTTACCGCAAACAATGCGTTATGACGATTCATGCAGACATTAATTCAGAACCCACGTGGACTTACGTACGTGGATTTACATATGTGTAGGGGACATTGATAAGCGAAATTTTATTTGTTGTCTTGATCGTTTTAGAGTCACTTTGTCACGTCGGGTAAAACCGTATGGAATGTTTTCGCATAATTATTTTGCGCATTTGTCACTTTATTAAAAACGTTTGAAACTTCAATAACCCTCAGAACACGTATCTTGTTTCTTTTAGAGAGGTTAGAATTAAGCGTATGCTAGAATGCGTTCAAAAATTCTATCGTGAGATGAAGTAGCGTTTAACTGACCAATCGGACAAAAGGGGAGCAAACATTTCTGCGTCTCGATTGGTCGATCGATTGCGATTATATCCTACGGGTACGATTTTCGAACGTACTTTAAACTAAATAACAGCACACATGCGACATACAGCTACATGTGTGTGCGCGCATGTGTGTGGCAACCTTGAGTATCACTACCAACTTTATTCATTCATCCATTACCAATTTCATTCAATACCATATACGTATATGCGTTCAATTTGTATGGAATGCACGGATGATGAGGGTAAATTAACCAAGTTGAGTTAGGTCAACAATTGTGTAGTATATGTAGTATACGTATATGCGTTTTCGCGTCTTACAACTTTTCGAGACTCGTAATAATTTCGCGACGTTATGACATCGGTTCGCCGTTTTACAATGACACTTTGCCTGGCACGCGTGTTTGCTTCCGTCCGCGAATAGACTGGAGAGAAAAAGAAAACTGTGACGACACTTGAAAACAATTGACAAGGATTCGAATGGGAAATTCGGTCAATTACCTTGGACTGGGCGAGTTACTCGGAGAGATAGCGAGACGGTGATCAGCATGGTAAACGCGAGCAGCGTCGTGGCGCATTTCGTGAAATTGCTGGTGACCGCGATATGCATGAGGCATCTCGCCGAGCCCTACCGGGCAAAGGCCTTGCCGACTACGTGGTCTCTGCGTGCCTTTCGAATTCTCTTCATGCATTCGATCTTGGGGATCTTCAGATTCGGTAAGACGAATGTCTCGTATCTAAAAATAAACAATCCCTCTACCTGTTGCTTTGCTCCTTTTTTGTTTATAGAAACAAGAATCTTACATTTATCAAAATGCGACAAGGTATAAAATTGATCTAAATTTTTTCTTCAATTTTATTTAATTTTATTTATTTGCTTTTAATTTCCTTTATATTTCTTTATCTTTACTATTAACTTGGTTATACATTATTATATACGTGTAATATTATTCATTATATTAGTATTATTATATTTTACTATTATTTTATACAATGTCAGTTGTATCCCTTTTACATTTCATTTGTTTATACGTAATATTTCTTGGCAGTTTATGTGCATGTGAGCATATACCATTTTTTTTATAATGTGTTTTCTTCAATGGCTACTCTATTTGTTCAAAGCTTAATAACTTATAGGTATGGACCATCCAAGATTCCATGTCATAACTTTGCAGGGGGGTGGGCACAGGGTGGGTGTCGCAGCAAAGAGCGATTCACGATATGACACATGGCCACGTGGTATTTAATTTTTGTGTCTAATTCGAGAATGGAAGAGGAAGATTTTTCCATTTGTCAACAATAAGGATTTACGGTTTTTGTCAACAATAAGGATTACGGTAATTGTACAATATTTGTTATCGTTGGAACAAGTGAGGAATCTTTGCAAAAAAAATGTATATTAATTATATCTTTGAGATTTCTACATATGTATAATTTATTTAATAGCATTAATCTTGGTCAAATTAATTGCGTTTGCATCTACTTGGAGTTTTGTTTGTTATTATGCAATTTTGTCCAAGTATACTTTTGCGCAACATTTATTTAATCCTTTCAGAAATACCTTAGAATGATAAACAAAATATATGCAACATTAGAGCATTGTATGCACAATTGTCTACAAGCTACGTGCACTTTGTTGGAATGTTTTCGCACATACATATATTCTCACAGTAACGTAAGACTTTTCACATCCAAGCGAGAAGCAAGAAATTTTGACAAGCACCGTCTCAATTTTTTTCTTTTCTTACATGTTCCAACAAGTCGACCTAATAATTTATGGTATGGTCATGTGATCAAATTACATTTGTTTACGTACACTGTTCTTTTGCAAACTATAGCACAGAGTTATAACATTGAATCTTGTATCCTTTTAATGCCTATTTAATGTGATTGTACACCTCTACATTTTTTTCTTATACATTTTCTTTATTATATAATTTCAACATTTTCAGGAGTTCCGTTTACTTCGTCATCGACACCTACGGCAAAGTGCTTTCGAAGCTTTTACGATTGGTTTTCCAGTGTCATTGAAATTGTTCCTTTGGCATTACTGACATCTGGTATATTGAGTGCATATCAGGTAGATGAAAAGATACGTATGCTGTTATTGTTTCTTGGTACGATACCGATATTTTTTCCATTAGCGATAAAACAAAAGGAAAGACAACTTAGGAAGCTCCGTTTTATAACTAATATCACTATCGTATTACAAATATTACCGATAATGATACTTGGTTTGCAAAATGGCAATTACAACGTTATTAGTTTAGTTGCTTCCTATACTTTTGAACGTTTTTTTGTGGAAGAATTTTGTTATCGATATAGTATTCCGTACACTGATTTGATGCAATATTGTATATGCTTTGTCGAGGTCTTCACAGTATCAACATTGCAGGAATTGTAAGAGGCTAATTTTGAATTGATTCTCTTTTATCTATTCAAAGCTATTGTCGTTTGATACTTAACAAGTGTTGTTTATTATATTTGATATGAAGATATATGTTTGATATGTCAATTTTTAGAAAGGCCTAAAGAAAAATCTGTGCTATAGTTATATGATACAATCTTTCTACAATTATTCTATAATATAAATGAACCGATATGTAACAATAATATTATTTTGCTATCAATTTATAAATTTAAATCAAAGAAATGACACAAGTCAAAGTAAATATGTGAAATTTTAATACATTTTATGTATCACAAAAAGTACTGCCGATTCAAAGTAAGATATATATATATATATATATATATATATGTCAATTACAATTTCTATAATATACATAAAAATCATGCCATATTTTTTATTCTTTTTATATCATAATGTAGCCACAAAAATTTGTAATCTTTTTTTAATAGCTGTTTAATATATCCCCTAAAATCAAATTCTTCTAGGAAAAAGAATCGGCGCAAAGTTTTTTGACATAGTCAATATCTCATAACAAAATAATCCGAATGTACTGAATATTTTTTTTAATGACGAGCTAAAGAGATGCGTATAAGTGCAATTTGTTGATTTAACTTGTGTAATTAATTTTATTTATGTGAAATTTTTATGCATATAGAAAGAAAATTTTTAATTGCCGGCCTATTTAACTACTAGAAACACACGCGCGTGCCCACAAACACACACACACATATACACAAATGGCCAAAAGATGATTTTTTCATAAGTGATAGTATTTGATATAGAAATTTCTATTCTGATTTTATAATTGAATATATAAAATCTTTTATTATCTGATTGATTTAATGTTTAGGCCCAGCAAGAACACTTTTTTTATCTAATAATGTGTCGTTAGAATTCTTAAGATATCTAATTCAATGACGAAGAATTGCGCCATCAAAGCACAAATTCTCTGACAAAGGAATGTTCCAATTTTAAGACTTGTGTATTAAAATTTATCTACGGTTTACTAATGAAATATTTTACCCAATATTTTGATATATAATATAATGATAATCATTTTTTCCCGCGAGATTTTGCTACAAATTTATCAGAGAGATGTATCACCTCTTGTGAATATAAAATTTTTCTTATACAAACTTTACTGTGTAAAGTCATTTATTTATGTCATAAATAATAACACGTTCGAGTCCACATGTGCTAAGGGAACGTGACTATTATTATCCCTACCTCTACCGAAATGTATTTCTTAAAATATTGATAAAAAAAGTTGTACATATTTTTCACAAATTGCATTTGCGAAACAGAGTGGAATATAGCGTGGAAATGATTTTAGACTCAAATCTCTCATGCGTTTTTTTATTCTTAGTATCTGTTTCTTCACACACTTTGAAAATGATTTATATATTTCGGTAATCCTTTCCATTTCATTGGATATTTATGCACACATGTTATTGACACAAATAGGCTTTAACAAGTATTTATCTGAAAGTTTAACAAGATTTGTTTGCAAGATTTTCAAATGCCTATAATAAATAAATTGTATTTAATGTAAATATATAAAAATTTATATTATTAAAGAACGAAGGAGATTTTAGCGACATGATTATATGTATATTTCGCAATAAGCTTTCTTTCTAGCTTTCGAGTACAAGTATAAGTATAAAAAAAAATTAAAAACATCTACATCGACATACATACAAACGATATTATTAGTATATAAGTGATACAAATAATTAAATTGAGCGATTTCGATAATTTATTATCGATCAATGAATTTTCAGAGTATGATTATATTCAAGCCACATGTAATTTAAAAACAGCTCATCCAACAAGAAGCATCGCTCGAAATATAATTAAACGTGTCGAAAAGTAAAAAAAAATTATTTAGATATATTAACTCAATGTTGGGAAAAAAGAATATCAAGATAAATGGCCCAATTTTGCCATTGAGGATTTCGCAATTAAGTTCTCCTTGTTAAGGAGTCTCGACGCGTTAATTTGGCATGAGCAAAATTGCTTTGCAAAATTTGGCACAGTAATGCAATAACCATCGAATTTACCTCTTGCTCGATGAGTGGATGCACTGAAAATATTTCCAATAAGATTATTTAGCGTACATCTTATAGTAGTGACGATACAAGGCTGCGCGCGATGATAGCTATTAGATGAATATAATTTATCTCTATATATTTTAAAACATGAATCTTTTTTCAGTACATTTGATCAATAAGAATATTAGCAATCGAGAATAATCGAAAAGAATACCTCCGACCTATTTTTTCCCCCCGACTGGAAAATGCGCGGGAAGGAAGCGATGAATCGTTTGCGCCAGAAGGAACAGCCCGGGATATATTTTTACATCATTCTAGCTGCATGCTAGGCATGTTGTAACGGTTTGCAGCCACGGAATGCGTAGGCAGCGACCTAAGAACGGTAATACGTTGCCCTATTTCAAGAGCTTGGAGTATCAGCTAATAAACGATTACATGGAATGGATCGCGCGCGCACCGAACGAGGACACAATTTTTATTTTTATCAATAGCGTGACACATATGCGATTTAAAATTCACACCCTATCCGTTTATTTTTATCATGTAAAAATAATTGAGTATATAATTGCGCCAAATATATAAATTACATAACTAGCTGTCGCGATTAGCCGTTTTTCCGCTACTCTCTCAGTCTTCGTCATGTGTCTGTATAATATAAATTCATTCATAAATATCAAGTACTTGCCAATCTATACATTTCTTTTCTACATGTATCGTTCGTTTGACGTCTTGAGAATAATTTAAAAATGCCGATCGCTATTGATTTTTATTTTTTTTTATAATTGGATGATTTATCGTATTCTGATATTAATAGCGATAAAATGTTCTCGTTACGTAAACGTAGATAAGATTATAGTAAAAACAGCCTGTACTGCGATACGCATGATGTAAAGATAATTTTATAATATTATAAAAAATGTGCTTTATTGTATAAAGTGCTCGATGAACTATCTTTATTCTATCTTTAACGAAAATATCTGTCAAAGCGTCAAAGCCGATATTATGCATCGACCTTTGTACAAAACGACGCGAAGAGGCGTCGGTACTCACTTATAACATGTTTCATTTTTCGTCGGCGTTACGCGAAACTCTATTTTTGCGTCCACCGACTTTCTAGCTGGTTTAGCCGATGACGGAGAGGAAGTCTTTATACCGGGACGGAAGAAGCGATTCTCTTCAAGTGTCGTTCGTCCGCCGCGTTCGTAGGTCACTCGGTTTCCCTAATAAAAGGTCCCCTTACTAATCGTCATGGTAAGAAGATAAGTTGAAAGATATCTTATTTGTTAAAGAAAAAAATTGTGTAAATTTAAAAAAAATTAAAAATTAAAAAATTTTCTTGCAAAAAAGACTATAAGAATGTCGCACATTATTCGAGCAACGATATTTGAAACGCTGTTGTGTTATTTATAAGAAAGAAGAGACATTTTCCTACTCTTTGGAGAATAAAAAAATGTTATTTTAAAATATGTCTCTCCTTTCTTTAATTATATTAAATAAGATTATATAATAATATATAATACATCGAGCAACACTTGAATTTTAAAATTTTCCGTTTAAACAAACCCACATAGTATCTATCAAAAAGATATTCGGAAGATATCAAATTGCCCAAAGATGTCTTCCGGATATCTTTTGAACGTCTTTTGGATATGCATGATATGTGGATGTGGATACATTCGACAGGAGGAAGATACTGATCAAAAAGTGGCCGTGATGCGTAAAGCATTCCAAATGTTTGATACAACGAAAAGCGGTTTTATCGAAACCATGAAAATCTCGACGATATTAAACACAATGGGACAACTATTCGACGATGGTGAATTAAATTCTTTAATCGAGGAAAATGATCCCGAGGGTTCTGGCAAAGTGAATTTTGACGGTTTCTGTAAAATCGCCGGTCGATTCCTTGAAGAGGAAGACGCCGAGGCGATGCAGGAGGAATTGAAAGAGGCGTTTCGATTGTACGATCGTGAAGGTAACGGATACATTACTACGGCTACATTGAAGGAGATTTTGGCGGCGTTGGATGATAAACTTACCAGTTCTGACCTTGATGGAATAATCGCAGAAATTGATACAGACGGCTCCGGTACGGTGGACTTTGACGGTAAGTACAATACTGTATATGTTTTCAATAAGATAGAAATTATTAACTTATTTGTGATGAACGCTTGATCCGTTTGCAGAATTTATGGAGATGATGACTGGAGAATGATCGATGTATTAAAACGATGATGGATTATCCAATTACTATAAGAAGGCATTAAACTTTCTTAATAAAATGATATTTTTCGCAAAAGAAATTATTTTATTTTATCGTTAATTAATCCTTACTTATGTGCATGAAAATCGGTAGGGAATGCAAGGAAATGAGAAAGAGAGAATTGTATCGTAAATACATATTTACAAATATCTGCATTTTAAATAGGGCAATTTATTAATTGCATTTGCTACATCAATAAATTTTTTTTAACATTAAATGAAAAAATAAAAAACGCTTTTGTTTAAACATCATCGTTACATATAGCGATGCCGCATCTATAAGTTTGACTTAGGAACATTTCACTGGTAGTACATCTCGTTGGCGGGTTGGTCTTCATGTTGAATATAGGCGGTTTGTACATATACATTAGGTACGGAAAGAGCACCAACGCTCAATGGTCTGTCCAATGGATAGTTGAAAGGTTTACCATCCAGAGAAATAGCACCACCAATAATTTGGGAGATGGGCTTATTCTGGTAGTATCTGCTGACGGAACTATCCTGTTGTCTCTGATTGAAGACATTTTGGAAGCCGCCAGCATGGGATTGTCCGCTACCGGCGTTTGCTGCACCATATCCTTGCTGCTGTTGGCTCTGTCCTTGGTAAGTAGATTGGTATTGGCCAGACTGTGCGCCACCATTACCTTCTTGCGCACTTTGTACATTTTGTGGTCCTTGGTTGCTTTGCTGTCTACCTTGGTTGCTTTGCTGTCCACCTTGGTTGCTTTGCTGCCCACCTTGGACTGCTACTGCGTTTTGTCCTTGCGCTTGACCCCATGGCTGTTGTCCTTGCGATTGACTCGATTGCTGCTGTCTACGAGCGTTTTGAGCCTGTTGTCTTTGGTATCCATACTGGTTTTGTACGCCGAAGACATTCTGTACTTGCCGTTGGACTTGAGATTGAGCGTTTTGTCCTTGTTGTTGGGCGTAGAAATTAGCTTGATGGTTTCTTACAGCTGCAAAGAAGAAATGACTTATTCTTCTGACAATGCTACTCAACAATGAATGGCTTTGTTCTTGTGGTATTGATAATGCACCTTGATTTACTTGCTGATTGGCTGATAGATTTTCAGGCACAACTTCCACAGCTTGCTGCGAACCGCTTCCCCGGTTACCTTGATATTGCTGTTGATTCTGCTGATATTCCTGGGAGCTAACTACTTGATATTCATTTTGTTGGTATGTTTGGTATTGTTCCGGGATTACTGGCCCATAAGATGGACTTTGTTGTCCTGGTTGAGAAATCACAACAAACAATTGAACTGGGAATCCTTGACCTTGTTGACCTTTAGGAAGAGCCAATCTAGCGGGGAAACCAAAGACCTGTTGCGGCTGAAAAAAATTAATATTTAAGCTTATATTGTTTATCAAATTGTAATCATGGTTGTGAATTATTTATAGGAAAGAAAATAATTACCTCGGTGATGTAGAATGGATTTTGGGCTTGGACAGCGTCGTTGACGCTCTGCTGGATGTCTTGAACAGATGGATAATCAAAGCTCTGACCTGGTGCTTGCTGAGACTGCCTGGCAATAACATTCTGTCCTTGCTGAACTGTAAAATGAAAAGAAAGTTTTAACTGTTTGGTTAAAAAAGCAATTCGTTGATAATCTTGCAATCGGAAACATACGATCGGTTGTAAATTGATCGAGTTCGACGAATTGTTGTCTATGTTGAGAGATGCTGATGGGGTTGCCCTGATCATCAAATTTAGGTCCAAGATAGACGCGGACGACGACATTGGGTACGTTTTGCTCACTCTGGACGGTGATCTGATACTCGTACGGCTTATGATCTAATCTCTGTACTTGTGCCTTGATTTGCTGTTGCTGTTGAGCTTGTTGCTGCTGCTGCTGTCCTTGTTGGTACTGCTGTTGCTGTGATTGTGGGTACTGCTGCTGTTGTGATTGTGGGTACTGTTGCTGCTGTCCCTGTGGATACTGCTGCTGCTGCGATTGTGGATACTGTTGCTGCTGTCCTTGTGGGTACTGCTGCTGTTGTCCTTGTGGGTACTGCTGCTGCTGCTGCTGTCCTTGTGGCTGCTGCTGTCCTTGTGGGTACTGCTGCTGCTGTCCTTGTGGCTGCTGCTGTCCTTGTGGGTACTGCTGCTGCTGTCCTTGTGGGTATTGCTGCTGCTGTCCTTGTGGATACTGCTGCTGCTGCTGTCCTTGTGACTGCTGCTGAGATTGTTGATGCTGCTGCCCTTGTGGGTACTGCTGTTGCTGTCCTTGTGGATACTGCTGCTGCTGTCCTTGTGGGAACTGCTGCTGCTGCTGTCCTTGTGGCTGCTGCTGTCCTTGTGAGTGCTGTGGCTGTCCCTGTTGGTTTCGCTGCTGCTGCGAGTTTTGCTGCTGCCCCTGCTGGTTTTGCTGCTGTCCCTGTTGGTTTTGCTGCTGTCCCTGCTGGTTTTGCTGCTGTCCCTGTTGGTTTTGCTGTTGTCCCTGCTGGTTTTGCTGCTGCTGCGGGTTTTGCTGCTGCCCCTGCTGGTTTTGCTGCTGTCCCTGTTGGTTTTGCTGTTGTCCCTGCTGCTGTCCCTGCTGGTTTTGCTGCTGCTGCGGGTTTTGCTGCTGTCCCTGCTGGTTTTGCTGCTGCCCCTGCTGATTTTGCTGCTGCTGCAGGTTTTGCTGCTGTCCCTGCTGGTTTTGCTGCTGCTGCGGGTTTTGCTGTTGTCCCTGCTGGTTTTGCTGCTGTTGCGGGTTTTGCTGCTGTCCCTGCTGGTTTTGCTGCTGCTGCGAGTTTTGCTGCTGTCCCTGCTGGTTTTGCTGCTGCTGCGAGTTTTGCTGCTGCTGTTGGTTTTGCTGCTGCTGCTGTTGAGCATACTGCTGCTGTTGAGCATACTGTTGCTGTTGAGCATACTGCTGCTGCTGTTGGAATTGTTGTTGTTGCTGCTGGTTTTGTTGCTGTTGTTGCTGAGCGGCTGCGTTACTGACATCAACGTAGTAATTGTCGAAGAAAGTTACAAGTGGACTAATCTGAACATTCTGGATGCTAACGCCGGGCACTAAAATGTCATTGTATTGATATGCCGGTAGAGAGTTCTGATACTGCTGGAATAATTGGATGACTTTGTTGAAAAGTTGGTAGAAAGCTGGGTCACGGACGGCGATATTGCCCGATTCCAAAACAGAAGGAGTATAATCATAAATGTTCTGAACTTCAGGAGCATTACCGAGGAGTTGACGCGCGGCTGCTTGAAGACTGCCATAGTACCTGTAATAAAAAATATATCATCATAAGTATCACATGATATCATGATCGCGCGATTAGTCGAATAGAAGATTAACCTTGGATTAACACTTCTGCCCGTTCCTTGGATAAGTTCTCCAAGAATGTTCAAACCTTGCGGTTGGAAAAGGGAGAGGAAAGCGCCTTGCGGAGTGAGGACCTGTCCAGACTCAATAGTTTCACTCAGTCTCTGTATCATTTTTCTGACATTGTTGACAAGATTACTTCTAACAGAGCTGAGCTGAACATTTGAAGGACGTGAAGGGAATTCGAGTCCATTTGCTTGTCGAAGATGCGGTTGATACGGTGCTTGTACATTGTCAAAATCGGTATTTTGAACTGGACCAAGTCCGTTTGAAAGACGGTTCAGCTCGTAATGGGCCTGCAGTTGTTGATGAACGTAATAATAGATGGCTCCCTGACCGTTTTGCTGATTCTGATTACTTTGAATACCTCGATGTGCCGTCGATTGCTGTTGTGCATTCTAGAATTATATTTGTAATTTATATATGATTTATATATATCATTATATATTTTAAATAAATCATTTATATTCATCATTTATTCAAAAATATCATTGAGCACGCACGAATAGAAATATCAAGGAGATAGTATATTTTGTCTTTTTCTATGTAAGAAAATACTTCGCGCAATATTTGTTTGCACTATTTAAAATATGCTTACCTGCGACAACAAATCTCCAGCGAGATTAACGAAGGCGTAATAGTTGGCAAGGCCGATGTCTTGCGTGAAATAAGAAAGCTGCTGTTCATCGTTGGCTAAACTAGCAGTATAATTAACGGGAACAACAACAGGGTTTTGTCCGGCGCCCTGTGCAACAATGTTTTGGATTTCTTGGATGACTCTAGCGTCGAAATAAGATTGGGGAATAACTTCGTAGAGAGGCGGCAGAATGACACCCTGTGTCTCCGGGTGTTGCAGAACGGCTGCGATGAAAGCTCTGACAAATTGCTCTTCGTTAACATGGACGCGGGCCCAAGCGGCAGTTGCTAAAAGTGTCTGATAGTCTCTGGCACTTGATAAAGTTCTCTGCAGAAGGGCGACCTCCTTGCGAAGCTGGCTGTTGGAGCTTGAATAAGAAGTGCCTTTGGGTTGTACCAAACCGGCCTGTACAGTGCTCGCGTAGTAATTGACAAGGTTCGGGTTGTTATATTGTTGCAAATTGTTTTGGATGTCGTAGGAAGAACCAAGGTTCTGTAGCTGTTGATTCGGAATTTCTTGATTGATTTGTTGCAATAGTACGATAACATCTTGCTGCTTCCTCACAAGATCTTGATTAGCTAAAAAAGAACAAAGAAATGATTGATTGCAATTTCTCAAATTACATCATGTTTCAACATCCAAGTCATTTTTTTATAACAGACAAAAGTCTGTAAAGCTTAGTATTATAAATTCAATTAAAAAAGTAACATTAATAAACATATAGCAGCAATATTTTAAAGAATATTTCAAATCTCTCAGTCTTGTTTGAACGAAAAATGAGAAAGAGGAGAGATCAAAGAAGAGTAAAGTGATAATTATTACTTACCAGCACGTTGTTTCTGCTGCTGCTGCTGCTGCTGCTGCTGCTGCTGTTGCTGCTGCTGTTGGGGGTAGGCCGCCCCAAAAGCTACCAGAGCCAGTAGAACGATTGCGCACCTCATTATGATGCTGTCAAAGTCGTTCGCCGCATGCTGTCTACTGAGCGATGCGAGTCTTTTATACCAAAATCGTATCAAACAAAGACCTATCAGTAGCGACCTATTGACCCACCCCAGCCGTGTAAAATGTCTACGTGCGATACCCCCTGCTATTCAGATTCGGACTTGTCGAAGCTAATCGAAGGTTAAATTAAAGCGATAATAAATCCCCCCGGCGCGAAAGCAAGATTTCATTGCATCAGCAGTTACGGAATTAGAACTTCGTATAATGCCTTCATCATCAATTTTTTTTCTTTTCTTATTTTACCTTGATAACTATATTTTATTACCTTCATATAGCCACATTTTTATGCAAATATGATTTATTTTGCACTATAAATACTAGTTTGCTGCTCGATTCTTTTTTTTTCACTGAAATGAAATTTCACTTCTTTTAAATGAGAGATAAAGAGTGAAATAATTTTCAACATATCATTATTTAACGATACAATTAAATGCAGCATACACTTTACACAAATATTCTAAGAAATTTATTTTTCTCATCTCTTTTTATCTTTGATAATATAATTACATATCATATATAATAATAGATATAATATATATAAATCGCGATTGAAAAATATGCAAAATATTGGACTGTAAAGTCAATCTCAGATTTCGTACATTAGATGTTTACAGTGTTATAAAATAAATCGATTTTTTCTTTAATTAATCTATTTTTAACTAGATAGCAATTCAATGTCACCGAGTATCGATTCTGTGCATCGATAAAAATATAAATTGCAAAATACAAATAAATGATACCATGCATTTAAATTTCTTTTAAGATACAAGATAATCAAATCTTTTATTTGGGAACAGATAAATAATTTTAATTAATTACAAAGATTTTTATAAATAATTTGTGCAGTGAATTGCAACTTGATAAACTTTTTGCAGTGAATTGCAACTTGATAAACATGTAATTAATGTTATTACTTCGTTTGACTTATTTGTGCTTCAAACTTTCCATAAGTCAAGACTTGATAATCGGTTATTATCTCGTACTTCTGATGTAATTCGCGCATACGTTGTTGATGAAAACATTTTAACTTTTTTAAAAATAGGTGTGTATAAATAATTTTTTAATTAACTACTTAATATCTTTCAATATATATTAGTTTCATAAACATATCTAATGCTATTATAAATAACATTTATGAAATGAACATGTGCTATTTGGGAAGAAACATAATAGAAGCAATATGAATGGTGTAGTCATTGAAGTATAATCCACACAGGTAACACATGTTGATGTCACAAACGTCTCCTAAATGTATATAATATGATATTATAGATACGTTTAAGAAACGCTTATGTAATCAACATGTATTGGATATATTTGTATATAAAAAACATGATAATTAAAGACAGAAAATTTAAATTTAAAATTGGTTAAAAATTTAAATTTAGTTTTTAAATTTTAAATGCTTTTAAATTTTAATTTTAAATTAATTTATATATAAAAATTATAGCAATGCCAAGCGCTATCGGCGAATATCTTTATCCCATCTTTATTTTCTTTTTGAGAAAATGAAAATTGTAATATTTATAAACTCCAATAAATATTTTTGCCTCTCTAGCAGATATAATTATATATATATGCATGTACATATATAAATACATACATAAGATGTTTTCTGGATTAGAAATATTAAAATTATTATCTAGAATGTATTAATAAGAAAATCTAACAATTTTTAACATAAATAAATAATTTGCTTATGTATATGTGTACGCGTATATTTATCGCATTTATCACCATGTTTGCTTCTCTTATAGCATACAGCTGGATTATATTCTTGCATCATGAAAATATCAGTAAGATTTTGTAAACATCGTACAAAATAATAAAATATTTTTTATTTTAGATATTTGAAACTGTTAGATTTTTTAATTAACGCGTTCTAAATAAATGATTATATTTTTTTATAATGGCATACTACTATGGACAATAGGACTCATTCAGGTAAATTATGCATTAAAAAATAATGCATATATATTCTTAATTTCTCTTACTTTTATAAAAATGAAGAATCAAATAGTACATACGACCTAGTATATGCAAATACCATTTTTTACATGTTTAATGTGTACATTAGCTTCCTAAAATATTATAATACATTTATGAATCACCTTTATAATTTCAGATTTTTAATCGACAGTCATGAATGTACGAATATCTAGACACGATGCGTATGCAAAGTGCGACAACTCGACATATTAGGGTCTATTCAGACAAACTGATAGAAATTCATAATTCAAAGATAGCTCAACCAATCACGCTGCTAGTAGGAAAAACGTAGCTCTGACGCAAGTGTGTTTGGAGATGGACCTTTAAATTTGATTCGAGTGAGTGAAAACAAACATTGATCCATCCTCGACCATTTTCGATCAAAAGTATTCGACGCTACTCGAATTTAATTTTGCAGTCACAAATAAATACGTTGTGCTGGAATATTTTTGCTTGGCACATATATACGCGTCGAGGTGTAATTGGAAAAAAAATTACAGATTTTGTGTAATCAAAAAGTATGGCAACCATGGGCGAGCCTCTTACGTTAGCGAGAGGTAAGTTTTGATCAGCCTCAATTAACACTAATAAATGATGTTTATTACTCTTTTGTCTTTTTTTATAGACGTCAAGAGATCTATAGAATTATTAGATAAATTACAAAAAGGTGAGTAATTTTTGAATACGTGTAAAATAAATTCTTTCATATATTCATTAATATCTATTTAATTTTATAATATTCAGGAGGTGAAGTTCCTACGACAAAATTGGCAGCATTACAGAAAGTATTACAAAGTGATTTCCTTAGTGCAGTGCGAGAAGTATACGAGCATGTATACGAAACTGTTGATATTCAGGTAAAATTATAGACAGTAGTTGTTTTAAATCGATAGATATTTTGTATCTGTGTAATTAGAATCATTTTACCTTTAAAAATAATTTTGCCAAAGGGTTCACAAGATGTACGTGCATCCGCAACAGCAAAAGCAACAGTTGCTGCCTTTGCAGCCAGTGAGGGTCATGCACATCCACGTGTAGTGGAATTACCGAAAACGGAAGAAGGACTTGGTTTTAACGTTATGGGAGGTAAAGAACAAAATTCGCCGATTTATATATCTCGCATTATCCCTGGTGGTGTCGCCGATAGACATGGTGGTTTAAAACGCGGAGATCAACTTTTATCAGTTAATGGAGTGGTTAGTAGAAATTTTTGTTTCTTTTTTTTCTCCTCAGCATTGAAAGTAAATCTTTTTTTAATAAAGAAATAATACCTGTTTCAGTGCGTTGAAGGGGAAAATCATGAAAAGGCGGTTGAATTATTAAAGCAAGCACAAAATTCTGTAAAATTAGTAGTGCGATATACTCCACGTGTTTTAGAAGAAATGGAATTACGTTTCGATAAACAGAGAGCTGCTCGTAGACGTCAACACATGCAATAAATATTATATTTAAAAAATATACAAAATATTTAATTATGATCGTTAAAGGAATGCAAATTATCAATTATGGTATCCATATACTTTAACTACTTATGCTCATAATCATAGTTTAGTTGGCTTACAGCATTCTGGCAATTGTATTTATATTCCTATTCATCAATAAATGTTATCTATTATCTATGTATTTCTAACGATTTTTTATTCTGTAATTAATTTTATCAATTATATGAAGCAGTTTTCTTAAATTTTATGTAGAATGCAAATTTATTCGATGTACAATATTAAAACTATCTTTGTTGTGTTTGTTATATGTTTTGTGAAATTACCTGTTTATATAGATATATATATATATATGTATATATAATATAATATCACGAGGTCTATATACTCTGCTATCAGACAATTCGATTCCAATCAAAAAACGAAAGATATTAATCTTTCTCTGTCAAGTTACTCGAGTTCGTTAATGGACTAACATTTAATTGACCAATCAGAATAAAGAAATGTATGCATCTTTTGTTCCTATTGGTCAATTAAACGGTACTTTATCCTACGGATAAAATTTTTGAACGTACCCCATAGATGAGCTTCAAAATGATTACAAATTTTTTCTGATCTCTAGAAAAGACTTCGCTTATTTTATAGTTTTTCCCCGAAATTTGAAAATATATATGCAATAATGTGATAAAGATGTCGCTGCACGTTGCGCGTCATAGGCAGGTAGAAGGTTTCCGTTCTAGATATTCAAAGTCCGCGGCGGGTTGCCGGCTGCCATCTTGCACCTCGCTCGTTTGAGAAGCCGGCCGCCCTCAAAAATCCGGAGTTTCACGCGTTTGCGCGGCCTCAGCTAATCCGTGAGTAAGTTTCGTGCATTCGCAACGAATCCGAGAATCCATCGTATTTAATCCGATCAAGATTCGGGCCCGGAATGCTCTAGGTGAGTCCAAAATAGGTCTACATCAATCGCTCGATCGTGATGGCGTGTGATTTACTGGGTACATGTGTGTACGTGCCTTGTGCCTCTTGCATGTGCGTGCTTTTGCTTCGGCTTGGCCGGTAGATAGGTAATCTCGTTACGATATACTCTAATCGCGGATGCAAGAGTACTTCTCTCTTTACTCGTACGATTTTTTCGCGCGAATATTCGGGCCATTCGACGTACGTTGGATATCCGAGATACTGACATTACAATCGATAAAGGAAAATATTGAAATAATGTGTCTTCTTCTTTTCTCTCCATTTCTCTCTTTTTTAATTATAATTAATAATGACTCGGATTTATGTTTCTAATTGTAAATTTTTGTCGTGTCTGTTTTTATCGCCTCATAAAATTTCAAATGGCTCGCATGAAATTTATCGTATAGTTTTTTAATCACAGCAGATTAAGTAATGGTGCCTGGGAGTTCGAATTTTCTCAAAATTTCCAAATATACGTGTGCATATATATGTGTTTATTTTTTAACAAATTTTTTTATAACAATTTTATATATATACATATCTATATATATAAAATAAATTTTTCATATAAAAATATATGTATATTTTATATATATTCTGAATCTTTTATACTATTCTATCAATACATATATTAAAACATTAAAAAATGGTATTGTCAAATTGTCTCTTATACAATTATCCATTTAATTGATTTATCATTTAAAAATATTATTCTACTTTATATTCTTATGTAGGAATGCAAACTCAGTCTCAATGTAAATTATGTGAATTGTTTAGGTTTATTACTGTTCTCACATGTACGTAGCTGGGTAAACAGGAGAGACAAAGTCATTAATAGCTATAAGTTTGGAACAGATAGTCGAGACAGTATATCATTTATCAAGACGCTTATCGATAATAATATTTCTGAGAGAATGGCTTTGCCAAGTAGAGCGCGAGTATATGCTGATGTAAATTCACATAAACCAAGAGAATACTGGGACTATGAATCTTATGTTGTCGATTGGGGGTAAGCTATATCATATGTCAGAGTATCATTGATATTGTCCACATTATGACATATATTTTACTTAGTTTCATGATTATTTTCTGATATAGGCAACAAGATGATTACCAGTTAGTGAGGAAGTTGGGAAGGGGTAAATATAGCGAAGTATTTGAGGCCATAAATGTTACAAACAATGAAAAATGTGTTGTAAAAATATTGAAGGTACGATAATCCATATATCGTATTATATTTAATAAGCATGTATAAAATAACAAAATGGAAATGTATAGTACTAATACTATATTTTTTTATTTGTTGTAGCCTGTAAAAAAGAAGAAAATAAAAAGGGAAATAAAAATTTTAGAAAATCTTAAAGGTGGGACCAACATAATTACACTCCAAGCAGTTGTTAAAGATCCAGTTTCAAGAACACCAGCATTGATTTTCGAACATGTCAACAACACAGATTTCAAGCAATTATACCAGACGCTAACTGACTACGACATAAGATACTACCTCTACGAATTATTAAAAGTGCGTGTATTGTTTTAAGTCGGAATGGAACCAAAATATCAATTCATCGTGAACCTTCGAGATTATTGTTTTTATAGATGTAGGTGTACATTGTAGCTTTCAGGAAGAATCCAAAGATATACTGTTTTTATCTTTCTTGTTAATATGAAAGATATAAATTCAATTTTATTACTTAGTTTTGCCATTATTCTTGCAAGATATTGCTACTTTGGATGAAAATGAAGATTATTACACATGTTTTATCTTTCAAAGTAATTTATATTTAATTTATATTTTATTTTATTATGAATTTTCCAGTAATTTTGATAGCTTTTGTATAATGCTTCTTCTTTCTCTATCTCTTTTATTTTTTTCATTTTTCATATTTATATAATTATCAATATTATTATTGTCATTTATGCTTTTTTTCCGTGACAATATTTGAAATATTAACAGCTAAAAATTATAGTTAACATAAATAAATCGAAATTTGTTCATACATATCTAATAGTTTTATATTCATTTATTTTCTATTTATAATGTAGAGTGTAATTTTAAAGATGTTATTGCATTCTGTATTAAAAAGATGAGCATGTGACACTTTCTTTTTCATCCTGTCAAATGAGTCAAAGATTTTTTTAAAGTTTCAGCAATTTTTTTAAATTTTTGGGCTCTTGTGAATATTTGTTGTAAGTAATATTTTGGTAACATATCCAATCACATCCATTGCATCATCTAATCGTGAATGCAGAAATAGGGATATTTTAACATTTAACATATTTATTTTGTTTCTGCACAGGCGCTAGATTATTGTCACAGTATGGGAATTATGCACAGGGATGTGAAGCCGCACAATGTTATGATAGACCATGAAAATCGAAAGTTACGATTAATCGACTGGGGACTAGCAGAGTTTTATCATCCTGGTCAAGAATACAATGTACGAGTAGCTTCCCGCTATTTCAAAGGTCCGGAATTACTTGTAGATTATCAAGTAAGTATTGTGCAGTATGAAAGGATAATAAAAAAAGACAAAAGGATGGAGAAAAAGAAAGAATTGGCTGGATCATATATGTGTTTATGTACTTATATATATATATTTTTTTTTATCTCTTTCTACAGGTATTATACATATAAGTTAAGAGAAATATTTTTTAATATCTTGCAGATGTACGACTATTCATTAGATATGTGGTCGTTGGGTTGTATGCTCGCAAGTATGATATTTAGGAAAGAACCGTTCTTTCATGGACATGATAATTATGACCAATTAGTTCGAATTGCAAAAGTTCTTGGAACCGAGGAATTATTTGAATATCTTGACAAATATCATATTGAATTAGATCCTCGTTTCAACGATATCCTAGGTCGACATTCGCGTAAACGTTGGGAACGTTTTGTACATTCGGAAAACCAGCATCTAGTATCACCCGAAAGTTTGGATTTTCTTGATAAACTTTTACGCTATGACCACTACGAGAGATTAACTGCGCGCGAAGCAATGGAACATCCATATTTTTGTAAGCATATACATATATATGCATATATCTATGCGATATAAATGTTCTTTATGTTTTGTTATTTTTTAGAATATATCTTTATATATATATATATATATATATGTGTGCTTGCGTGTGTATCATGAGGGAAACGTATTTAAATATCGAAAAAAGAAAATTTTCCGTCTATATAATTGCACATTTATATTGCATATTATATATTGTGAAATCGTGTCAAGTGTAGCTTTCTGCTTAACTAATTTTTTTTCTAGATCCCATAGTAAAAGAACAAGGTCGATTGACCATGGTGTCGTCATCACCTACTCCCATGACAGGCTCAGTGCCTGTAGGTGAGTAGCGGCCCAGGTAATGTCACCACTTTAATCTACCTCTAACTCCTATACTCTGACATGATTATAATATAGTTAACTTATATATATATTGGTCATTAAAAATTTAATACTGTAAAATATGTTTCTCTTATTTCATCAAGAGTTGTGTTCTTAAGTATGTATTTTCTCTTTTCTCTTTTCCAAAATTGTTACTTTTAGCATTTTATACCCTTGTCATCACGACAGATTTATAATAACGTATCTTACGAAGCAGTTGCATTCGTCTGTATAAATTTTTATGCGTACAATCGCATTCAAACAGATGTAATCGCGAATGTTGTTTGCATTTTACATTGAAATAACTTGTATGTAACTAAGGTAAAAGGAAAATGTAAGTTGTAAATACATTATTATTACAAATAGAAAATATTGATTACACATATACATATATTGTTCATTTGTTATATTAGTTCTTTTCATATATAACGCTCAATCGTGTGTGTGTGCGGTGTGTGTATGTATATATGTGTATATATACATACACATATATTTATTATGCAATGACACACATAATTCTATTTGTAAGTTTCTAAATCCTCAGTTTTTATGCCTATGTCTTGTTGCCGTCCTATGTCTATCGTTTTCCTAATAAGAGATAATTTTAGCAATTATCTCAACATGTTATTTGCTAGTTTCTCTAATGGAGATAAAAAAATGAAGATAAATATAATTAATATTACATTACAAATAGTTTGAATCATTTGATTGACTGAATCTAGAAAAAAAGAGACAAACGTTCTTTGTCTCGATGAATCAATCAATCAAACATGTGATCCGAAGCATTTGTAATCCATAACAGAGAGGACGTTTACGAACTTGAAATTGCTTTTTAAACATATGAATAATTCACTATTTTATTTATTCATTTGTATTGAAATTAAATGAAATGAGAGACATCATGTATGTTTAGATTGATATAGATTGTGCGACATATTGATATTAGTAAAAGTTAGTTTCGTATCAAAGTGATTTTTTAACTAGGAGATTATTACAGATCATCGTGGTGTAACAATGAGCACTATACCGATTCATGGGACAAACGGATTGGAAAGCATGGAAGAAATTGGCAGCGGGTGTTTGATCCTTTCAGAAGAACTGCCTCAAGTAATATTATAAGTTCAGCAATTCTGAATCTCGACAACCCGATTTCCAATCTACTACAAAATATTGCAATGCAGCAGCAAATATTTCGTATTGCCAACTATATTCTTCTCCATATGAGAATCATTCTGATTTGTAACAACGGCTTGATCGATGATCCCATCGTTAAGACTGAAGTATCTAATTTCGCTTTGTCTCCTTCAAAAATGTATAACCACTCGAAATTCGCAATGTACTTAGTGTATCATGGGAGATTAGGACTCTGGCACAAAATCTACCACATGAGAATACATGCTCCGTCCATATTGGCCGGTATGCATGCGATATCAAAAACAGCGAATTGTTTATTTCCGTTCTACGATTCGCGGTGCGTCCCACTATATCTACTATTTTTTCTGATGTTGCTATTATTATCATATTTTTGGCAAATCTATAAATGCATAAAGATGCAGCTAGATTCACTCTCATTTGATGAAAGATGATTATTTGTGGTTACACAATACATAAAGTGGTGGAGATTTTAAGCAAGCCACCTATTTGCATTCACATACACTCGCGTACACAGACACACAAATGAACATATACACAGTCATACTTATACCTTAGGCCATTCGGTTTAGTACTTTTAACAATGATAAAAAAAATGTTCGTTTATATCTGATACCACAATAGTTGAATAAAATGTTTGTTATAGCCAAGTACTCTTTGTGCTTTGTGAATACCTGCTCTGTGCATCCAACGCATATTATCGTCATTATTTTTTATCGAGAGTGAGAATCGAATGATCATTGATCTAAAGGCGCGCAGTAAAGTGAAAATGTACGTATGTGTTTTACGAGTGTTCTCACTATTATACAGTGTCTCCCTATTAATAAAAAAGGATTTAAATAAAAGCAGGTTTTACGGTAAAGTCCATTAAATAACGCGCGCAAATTCACAAGCACCTTAAACACTTGGCACAAAGCCTATAAATATTATTGACATATATACTAGTTTAAAAATCTTTATATATGTATATATACATAAACACACACACACACACACACACACATATATGTATGTGCATATTTATAAACTTGGTCTCTTTGTACATGTTGATCATTCTCACATAACTTACACTAGAATTTATTTTTCATGATTTCACAAAATTGCTCTGTATTTTTATTATATGCATTGAAAATTATTCTATATAAATATATATTGTAAGATCAATTTATACGCATAATGTACATTCGAGAGAATTTACAAATCAAGACGAGACGTACTTGTAAAGAATGTATAGGAATACAATATTCTCTTGTATAATTGTATCTTTTTTGTATAATTTTTCCAAGATTTGTCAGTTCCTATATGAATATGCATTAAGATTAATCGATTGCCATTTATATTCTCGCGCATTAAAATAATGCGCTAATAGCAAACAGAGTCTGCTAAAAATATAATGTGTTCTACATGATTAGTTAAAATAATATTTGTTTCTTTGACTGCATATTTTCGCATATATACATATATATACATACGTAAGCATAATTCAAACAATACATTCATGAACATACACATGCAGATTAATAAAAATATAATATGCATACATTATAATTAATAAATGTTGCTATACATATGGCATATAAACATGTAAAAAAGAAACTATATATGCTATATGAATAGTTATATGAACATGTTTATTTTGTCAATTTTACACTATCACATGTGCTACATCAAGTATAAATTCATTCATAAACATACACATGCAGATTAATAAGAATATAATATGCATACATTATAATTAACAAATGTTGCTATGCATATGGCATATAAACATGTAAAAAAGAGACTATATATGCTGTATGGATAGTTATATAAATGTTTATTTTGTCAATTTTACACTGTCACATGTGCTACATCAAGTTAATCAACATTAATATACATGAATGTTTAACTGGAAAACTTTTATTTGACAATAATGACGCGCATGTTTATTCAAGTTTTCACATCCCTTGTTTTTTAAATATATAAGAGACAGTTAACACTAATTTAATTTTATAGAAAAGGGGAATATGGAATAATAATCGTTATGTTTAAATAAATTAGCTTAAAAATATGAAAATACAATTAAATGTCGCTAATAGAAATAATATATTATGCTAAAAATTATATTTTTCTGTATCGTAATATGCGAGATACTTTGAGAGAGACTAAAAAATCGTTTGAGATACTTTGCCTTCTTAAAAAAGATTTGAATGTTTTGGATATATTCGAACATTTTTTTTATTATTCTCTTTTTCCGCCCTTTCTTTCTTTCTTTATTGTTCTTTCCTTCTATCACCAATTTCATTTTTTTATATGAAAGAATTATTATGGTAAAACACTGTTCTATTATTTCTCATTTTTATATTTCATTGCTTTTCAGTCAAAGTTCACAAATAAATATTTGACGTTTAATTATTTTTTTTATATAAATATATTTTAAGCATATTACAAACAATGAAAATGATTAAAGTACGACAATAAAATTTGTGCAAAATTACATCAATTTAAATGCACAATGATGTGTGCAAGACACATTGATGTATTTAATATTTTTTATGATATCTCCATACCATAAATAATAGCAAATAATTTATAAACTTTAGTAATTATTTAATAAAGATTGTTTTCTTTCTGATTCTGCAAATATGAAACATCATCTATATGCAAAATGTAACAATTTTTTATATAGTACTACTTGCTCTGTTATATATATATATACAAACACAATGAAAAAGACTAAGATAATGTTGTAATATATAATTAAAAGATGAAGATACATATGATTTTATTTTTGTCAAATTAATTTATCCATTATCTTATGATAAAAAAAATGCCTTTATTACTACTATCATTAATTTGAACAATAGATTGTTTTTTTTTATTTCCAGAAATAAAAATTGATGATAACTGTTTATGTATAAATATATATATATATATATATATATATATATATATATATATAAAATAAAATATACTTTTAGATAATTTCATTAATGGAGCTTGGAACACATTTAATGTACTTAATATGCTCCCAAGCAAGATATATATATATATATATATATATATATATATATATAAAATATAGTATATATTAGTCGAATATATCGAATGTAGAATCGAAATTTATCAAAGTAGTGGCTTGTCAACTTATTTCCTTTGCATACATCATAAATCAAGTTTTTCTTTGTCCATGTCAGTAGCTAAGAAAGAAGATTCCATATTGGACATTATTCATATCAGATTGATGCTTAGGGATTTTCATTATCTCAGGTGATTCATCATTAACCAATGTAAATAAACAGGTGTCATTTCTGATGGGTGGCACCCGATTGACCACGTCGCCAATTGGCCAATTCAAAATAGGACTCTCTGATTGGTCAATTGTTGCTGGTTACCCTAAGTACAGATCGATATAATTGGTGCTTAATAGCAACGTGGGCAAACGGGACGCTTCTAGCGCTGTTCAACACATTACCAATTGGTCAATAGAATACTAGAATCTTCTGATTGGTCAGTCGTGCTAGTTACCTTAAACAACGGTCGATATATGTGACGTAATATACTATGGAATGTGTAACAGGATCTCCTATGATGTAGTCAGCTGATCAGTGTCAGTGATCAGTTGTCAGTTTCAGTGTGCTTTCAATACTGTACAGTTGATTTTGCAAAGAAAGTAGTTATTTATTTTAATAATTAAATAATTTTTCTTTTATTAAAATATGGATGAAGTAGAAAGCTTGCGGCAGAGAATTATAGAACTCGAAAACGAGTTACAAGAAAAGAAAGATAAAGATGCGGTAGCAACGAGAGAAAAAATCAAACATATGTCGGAAGAGGTAGTGGACTCAAATCCGTACAGGTAGATTTAAAAATATTTTTCATTTTGATTACTTATATATATATATATATATATATATATATATATATATATTGCGATCGTGTAACATCAATTTTATAAAGTTAAATTTGTATTAATCAACTTTTTTAGAAACGTTATTTCTTATTAAAGAAAGGTTGAATTTACAAAGAATCACTATATATAGGCATCTAACGTGCATAAACACAATATAAGTGATTAAATAACATTTTAAAATTACATGTTTATTTATTATATATAAGAGATCATATACATTTTACAAGAAATTTTTGTAGCAATTTTATGTCTATTTTTTATTATTTTTATTTCAGCCGATTAATGGCATTAAAGCGTATGGGTATTGTTGACAATTATGAAAAGATACGAGAATTAACAATAGCTATAGTTGGAATTGGTGGTGTTGGTAGCGTAACAGCAGAAATGTTGACAAGATGTGGTATCGGAAAGGTAGGAAAGGTGTTATTATTTACTATATGTTATTAGCAATAAATCATTGTCTAACTAATACAACTAATATTTCAGTTGGTACTATTTGATTATGACAATGTAGAACTTGCAAATATGAACAGATTATTTTTTCAACCACATCAAGCAGGTCAAAGCAAAGTAGAGGCAGCAGCAAGTACTTTGCGTTATATAAATCCTGATGTGGAAATTGAAATACACAATTATAATATCACAACCATTGATCATTTTTCAGATTTTATGAATACAATAAGGTATAAATTTATAAAGTGTGTTAATATAGATTATTCAATTTTATAATAGACCTGTGCATATCCTTTAAAGTATATCTGCGAATATTCTTTTTAATTAATATACTTTGTGATTTATTTAAATTTGTCTTTGTGTAGTACTTCCAGCTTGGAAAATGGCCCAGTTGATTTGGTATTGAGCTGCGTTGATAATTTTGAAGCTCGTATGGCAATTAATACAGCATGTAATGAACTTAATCAGAAATGGTTTGAGAGCGGCGTTTCCGAAAATGCTGTTTCTGGTCATATTCAATTTATTGTGCCTGGTGAAACGGCCTGTTTTGCAGTAAGATGTCGATTACATATAAATTGGCTATTGATCACACGAGACACAAAGAATTTTATAATTATTTTGTTGCTAAATTTGAATTTTTAGTGTGCTCCACCTTTGATTGTAGCATCTAGCATTGACGAAAAAACTTTGAAACGCGAAGGTGTATGTGCTGCATCATTACCTACTACTATGGGTATAGTGGCAGGCTTTTTGGTGCAGAATACTTTAAAATTTTTACTAAAATTTGGACAAGTGTCTTACTATTTGGGTTACAATGCTATGGAAGACTTTTTTCCTAAAATGACTTTAAAGCCGAATCCAAATTGCGATGATGCGCATTGTAAACAAAGACAAAAAGAATATGCACAAAAACCAAAAAGTCAACAAAGATCGAGCAAGATTATTGAAGAAAAAGCTATACATGAAGATAATAAATGGGGTATATGAAAAGAAATTATATATACAATCTATTTTTAAAACATATCTTTGCATAACTTTTTGTTAAATATTATTTTTCCTTAACAGGAATTTCTTTAGTTGATGAACAAAGTGGGCAACCAGATGAAGAAACGTCCGTATCGACTTCAGGTGTACGATATGCATATACCATTTCTACACCAACATATGCAACTGATTCAGAAAGAGAACAAACTGTTCCTGAATCTACGGGAGCAAGTTTAGAAGAATTAATGGCAGAAATGAAATCTATTTGAAAGTAGTAGTGCAAAATATAAATGCACACACACATATTCCATATTTGAAAAATTTTTTTAATTTTATATTTAATATCAATCAAATATGAATTGTTATAAATATACTTTATACTTTGTTATAATTCTCTTTGTTGTAAAACAATTGATTTCAATAGCATAATGTGATATTTTACGTAAATATTTAATAAAAAGTGGAGGAAAAAATAAATCATGATACATACATACATACATACATATGTGTGTGTGTGTGTATATGTATACACAACACGATAGAATTATATATCAAATTTCTCAAAACATATAGATGGACCCTCTTCTTCATACTCTTCTCTTGTTACCAAAAGATTTGAGAATATTGTGTCTTGTGAAAGTTGTTTCCCACCGAACCATGCATAAGTAATTGGACTAGAAATAAAAGAATATTCATTAGACTTTTTGCAATATAAGAAACAAATGGCAATGAAACATAAAAATAAATACTTTTGCGGTAAATAAACGTTTACGGCATATTCTGTTGGAGCTAAACTTCTAATTTCTTTGTAAATTCTGTCCTTAAATCCTGGAAACTTTGCATTACCACCAGTTAGAATAATATGGGATAGAAAATGAGGCCATGTTTCTTCGTCGCAGGCTTTTATAGAATCTATGACAGCTTCGGGAATACCCATTTGTCGAATACCAATATCCGATGGATGAAATAATATTTCTGGTATGGCAAATCTTTCATTAGTCAAACGTAATGTTTGTTGCTCATTAGATGGTTCTGGATCTTTAAGATATCCACGTCGCAAAGTTGTATAATCTGGCAAAACATAATCCTTAGCGATGGTATTTTTCTCCAATTTATATTTAGCCCGTTCCATATCTTTAAAGAAATCTTGAGATACAAAACAACAATCTTCTTTTACTTGATTAATTACATACGTCTCGTCCATAACATGTAACTGACGATAAGATAGTATTTCCTTTAGATGATTTGTTAAAAGCTTGCCACCTACGTCTATTCTTCGTATACCTTCTTTTACCTTTGTATTATTGATAAAAGGTATAATATGCGTAAAACTATAACCACTGTCTATTACTATGCAGCATTTTGTACTAGGATTTTCGGTTTTGTAATTGTAACACGAAAGACTAGCTGCATTTATTCTCAAGAGACTATGACATTCGTATTCCTCGAAAAAGATCTCTGTCATAGCTTCTTGAATGCTTGGAAAATTAAACATTGGTTCTGTCACTATCACAGACGACTGACTTAAATTCACCGAACAAGACTCCTTTGAAAATATATAATCCCATAGAGTCTTCTGAATATCCCAATTCACGAGATAACCTTTCTGGAAAGGTAACATGTAGAATAATCCAGAAGCGTCTCTGCATTCTTCGATTTGATTTCCTATGAAAGGTCTGCGACGTTCGCTCTTTGCTTTCATTATACAATTTGGAACTAATCTAAAATATAATTCCATTTTAGTCATAGAGTGTAAATTGAAGATTCAAGTTTATTACATTTTTATAAACTTACTTGGGTGTTTCATTGGATAAACCAGCTTTTGCCATATAAGCACCATTGTCGAGAATAAAGGTGGAATTACTCATATTTAAAAAATATCGTAAATGCAAATTTAAACAAAGTTTTGATTTTGTATGTTCCTCTACCGGTAATCAAATTTCTGTCGTCATTTGAAGCCGGATCTACATTGGTCGTATCGTAACGTCGCAAGGCAAATTGACCAACCATAGTCGATTATTTCAAAAATAATCAAGCATAATTGGTGAATTTGCCTACGACTTACGACTTGCGACGTTGCGATACGACCAATGTAGACCCGGCTTTATTCTTGTTATTACTCGTAGAATGTGCATGCGCATAAGTTTAAATTTCGGCGCAAACTCTGTATTATTTGTATATATCACGTGACACGCGTCTATGATATTCGTTACTGTTCACGACCCTTACGACTTTCGAGATTTGTTCGGTGGTGTTCTTGCAATCGTAACAATCGAGGCGAACGGACGTATACAAGTCTCCCCTTTCCATTTGATAAAGAGATCTATTATACGAATCTATACGAATCTTATAATTATTACAATATGTTTTGGGGTAAGTGATTTCTATGTATACATTTGATAAAAATTTAATAAAAAGGTAAACGTTTAATGTAAAGATTCACGTGTTCCGGTAAAATATACGTTACAAGATGGCATCGCCACGTGTACTTGAAAAAACAAGAAACACGCATTTTAAGATGAAACGAGACTTATATTAGTATGCTTGATTCTTTATATTGTTCGTTGTTACAGCATTGATATTAGAACCGTTCAAACGGTACACGCAGAAAATAAAACACACATTCCACATAACTATGGCATCTTTGGATACATCATTAGCCGGTAAGTGTCGGTTATTTTAATACGTTTGGAGATTCTGGTTATTCTGACCGAAACTCGTTTTCTTCCACTTTAATATAATAATATTTGTACACGTGGAATAACAAAATCGCCACCCATAAGCATATCGTGCATATGTATATCTAAACTTTCTTTAAAAAATTGTATGTTAATTTTTAAGCAAAATTCAAAAATAACATTTATTCGTAAATATATACATTTGTATTATATATGTATATGTAAATGGTGATTATATTACAAAAGGTTTTCTGAAAATACTTAATCAATTAGTTAAGATAAAGATATTTCTTCATTGGGTCGAGATAAAGAAATGTCTTTCTTATCTTAAGTAATCGATCAAGTATACATGGAAGTCGTGTACTACAAATATATATTGTATGGAATGTTTATTTATGAAATTTTTATCTATTTTATTATAGCTAATAATGAAGCAATACAGATAATGGTACATAATAACAAAAAAAACTTTCTGCTTTGCACTTTAATAAAGGGCAAAGTAAACCAAGTACCGCTTGATTTAAAATTCGAAAAAGGAACTGAAATAACCCTTTTCTCCAATGGTCAAGGTTATGTACATCTAACTGGATATGTAGAAATAGAGTCTTTTGACATTTCTAACAATAAGACGAATGATTCAGAAGAGCAAAAAAAAGTAAATGAACAAGCACAAAAAAAACTTGAAGACAATAAAAAAGATCCAAAGTCGAATGGAGCACCCCAGAAAGCAAAGCTAAGCAAAACTAAGCAAGAATCTCTTAATGATTGCAATAATCAAGATGATGATGAATCTTCAGAAGAAGATTCGGATAACATTGAATATGAAGGAGACAGTGATGATTCTGATGATTATTATGTTGATGAGGATGAAGAAGATGATGATGATAATAAGGAGAAGGAGGAGGAGGAGGAGGAGGAGGAGGAAGAAGAAGAGGAGGAGGAAGAAGAGGAGGAAGAAGAAGAGGAAGAGAAACAAGACCAAAAACGTGAACAAAACAAGCTAGCAAAGGGAACAGGAAAAAAACTAGAGAATCAACAGCAAAAAAAGAAACATGATAAGCAAAATAAAACCAATGGAGAGGCAATTAAACAAGAACAGCAAAATATGAAACGAAAAAGGAAATTGGAGAATCAAGCGCAGAACAGTCCAAGTGAAGCAAAAAAGAGAATTATTGAGGGTGGTGTAATAGTGGAAGATATAAAAGTTGGTAGTGGTCGACCTATAGTAAGTGGCGACATTGTTGCAGTTTATTATGTAGGTCGCTGTAAAGTTGGAAATCGAGATAAGAAAGTTGAGGTGTGCATGAAAGGAAAGGGTCATAAATTCCGCCTCGGCAGAGGACAAGTATTAAAAGGATGGGATGTAGGACTTGTTGGAATGAGACTTGGTGGAAAGCGTCGTCTCACAGTACCTTCTGATATGGGGTATGTATATAGAATATTCGTATATTCTTATATTTTCCTTTTCCGTTTTGAGTTATATTAATGATATATTAATGTTATATTAATGATATATTAATGTTATATTAATGATTTTATATAACGATTTATCTATATAACTTTTTATCTCTATATTTATGAAACTTGTATTATTTTGAGTGTTAATTTAACGGAGCAATGTTTCTCTTATAGGTACGGATCTAGAGGCTTTCCTCCTACAATTCCTCCTTTCAGCACACTTACATACGAAATCGAACTGAAAAGCATTGATCTTAAGTAAAAATATTAAGTATCATAAATCTAAACATTTCTTACAGATTCAAGATTTTTTAATTTGGCTTGTATTTTTCGATTTAAAAAAATATTCATAATTTTTCGCGCATATATACATTTCAAATTATTTTTATTCGGAACAACTCGATAAATACCTCTTATAAAAAAAATGAATGAGACAAAAAAGGAATGATGTACGAATAAGGCTAAGAAAGAATTGATGTATAAAACGATTTATATCTGTAATGAGCAGAGTTCGAATCTCGGTGCCGTTTTCCTCACTCCATACTGGCGGTCGAGCGCCGCGAAAAACAGTACCATCTATGCCGGTCTAGTGATGGTAGCAAAGAGTATCGTCGCATAGAAAAAAAATATAATTTATATTATTTTATATATTATATATAATATTAAACATTCTATATTAATATATATATTACATATATAATATATATTTTATATATTTATATATATTTATTTAATATATATATATACATACATTTTTTTTATGCGATGGTACCCTCTTTGCTACCATCACTAGACCGGCGTAGACGGTACCGCTTTTAGCGGTGTTCGGCAGCTAGTATGTACTTGAAGTGAGGAAAAATGGCACAAAGATCCGAGCTCTGATAATGAGATTCAAATTTTATTTTAAACGAAACTGCGAATTGACTGTAATTTTTGTAATTTAGAATTTTTTTGAAACAAGACATTACATGAATTGAATGATGCGAATTAAATTTATATAATTTTTTTTAAATGAGACATTGTATAAATTGAATAATGTGAATTTTTTTATCATATGTGATTGGAATTTTTCAAGTTCTTGAGTATCTACATTTATTTAATATGAAGCATGAGCAAAAAACTTTGTAAAAAAAACTTTATTTTGTAATAACATCGTAATATACATTCCTCGATTTCCAATTATGCGTTAATGTACTTTTTCATGTAGTTTAAATAAAATATAAGTTTGGCATTGTATAATCTATTGTACTGGAAATAATTATATTAAACTAAACTTTGAAATCGCAAAATATACTAAGTCATTAAATAGTTTTATATAATTTATATTCGAAAATTCTCTAAATATCACATATAGGATATAGATAATTTTATACTTAATAAATTGAACCAAAATATCTTATACCTTGATTTTCTATATAATTTGCAGATGGTTACTCATTTTATTGATGTGGTTTAAAGCAATTTGAACATTTACAATTGCTATGTCGAGAGAATATATATTCAACAGCTACTTGGGAAAGTTTAGCAACTAAATATAAATATCAAAATAATCTGTATCGATTCATCAAATACATATATTTTAAATGAACAAATTTAATCGCTCTTCTTTACAGCATCTCGATTATCCTTCCATGATAAGGTACACGATCCATTTTTGCATTCTTTTATTAATTCTGGACATGGCTCGTCCCCCTTGGCCTCTTTTCCTTTATTTCTTAATTGCCACCATTTGATCAATAATGGTTGTATCAGAAATCTCCATATTATTAGAAATATAGGAACAGCAAAGCATGGTACGCACACCATTCTGTATGTGTGTGTGTATAACTTAGTTTATAATCTAGAATTATACAAGCAGAAGCTTATTTTATTATTTTAAGAGAAAATAGAAAACATATTCATCTTAGAATGATATTATACAACTATGCTATGTTCTGATTACGATCAATCATTTCGTTCTTTTTCCTTTTAATCTTTACGTACGTACATCTTTTATTTCGAAAAGGATTCTTACCTCGGAGAACGGGCAAAAATAATGCTATATATCGAGTTTCCGCGGAACAATTGAGCGAATGTGAAAGAGATCGATACGAGCATAACCTGGACGAAATCGTAAATTTGTGCGATTTTGTATATCACCGACAACTGAATGTTCTTGATAAATGCAAATATATGTCAGTTAAGTGGTAAATTGTCTGTTCACACTTTGTTCATCATCACTAATGTATTCGTATTCGTGATACGAAGGTTATACGTTTCAATAGGTTTACACTTACATATACGTCCTCTGACGTTTTTATTATGTTTTCACTGTCTTTGCTTGCAACGCCGCGCTGAGCGGACTAGTCGGACTAGTGTTAACTTGATGCACATGCGCGCAAAAATTATCCGTTACGTAGGGAACTTTGCAGTAAGAAAACACAGGTGGATTGGTAGATATAGATAGATACCGTCACGCAATTGTCTATCGAATAGAGAGGATATTTAAAGTGAACTGAGAATTCTTTTTATTCGATAATCAATTGTGTAATATTCTTGCTGAAAAGCTTCCATAGATCTTAGTTTCTCTTTATCGCGCGATATCGATAGAATGATAACGTTACCACGCCTATATTTACTTAAACTTAGCCCGATCGTAATGCTATACGATCTCTGATATTTAATTATACGTAAGGACATGGTCACAGCCATTCATTGCGAGATTACATATCTCTATATATAAGGTACTGAAATAGATATGCATATGAAACGAGAGTATTTGTATCGCAAAATGTCTGGTGAAAGAGCCATCAAAGTATTTCGTAGAATATTCTAAAATCTATTAAAATATATAATGTATCGCGCATTCAGATGACACCCGAGATTCCCAGAACTTTCCAACTGGTCGGTTTTTAGTAAAGGAGAAATTTTAAGAGCATCGATCGCTGCGAATGATTCGCATTTTTAAGAAGGAATGCATCCGGATAAGATAAATCTTTGACTCTTAAATGCTTCCAAACACTTTACGACCTCTCGTTATGCATAACGAGACGACAATGATGCTTAATATGAAGAAAATTAAGCCGACGAGAGTGGTGAGGACTCTGCACCATTGCCGTTTCCGTTTCGCTTTTGCGATTGTTCGAGTTAAACGCTCGGCACGCGTTACGTCGAGAGTGAAATCAAAGTCCTTTTCTAGGTCTTGAACGGCCAAGCGCTGATTCGAATCATTGGACGAAGCGATCGTTTCTTCGCTAGACGAGCCAACATCGCTGTAATCCAACTGCTGGAACATTGTATCTTATATATAATGTGGATATATATATATATATATATATATATATATATATATATATAAATATACTTATAAATGTCAATTTACAACTAATTGGATAAGAAATTTGAAAAGATCTTGTCTTCTTTTTACAAAGCAGTGGCGATCGAGCATCATTATTGAGTACTCACCGTTGAATATTTCGATTCGGTCGAGGTGAATCCGTTTTGGCACCGCTTAGAATCTTTATCCGGTCCAAACGATAGTTTCGCGCAATCACTTCCAACTTTTTTGCCATCGAGGTAGTCAAGGACGTATGGACCACTGGACGTTTCGCAAGACTCCCTTTCTATGTTTTCGCGTCTCGTTATTCTATCATTCTTAAGCAACAACGCGGATCGCACCGAGTTACTCTCATAGAAAGCACGGGACCCGTATAATTCAGAATTGGCAGAATTCATTCTCGGCGGTACGTCCTTGATGTAACTCGGTGATACCGATAGATTATCGTCGTTGAAAGCCCAGGAAGGATAAACGTATTCGTATAAATTGTCATTCCTTGGACCGATCTCGAGGGAGACGATACGCGAGATATCGCGCAAAATATCTTCCGGTGCTACAGCAATGCCACCGTCTATCATAGAAGTGAGAGTTCGAGATAATTCGAGCAACACTTCGCGCGCTGAAGATCTCAGCGGTGATGACGCCAACGATGACGACGGCGGCGAATAGCTACACGTGCAACCGCATACACGACAGGTATAGATACCTGTTGGAAGAAAAAGATACCGCCATCATGTTTCTGAAATTTGAGAGAAAGTAAAATCTCCGCTTTCTGACCTTCATAATCGATATTTTCGGCCTGATGACACGCGACGAAAGGCCAAATGGGTTGCGGTACGCAAGCTGTCTCGTTCTCGTGAATCACGGCCAGACCACCGTACGACAGATCTCTCGTCGACGTTGACGCATAATAAGAGCACGAACCGACCGATAACAGCGGAGAGTGGCTCGAATAACCGGAGCTGATGGACGTTTTGTAACATCTCGCATTAACTCGCTGAGCTGTAGCTGCTGACTTGCCGCCTATGATGCCGCTTACGAATTTAGAGATCTCGCCCAAATCTGACCTTACCCTGAAAGATGATTTTATCGAGTATTTATAAGGACGAAGAAGAGATAAAAATAAATTTAAAGAAACAGATGTAAAAAATCTCTCCATTATTTCTCGTCTCTTTGCACTTATTTCAAAGACTCTAAGAGTCATTTATAAGTGATATTGCGGCTCCTACCATTCGATCCCATACGGCTCGATTGTAGGCGACACGGCGTAAGCGCGTCTTTCTGTACCATCGGAATTGATTCTGGAATCGCGCGGGATCGCCGCTCGAACGCCGGTACTCGAATGCATCCCCCGATGGCATTCGACGGCGTCCGATGACGCATAGGGTGCTACCGCATGTAGGTTCGTCCAAGGCCGGTAACCATCGTTGCATGCTCAAACAGCTGCGCTCTCGTCATCGATGAGTCTCGTAGCTTCTTCCTGAGAGCCCTGAGAACCATATGGGGCCATATATATATTTATATATTACTGTTTATTCATATTTATATATCGCGCGCGCCCTCAGATACGAATGCACCCGCATTCGACGGATGAGCAATGTTTCAAGGTCGCTTTCACATCCACGTTACATTACGTTCACGGCCGACGTAAAAAGCGCTATTACGTTATTCGTCGGACATACTGGACGAATAAACATTAATGTAGGTCATTCTTCTTTTTTAATTTACATCGATGAAACAATTTTTCAATTTTATTCGCGACGTTATCAATACTCTCGTAAACGAGTTATTTCTTCTTTCAGTTTCTCAAATTTCGTCAACGAGGAATGTGTGCGAGAAAAAGAGAAAGTGAGCGCGCGCGCGCGCACTTTCGAATTAGGTCAACTTAATAATATTGAAAAATACCCTTTGTGTTTGTTATGTTCAATTCCGCTAGGTGTGTATATACGTTATAATATGAAATTATCGATTCTTCATTTTTAACTCTTGTCAAAATTATGACTTTTCTTTACGTCACTGGAACCGGTCAATCGTTAATTCATTTCTCTGGTATATTTTATATAAATATTACTTCGATACAATTGCAACATTACTAAACTTATATAATTATCTAGAATCCGTGGATCGAGGTGCATGCTGCGATATGAGAGAAAGAGAGAGAGCGTCGTACATTCCATCATCAATTGCCAGCCGACCAGCCAACTACTTTCACCTCGGCACAGCACGTTCGTCTCAATGTTTACATATTACACCGTATAGAATGACCGACCGACGTTATAAAAGCTCCGCATGAGGAAAGAGCAATCTTTCCACATAACTCGATCAGTGATCATGACCGCGATTGACATAATAATCTTCAACATTTTGCATTCTCTGCGCGCGCTTATTTTACAAATGAAAAAATGCTCGCTAAATTTATTCTCGATTCTTGGGTAATTTTTGACTCGATCTGCGCGCGATTATATTTGTGAATTCTAAATTAAAAACATGTCCACTTTTTTTTCCTTGTACATTACAGATTGTAATTTTAAGGTGTAAATCTTAAAAATTTCTTTGAATCAAAAATTAAAACTAAAGGGATTTATTGATGCATATATATGGAAATGTGCGAATGTGCACATTCTCTCGGTGTCAAGCTGTTGACGAGCATTACGGAAGAGAAATAAATATATTTGTGAATTAAAAACATGTTCACTTTCTTTCTTTGTACATTGCAGATTGTTTTAATTTTATGTTTATAAATCTTAAGAGTTCGAATCAAAAATTAATACCAAAAGGATTTACTGATGTATATATACGGAAATTATGAATGTGCACATCTTCTCAGTATCGAGTTGTCGACGAGCATTGCGGAAGAGAAATATATACGTAATGAGACATTTCTCTCTCTTCCTTGACAAGATGCGGAAATTATGTGTATATAGATATAAGCTAGATATTATACACGCAGCACGCACAACGTAACGAGCAACGAAACGAAATCGCGAAAAATATATTTAACTCATGGACTTTCACTCGCACTCATTCGGGCGTCGACGGAAAAGAATCGTCGTCAATCATCATTCTACCGCTTTGTTTCGATCGAATGCTTTAAAGATTTATCATACTTATAATCGCTTTCACAGCAATAATATCTCTAAGCGGGTAGATAATAAAACAAACCGTCGTTGTGTTTCCTCTCTCGGGCATTTATATTTCAATTTGCAAGTATTTATGTTCGTGGGTCCTTTATTATTCGCGAAATTTAACGTTCAAAATCGATACTTTTGTTCGCGGGTGACATGGAATTTGCGATAGATCCAAAGAAAGAAGAAACGCGATGTCCATCGTGAATTGCAATGCTCCGCGATATTTCGGAGCAAAAATAATCGAAATTTATATTAGAAAAAATAAGAGAAATCCCTATCTCGAAAGGAATAAAGAGCAGAAACAAAACGACGATTTATACATGCCATTATTGATTAAATAATGATTAGATTACAAAGAGACTTCTTAACTTACAAATTGTATCAATGTGAATAACAAATTAATATAAGATATATTAGACGAAAGACATCGCCTCGTTTTTATATAGAATATTATCCTCTCGGTGCAATTTTAAAAAAATGTGCAATAAATCATTTCAAATACGCGGGGGAAAAAAAGACTACGATAAGTAATTTTATATTCATCACATATCGCGCAACTATATAAATACTTTCAATTTTATAATACAAGTGTCGCTAAAAATGATGCAAATGAGAGGCACTTTATGTCTTTTCTATTTTTCTCTCTTTTCTTTTTTTTAATATTTTCTCTCTTTCTCTTTTTCGTTTTTCTCGGTATTCAATTGTATTCACCTCGCGCGTGAGGAAGTACATACATGAACGGCAAACTTTCACACGTGTATCGTGTCGATCGCACATCCGCTGATGATGATGCACTCACGGCGATTGAAGAGAAACTGAGAGCCTCCACTGGAGACGATCAGCTGCGCGATACGCGATACGTGATACCGCGAGACGGTCTTCTCTCTTCTCATTTCGTGGGGGTCGTATATTATTCGTTGATTATCTCTTTCCTTTATCCTCCTTGTCGTCTACTTTTCCTTCCTAAATGTTTATTAAATACGTTTTTTCCTCGTTGCACTTGTATTTCCAATCCACTTGTGATTGACTTTGCGCATTTTTCGCACGGCCTACTAATTAAATAACAATATAATACTCGAAAAATTTGATGGAAATCTCTCTTTTGTTTTAGACATAAAATGATGCATATAAATGTTGTTTGAAAAGAAATAATTTAAAGCGATATTACTTATCTTTATTTTTAATACTCTTGTAAACTCTCCAAATTTCCGTTTTCCGAGTTAAACGAAATAATTTATTTAATATTTTTATAATCGCATATAAAGCTTTCAATGGGCGTTTTTCAGCAAGCGACACAGAGCACACAGTGTATCACTTTATCCTTGTTGGTTGCCGAATGTAAACAAGGATGAAACGATTCACTGCGTTACACAGTGTCCTTTGTGTCGCTAGCTGGAAAACGTTTATATGTATTCGAGAGAAATTCTTCCGTAGCATTTCTATAGTTTGCCGGACTGGTCGAAATCGAATCGAGAATTCCTGGGGTTTTAAAGGCTTTTGCGATAACAGCCAATCGATACCGGAAGCGCTCCGTTTAACCACGTTGCGAATGGCCAATTATATCAATTTATGCCTAGGGTAACTAGCAACTATTGACCAATCAGAGAGTTCTATTTTGAATTGGCCAATTGGCGACGTGGTTAATCGGGTGCCACCCGTTTCAACCAAAGCTCCAAATAGCCGCATTCAACAGTTGGGCAATATTACTAGATTTCCCGATATAATTTGATGCTGATTGGTCGGACTTGAAACCAATCATTCGATTGAGTCCGCGGCCAATGAGAATATTATCCTTATGATAATTTAACGCTTTATATGCATTGATATATCCATGGTTCTGTTCTTTTCGGCTGTACTGCTGCACTAGTGCAATAAGTTAGAAAGAGACAAACGTGCTTTCTTTCACTCTAACTAATTGCACTAGTGCAGCAGTGCAGCTGAAAAGAACAGACCCCATGACAATTTGACTTAACGTAAATCGTGAATGTCGTTTTATGAAACGTTAAAGTTTCACGTGTCTTACCTGTTTAAAATTATTAAAATATTGATTAGTGATCTTTGCACTTCTCTCGAATATAGACCTGTTACAACTCCTTTATTGTTGTGATAATAATGACATATTTGAGTTCATGGGAAGAATTCGAAAAAGGCGCAGAGAGGTTATATCTACAAGATCCGATAAACGTATGTTCTCTTACAAAGTCATATTATCATATATTATATTCATCATGTCTTATCGTTTCTGATACCTATATTTTGTTACGCGATAGAATAATAACTGTAATTAGATTATTTAGGATTATTTTTACAATTTGAGATTGATATAAGATGAAAAAAATACATGTAATTTGATAGCATCAATGTTGGCCATTGACAATTTTTCGTTTCTCTCTCAACAATATTATTCAATTTGTTGAATTTGTAATGAATTATTGTTTATTGTGAGTTGCAAATTAAGGATTAACATAGAAACAGAATTAATGTATAATGAATATCAAAAAAAGTAGATACAAGCAATTCTCTTTTTTAGAGTGCTTTATATTAATTATGTATATTTGTTTTAATGTTTAAGATTATTCCTAAGCTATTCTTATTATTGATTGCATGTCTTGTAGTCAAATTGTAAATAAAAGAAGAAAAAGAAAGCATAATATGATACAATATCATATAGTACATGATGTATATATAATAAATTAAATCATTGTTTACAAGTGTGAATAATATTATTGAATCAAATAATTGTCTGTATAATACAGTAACTCTTTCTTTCTCCTTATTTCAGACTCGGTATACAATGAAATATTGTCACAATAAAGGAGTTTTATGTCTAAAGTTAACAGACAACCGACGGGTAAGCAGTTTCTACTATTCTACAAGATGTGAGAATATAAGTTTAAATTTGTTAAGAACACAATATTGTATTAACACTAGCGATTAAAATTGCTTGCAGTGCCTTCAATATAAAACAGAAATAGCTCAAGACTTAAAAAAAATGGAAAAGTTTATAGGCAATCTCATGAGACATATGGCATCGAAAGATAGTTAAATAAGCAAGACTTGTGTACAGAAATGTGTTTATCATTGAGTGTTTATCAAAACATATTTTTATTTAACAAAGTTCTTCTCTCATCTCATAAGATTTAACAACTGTCCAACAGCGGTCCATGTTAAATTTGTTTAAGGTATGAAAACTTTCTTAAATATACAACATATGATAAATGTAAAACTACTTTATTTCATATTAAAGTTTTGTGATTATATCGGGTAATTTCGCTGCCTCCTTGTTAAAGTTCTGAAACAATTGAATTTATAAATTAAATAATTATAAAAATATTATACTTTGTACAGAGAACTTTTTCTTTACATGTAAAACATTAATTTTTCAAATTTATTTATATCGATTTGATGTCTATCGAAAAATTATGTTATTATAATTATGTTGCGCCTAATTTATTAGATATTAATAAAGTCCAAATTTAAATCAAATGAAGATTTGATTTAAGAATCAAAGAGATATGATCGAATAAAAGAAAACCTCAAAGCAAGCACTTACGATATAATAGGTTGAAGAACAGCATCCAAAGTAGTGTCAACAGAAGGATAGATTTCTTGATTTGAAGGAAGTTCATAGAGTACCTCTCCCCCTAATTGCATCTGTGTCTATACCAAACAAAACTAATTTATTAATTTGAATTTCTAGAAAATAATGTTATTTCACAGATCATTTTGTAAAATAAAGCTATATATCTCTAGTACACATATGAAAATTGTGCTGTTGAAAAGGATATGCACAATTATTTAATATATAATAATATACATATATCATAAGAATTCTATAATGCAATGCAAAATTTGTACCAAATTTGCAAAAGATGAGAGTGTGTCTCTAAAATCATGCACTTGTTTGTAGAAATGTTTTAAGATCATTTATATGACACGTAATATCTGTGATAAATCTTTTATAACAATTAATATTAAAAGTTTTTGTTTTAAGAGTAACAAGTATAAATCACATAAAATAATTTGTGCTTATTCTTTTCTTGATAAGCATAAATATACATATGACTATATACATATGAATAAAATGTGCATTGTTTGATGTCTGGCTACTTTAAAACAGATACATAAACAAATATGATATGTTGCATAAAAGAATAGATTAGAATACATACTATGTGAATAGGTTTATTGCTGTCTGCAGAACTTGAGCGGCAACTTGAAAAATCCTGCGGTGTGCTCTCGCCGAGTCCACTGTCCGTATTATTACTTATCGACACTCTGTTGTTACGTGTATAATAAAAATCCTTCTTGATGTTACATACGTCGTTTCGAACTCCGGGAGATTTTGCCTCGACTCGATTGGATGTTGCAGACAGCAAATTATAAGCACTTCCATCACGATTATGCCGCACGATTCTTCTTTCCCTTTTGCCAATAGGTCCGATAGTTCTGAAAGGGAATCCTTGACAGTCTGTCTCCTCGTTTTAACTTGGTCGTTTTCGTCTAGTCGTTTTAACAATTACCAGATCCATCGTAGACTCGACTTTTTCAAATCGATATATCTTTTTTTTCTTTTTTTTAGTACATACAATTAATACACATATTGGCTGTTCTTACGCGTGTATGAAATTTACATGTACACAAATTCAAAATTCCACTAATCAATTTGTTTCTTTGTAAATCGCATTGTAGTACATTTTAAAGCGTAATTTTTCGAAAATTTAAAGAGACACAATGTAGAAAAATACACAAAATGCGCCTGGGACATGTAGGGAATCGAATGGGATCGAGGAATGTCATAAGAAAGACTCGGAGCATAAAGTGTTCTGAATCTTGAATGTTGACATTGTCAATCCTCCCAGATACCAATATTTATTACACAAATACATGGCGCATACCATATATAATATATACCATATATGAATGAGAAATAAAACACACACACGAATAATTATTACGACCCCAGAATGAAAGGCACGCATCGCCTTTGAAATTTCATGGAACAGCCAGAAGCGAATGAGTGCCAGCTAGGATGTCAAAATAAACAAGTGCGACAAGCAGTTAATTTTACTTATTTATTAAAGATTTATCATGCTTTAAATAAATAATAGGGGCATGCTTAAAGTAGATAATATACACATGCTCGAAATAAATACATGCAAAAAGAAATCGGAGATAACTAAACAATGACTACGGATCCCGTCTCATCCTCCAATTGCGGAGGATGGTTGTGGAGGTTGCAGGCCGTCTTGAGATCATCGTACCTAGGTAGGGACGATGAATCGGTGTCGTCCAATCGAGAATTGTTAGATTGTAAGGGAGATTGTTGTACAGATTGCGACTGTACTACTGTGTAGGATATCTCTCGACGTTGCTGCTCACTCATTCCACTAGTATCGACTAGGCCAAATTCCAAGTGTCTACAAAAAAGTATAATATACACATTTTTAATATCCTCTCTTTGCATAACATAATTATAAAATTAATTTATTAAAGTAGAAAGAAGTGGAATAGCAAGAATATAATTTGTTTAACAAACTCAAATTGCAGTTTGTATTCAGTGTAGACAAAAAATCTCTAAATTGTTTTCCATTCTGTTTTACACTGTATCAAATATATTGTGAAATTATAATTATAGTAGCATTTGTAATATTATCTTATATATACTTTCTAAGTTCATCCGGCAGTGATTGTTTTTGGGAAGGACTTCGATGTCTGCTCCTATGTCTTCTTCTAGGCTCTGTATGACTTACCTATAACATATTGGTTGAAAGTCAAATATTATTATAAACAAAATAATTTCAAATTCGAAAAAGACCTAATACTTACAATAGCTTTTTGCACGCCTTCTCCTTTTCGTTTCTGCGCTTCTCTCCATTGGGGCTCCGAATCTACCAATTCGTGTCTGCTACGGAAAATAGCATATTAGATTGAATTAATATTTTTCGACATCCGTGTTGTTATATCGCGAAGGATATAAGAATAATAATCATATAATGAGGATTAATTATTGCAAAAGAGAAGTTTTATTTGTGAAAAAGTGTATGCAAAATAAGTAAATTCCATGTTTAAGAAGATTGATGAACTCTATTGTTGATGGGAACAGGAAGACTCATTATCATTAAAGTGCTTTAATTATACCCTGATGCTTATAAGAGATCGTGATTTGAATTTATCAAGATACTATACTTACGAGAAACAATTATGAGAACGAGATATTATCGCGATGAGAGCGAACGTAATGCGATGTATCTAAGAATGGTTGAAGATACCTAGAGGAACGGGAATTCCTGTGTTTTCTACGATGTTTCCGGTGGCCGGATCTTGTGTCTGAACATCTCGAGAGTTCAGATTCGCAGTCGGAATGTCTGCTGTGTCGACGATGACTATGACTATGACTTCGTCTACGGTGACCACCGCGACTATGACTATCTCCTGAGCTTTGACTTTCTACCGAACTGCTGCGACGTTGAAGTCGACTTAAGAGCTACATTATAAGAAACGATAAATTATTTTAGTAGATTATTCAAATGTGTGCATGTTTAGAAATTTTGTAATATAGCATATGTATAGTACAAGAAATACACTTGATCCATCAACGTCAGAGTCGAGCGTTTGTTTCTTTTCATATATAACAATTGTACGTATACATGCTCACATATTTCTGTATACGTGAGTTACATTGCGATCAACTCTGCGATTAAGGATAATCAATAGAATACAAGCAAATATAACATGTCAACTAACTGCCGGTGCCGTTCCTGCGGAGCGAACGGAGCGAGGACTAGACGAAGTGTAAAGACCACGGGGCTGACTCTGCGTCCACGGTGCACTTCTCGTGCTTCTCGGACTCGAGGTATTCATCTGTCTTTGCGTATTGCACGGAACATTACCGCCGGATGGATTGCAACCTGGATTCGTGATTACGGTAACCGGTGTTTCGATGAATGAACCAACCATTTCTTGACCTTCGACAACTCGTCTTTGTGCTCTCCGACTGGGAGTTCTTTGAAACGGCGGTGGATTTCGTCTAATAGCTGTATGTTTTTCCAAAGTGGACGGAGGACTGTATGAATGAAATCGAGAATATGGACTCAGAGGTGGTGGACCGGTTGCCATTAATCGAAAAAAAGCTTGATGCTCCAAGCAACATTTCCAAAGGTGACGGCAGGCCCCTTTCGATGGTGTTTCGAAACCGTGCGTTCTCTCTTCGGAATTTTTTTCGCTCACCCTTAGCATAAAGTATCTACCCTGAAAGTTTGTGTAATTTTTGACTAATTTTTTGTGGAAAAATGGTTAACGAGTTTGTACTACATTCTTAAGCGTTTTACTATATTTTCATAATTTAAATGAGATTTTAAAAATTATTTATACTAAATTTTTTAAAAAATTATTTTAAAAAACCAGTAACAACATTATATACCTTATAATAGATTTTATTAATTCGAGGCCAATAGTAATTTCCGACTTTGGTTTTATTACGTAAAAGTATTATTCCGCTCGGTGTTAGACCCAAAAAATATTCCACACTATCCTCGCCCTATGAACGAAAATTGTATGTTTTTACGAGATTAATACTAGTGTGTGATTGCGGATACATTAATTTTATCAAATCACATTTACGTACCAACACAGGATGTAAATCTACCCCATACATTTCCAACCATTTGACTTTATCCAGGTAATTTAATTCTGCCGCCGAGGGTAATTGTCCTCTGAAAGAAAAAAAAACATAATTATGTGTTTTATTTAAGTCACTTTAATATTTCCAAAACATTTTATATTGATTAAATCTCTCTTTTTGCGCAATTAATAAACGCTACGATATGGAATGACGTACATGAGAGTTTTATGAATTTCTACTATACGATTCTCCAGTTCCGTAGTTTGATTGGCGAGAAACCGAAATTCCGTGACATATCCAGGTGAATGTCGTCTAGGATCATAATCACCCAGTTCCGCTAAAAGAATAGAAAATTATTGAGGGATGGATAAAAAAATAATTATTTATATATGGAAATTTATATATACTATTTTTCTATTGCTTTTGTTTTTTCCATTTTCCTCTTCAATTTTCTTATATCTATTTAGATTTTGTCCACATTCAAATTAATAACAGATTTTTAAAAACAGTTATGTTATTATTATGAAAAATATACATATAGCTACAGAATAATAAAAATATTGTAAAATGCATAATTTGATTCTGTTACAATGTTTGCTGCGAGTGAAAGAGAAACATTCTCTTTTCAATGCTTTTTTTACTCCATTGTCTGTCCTTTTCCGTATACTGTGCTTCTTTCGCAATATACGCGTATTATCGTTGAATAGGAAGAAAAGATATTCATTTCGTCTCTTTTGACTGCGATGAGATGCAAACACGAGCGTATTTTAGTTTGCCTTTCCTTTTTTTTATCTGTACGACTTTGAATCTCCCCATCAGATAACTAACGCGTAGACCATTCGTCCATGTTTGTTCGCGTTTACTTACATCTTGCTACACACATACATACAAAGTGCATATGTAAACAAGTTTGGTATTCACTACGAATGGTCTTTTCTCTCGCAAGATTTTTTTAAATACTTTATCCGTTCTCTTCATAAGATGAATCAGACGATTTTTAAGCGCACAGTAAGTAATGCGTCGTGATGGATTTGCGTTTTTTTTTCAATATAAAAGATATCTTACATTGAACAACATAGGCTCCTAATTCCGCAGCTAAATCAAAGGATACGGGCAGTCTTCCTTGTAGAATGTCTTGCTTGATTTGTAGGAAAAACTGGTATCTGCAAAACAAATCAGAAACGATGTAGAGTTTTATTATAATAACAATATTGAAATTTTTTTATCAAGTAGAATCGAGTATATATATATATATATATATATATATATATATATACACTCTATATATATAGTATATATATACCGGGAGATATATGAAACGGAAATATAATTTTTTTGAATCCTTTTGATCGTTTTTCATTGTGGAAAAATGTGAGAATTTAACATTAAAGTTGAATTAAACAGCAACGCGCACGAGATAACGCCGCGAGAGCTGACACAAGACACGCGTACGTACGCATGTATGCATGTACGCCGGGCGCGTTTCAACAAATTCGACGCACGTGGAATTCTCGTGCGTCCGCAACGTAACGTCCCTGGAATTTCCTAGAATTTCGAAGACACCAAGCGTGAAAGAATCGTTCACACAAGAGCGTGACATTGAATAAATATTGTCCGCGTCATATCCACATATCGTACGCGTTCAAACACATTTTCAATCCTTCAATTCCTTTCGTTACTTTTAAAAGTTTGAAATATAGAAATAAATAGTTGAAATTTGATTTTTAAAAATTATATAAATGTTTATTAGTCAGTTTTAAGTCTCCTGTCTCCTGATCGTAGTCACATTGAATTTTTATAACGTCATGAGCAGATAATTATACGGATCCATTTCTTGGGAAATACATTAAAATAAACAATTTTCATAATATAATAATGTAATTTACCAATCTATTCTATCGAACGCGAATAGCAGCACATTTAGAAATAATTTATTTCAACGTATTTCGGAGGAAAAACATTTTCACGTTATAATTAAATATGAAATTAAAAGCCCAAAGATTTTAACGACGAGTTTGACGGAAATGATATATATAAATTACGAATAATTCCGTGAGAGATTTTGAAAAAATTGTATATTCAAAATATATTATATATTATGTAAGTGTGAACGTTATTGAATAAATAAGATAAAGGGATATACCTGGTAATCTCTTCAATGAGTTTACACGGATCTGCCGCGTAGAATTTAACACCAAAGTAGAGAGTGTGCACATCCGATCCAGGATCTCCTTTATGAATCTTCAATTGTTTACCGAGCTTTTTGCTTTGATCGAGCCATTGCTAGAAAAGAAAAACGCGCGAATGTATTATAATTATTTGTGACAATTTACTAATTTTTAAGTCTAAACAATTTTTTAATAATTATGCGCTCTAAAACTTGATACCGTTCTTTGATATTAAATTGACATAATTATCAAGAGTGAAATTTGTTATACAAAATGTGAGTTAAATAAAATTATATCCTACCGTTTGATTTCCGTGATCAAGATAGCGCAATCCAAAATAAGAAGTTTCCAGCAAGTTTAGATGCTTGAATACTCTATCCAACAATTCTTGACCTAGGTTCGAGCTCTGGAAAACGTACATGTATTTATTACACCGGAATTGAACGCGTATCTAGAGCGTATAAATAAATTTTCTTCGATTTTCTACATTTGCGAGAAGCATGAATATACTAAGTATACCGTGGTGAACTAGCGAGATTGAAATCGAGAGGGACGGTTTCCCACTGGTGTTGCGAACCGTGACGCGTTGTTTATTCCCCTGAGAGAAACTAACGGAATCTTTAGGTAAATGCTTATATCGTTAAATTTCATACGCATGCTATTATCTTCCCCTGTTTGCGATTTACTCGCATTATCGATAAAGTGGACAAGAATATAAATTTAACGCTAATATTTTGCAGAGTCAAACTAATTTATCTCCTTGATTCATACACGATACGAAAGTAGAGGTTATTACATAGCGAGGCCGATAAAACTTGCACCGGATCGGAGAATAAATGAAAGGAAGCGCGAAATATGCGCAATGTAACGAAAGACACTTAAAATCTTTAAGAACAGCAACAAGTTGTCGAAGGAAGATGAAAAAGTGAAGGAAGAAAAGAAAGAGAAGAGAGAATGAAAGACCTCGCCCTTTTTCTTTCGCCTAAGGCCTAGGAGAGTCGAGTATAGGTTCAGGAGATGGGTAATCATCTCCAACTTGCGTGTTCCGAACGATCCTTCCCTTTTTTTGTTCGCTTTTTTCTCCCTCTTTCCTTTTTCCATCGGTTATTCAGATGATTTCTTTCATTTTTCATACATGGTGTAATTTAAACATTTATTTAGGTATTCTAATCTTTCCTGTCTATAGCTCGTTGTGGGAATCCAAGTATCGTAGCGTGATCTGATTCTCCTAAGGTAGCTTTAGAGAAAGAAATTCGAGTATCGTTGACTGGGCCATTAATGTAAAGTTTGACGTTCATTATTAGAAATGCAGAAATACAACACAGATTAAAAATGATTAAACAAGTTGAAAAAATGCGGAAAATGTCGATTCGACGATAGAGGAAAATGTGCGAAAATATTTTCCTTTTAGTGAAAAAGAAAAATGTCCTCGGCTAATGGATACGAAGAAAGACGAGAGAATAATCGGCGAGCTTCGCGGTGGCAACTAGCCGATATTGCTGCTTCATATTTTATCGGAGATTCGTTGTTGCCTCTAGGTATCGTGACTAGGTATGGTAACGTCAATGAAAAGTAGAAGCAACGCGAAAAAAAGAAAGACTTTGGCGAGTATCGCCCGCGGCGGATGCTGAGCGCCATTTGTGTAATTGGACGTCAAGCGAGGAAGAGGTAATCAGAGGTAATCAGAGAGGTACCAAGCGGAAATTCAAAAAATTCGAATGCCAACGAGCAGCCTGTCCTTCTTCAGCTTTCGCATTTTTACTTTCGCTTTACAAACTTTTGCTCGCTCGCCGATTAATGCCTCGATGAGCCGAAATTTTGCCGAGATTACAAGTAAAATGATGTACGTGCAATATTGACAATTCGTATCGCATATATTGTACGTACATATTATACATCCGACAAATGTGCACGAGATGTTTGGATTCGTTCTTTTCCCAAACGATAATCTTGCGATCGGTGTTGATTGTTAAACTATTGACCGCAGATTGATGCTTTGTGCAAATTCTGTGTATTAAAATTGCCGTTGCGAAATAAAGTGACGTACAAAAGATGTAGGTATATCGGAGAGATTCTACTGGGAAAGAGTTACTCGTTTATCCGGTCGCGCTATCTCGACGCATAGTCATTCTTTCGCGCTGTTACGCTGCAATTACGAGAGACTGGTTCTACAACTGGCGGTATAAATCTGAGAAAATATGGATTTCGATACCGCGGTGGCGAGATATTGCCTACAACTATCGCACTTGTAGTCATCAACGATCACTTCTTTCCTCGCGTTTCTCGATTCTACCTTTAATATTATGTACAATAATTTTTTTTAATTTTTCTTTCAGAGTAAATATTGCGTAAAAGTTATCGCCGCTTTTTCTATCGAAAGTACTTGTCGAAACAGATGTAACAACCTCTCTATACATTGTCGACCGCTAATGTTGGAATAAAAAAATGGCGAAAGAAAGAGAGAGGGAGAGACGGAGCGATAAAGAAGAAAAGAAAAGGAGGAAGAGAAAGCGAGAATGCGAATTTCCTTCTTCGCATATACATAATCTCATGTTTAACGCTCGACTGAATTTCGACTCGCATAGAGACTTGGGTTGTACGTATAGAGACACATACAATGAAGGATTACACGCGCTTATACAGGTTCGGAATGTTAATCGACAAAATGAGTCGGACGATGAGGGAAGCGGAGAGGATGGAGAAAGAGAGCGCGCAACGCGAGAGTGATTCCGAGAGGAAGAAAAAAAAAAAGGAAAGAAAAGAACGAGTAGGTAGATTGCGAAAAGACGCGGGAATTAGTGTGCGGCTTGGCCATCGGCGATGCGGAGGAGGTAAGGCGAGGCGGCGTTGTCTACGGTGGCCCACCGCCAATTTTGGCATATCGTCTAATAACAGAGAAGAAGACCAAAGGAATTCCCCGGGTGTACCCCCTCTGAGAGATATGTACGCGCCTTCTCTTCTTCCTGCGCGAAGCCGCACAGTCGACCATAACCCACCGTAGCCGCCGGGCACGATATGTAGTCCGGTACCGAAACGACCATCTAGAAACGAGCTGGGAAAGAAAATGCTATTAATCCGCCAAATTATAACTTGGCTAATATGAATTACGGTAGGATACGACGCCAATTTCTAGTCGATTGGAGCGGTTTTGCTCCAGAGTGACTCTTCGTATTCTCGTTTATTTCGCAGCAGAGCTTGGAAAGAGAGAGGAACCCCGATGGATTTGGCGTTGATTGAAAATAAAGTCCTTCATGTTCCTGGATAGGAGGCCTGCCAAACTTACCAAGACATCCTGCAACAATTCGTGCTCGTCCAAAAGTATCACTTTGCAGTGCAAAAGACGAGGCCTGTTGTTCCTGGTCGGCCTGAGTCCAGGGCACAGCCACTCCACCACCATCGCTTTCCTCCTTCCTCGATCCCTTTGTATCCCTTTTGCCTGGCTCGCGCGCTTTATCCGCTCGATGCGTTTGCGCTCATCCTGAGATTACGTATCGTCGCAACGTTCTTGTCGAAAGCTGCGAAAAATTATCAAGTTATCGATTATCAAGTTATGCGATTCTCTTTATTCCTCGTCACCGCTGTTGCTACGAAAAGTGTTTACGACGAGAGCTTGAGTCGAGAAAGCATTTCCGATCGACGGAAAAGTTTCTTCCTTTATTTTCTCGAGAAAGAATTTTCGAAATAAACTCATCAAAATTGCGACCGCGAGTCTAGAGTCCCGAAATGATTTTCCGCGTGACGTTAATTCCATGACAGGTGAGGAATATCAAACTGTCATAAATATGTATAGCGGTAATCGGCTTGCTTGGTATCCGCTCCTACCGTTACTTTATAGTTCCTGCTTGCGAATCGAACAATCTGTAATAGACGTAAGGTAAGCAGCCAGCGGCAGGTCCGATTTATAACTTTTTGTCGCGCACGCATTAGTAGCTGAATCAAAAAGTGCCCTATAGTTGTTAAAAAGTTACGAGATAGCCTGCAGATGCGGCTTGTATCTTTTGCAGAGAAAATAATAATTTTGAATCGAAAAAATAGGAATAAAATCCAATTAAAATTTTGGCAAACTTGTGCTTCGCCAAGTTCGCCAAAATGTCGTTGCATCTCGTTGATGGAAAAAATATTCTCATGGCGCGGAGAAGAATCTCTCGAATCGCGCACGTAGTTTTATTCGCGTTATCGTTGGGATATATTCGCAAACGTAGCATCGCCGCCAGACAGAGTGAGAATTCAAGTACACCTTTTGTCCTCGCGTATGCGTCGCTTGAGAAAAATGTCTGTACAATGTCTGTGGCCCAAGTGGCGAATGCCATTGAACTCGGAGAACGAGCGGGAGTAGCGTAGTCCGCGTGTGGAACAGGTTTCGAATCCAGAATCTCAATTGCATTTGACATAGAAAAAGTAATAGAGGAACCGATTAGCGCCGATTGGCAATTTATTTACGACTAACGGGAACACGTTTCTCCGACGAGAGAAAAAAGAAAGGAAAAGGGCCAACGTTCTCCGAGCGATTCGACACGACGATATCGTTTCGCGTTCGTGTCGTAAAAAAAAGATTCCAACTTTCGATACATTGATCCGATCGTCGAAATACTCGCGCGATTATCACGTATGTCTTTCTTATCTTTTTCGACACGGTCTTATCATCTCGCATCTTTTCTCGTAATATTTTTATTTAATTTTTACTTTTTACTTTACTTAATTTTTATTTTATTTAATTTATTTCTATTCAATTTTTTTATTAAATTTATTATGACTGCCACGAACGCGGATATTCGCATAGGAATTTGCACATTATTATTTATCGTCTTTACATCGTAAAGATGTAGAATCCAAAAATAGAAATATAGTCGAATGATTTTTTTTGCGCGATATTACATAAAGCGTGCAAATATATGCATGGAATATGAAAATTTGACTCGCGTGTGCGTATTTTCGTTTTCCTTTTGCTCATACTGGGAAGAGAGATTGCGATAATAAATGTCAAAATAGCGATCCAATTGAAATTAAACCGGGAGAAACGAGTTAGATATCTATCGACTCGACAGTTTTATCGAGTCTGTAATGTTGAAGCGAAACAAACGTTTTATAATAACATTCATGCGTGAATATAAACATGCATTATCTTATAATTTACAAAATGTAGTTTTTAAGATTCGCTTTGATTTTTAATATACTACAATAAAGAGCTTACACGCGTATGAAAACCAACTTGAAAATATTCCCATTTATTCTGATTTATGGTGATAAAATCAAATAAAATCAATGAATAATTCTAGCGTTACAAGGGAGAATAAAAAAAATTCTTGCATCGTACGTACCTGCGTTACGTTTACGCTCCGAGTTCTCGCGACCTCGACAGTTGTTCGGGACTTCCGGCACTTTTCGACACTTTCGACACTTGTGGCACTTCCGGTAGCAAAATTCAGAATTCGGACAGAATTCGATATACCGTCTCGTATATCTCGTCCAACTTTGAAGTATGCAACGCGCTTGTTGTCATTCGCGGAGACGACCGGCGTTCTTTACGTTTCACTCCGTAGTACGCGTGCATGTGAGGTATTCCAAGCGAGGTCGACCGAGTTCGCTGTCGCGCGTGTACCGATACATGTCAGATATATTATCGATGACGATCGGATATCATATCGGAGTCCGGATAGACTCGCTCCGAAGCTACAATGCCCGAATTATATAGCCGCGACGCGCACTCGAGCGATCGTAACGATCGCGAAGACGTGGAGGAACGTTTACGACTGACAGTTTCAAAGATTTCAACGCGCGGACGACGCGAGTTTTCAACTTGCATTGGCGCGACCCGACAGACACGACGCGGGACGAGACGAGGCGAGGCGAGACGCGAGACTGAGCGAGACGAGGCGAGGGGAGGTGAGATAAGGTAGGAGGTAGGATGAGAGGGAATAGGGTGGGACGGACGGCACGGTTGCGGGAGGGGGGATGAAGCGAGGCGAGACATGAACGCGTAAAATACATAGATGGGCATCAACCACAGAAGATTGCAAGCGGGATACATTGACCTTGTTCGGTTTGGTTTCGAGTCAAGTTGATTCAATCTTTATCGAGTTAACTTTTTAATCATTTTTTATCAATTTTAATCGATTGTCATATATTTAAATATCAATGGTTAGCCAAAAAAATGATTAAAAAGTCAATTTTGTCGAGCCGACTTCACGGAGGTTTGCTTACTTGTGATTGGTGGATCCGATATGCATCAAGGTGTACCTTCTCATCGCAAAAGCTTTTATCTTTTACTTAGACTCTGTCTATGTATTTTATGTTTATGGTTAAGATACTTGTGTAGCGATCGTGCAGGATAAGAGGAGAAAAAGGAGTGAAAGAAAGGTAAAAAGAGTTATAACGAGATAACTAATCAAGACATATATCATCTAAATACAATCTTTTTATCCCGCGAATAAAAATTACGTCAAATCAAGTCACTCTTTCAAAGTATCTTATCGATTCGTGATAATAAGGAAAGTTACTTTTTGAGATATCGAGCAATTAACATCGACTGATATTTTATCGATTTGTTTTATAAACAATTTAAATTGAAGGATTTTAACACGAGTAATCTCGAGCAACGATGAACGAATAATTATATTTAAAATTTATCCAAACAAATTAGCATAATTATACAATGCATACATATCGATATATAATTTTCTACTAACCGATTGATTGATTGATTTCTCTGTATATGTGCTTTATATGGCTATGTAAATTGATTTAAAAGGCGTTTTTTAAACGTGAAAAAAAAGTTTGAACAAACAAATTCACATTTCAAATATGGATGCTCTCGGAAAAAAAAACTACGCGAAATCTAGTAACTTTTGCGCCATATTGGCGACCTTTACGGAATTATATATATATTGTATTATATATATATATATATATTTTGCGTAGGTTACTACGTGGTACGTGTGGCATGTTTTTGTAATTGGTGTAGAGTTTAAGTTTGTCATCGCAATGTGTCGTATGTACGATGATCATCATCAGTGATAGTTGACTGTACGCTTGTATCGCAATTGTTGAAGCAACGTTGATCGCCGACACGTAAAATGGCCTGGTTCGGAGATAGCCTATCCAGTCTGTCTAATTTAAAGGGACAGATTACGAATTTCACGAAAGAGGTTTTATCCGATGGTATCGTCGAGGAAATAGGTACGTATGTCTGAATGTATCAAAGATCAATTTAGGATTTCAATTGATCTTAACGCGTAGCTGTCATACAGTAAAGAGGCAGGTTATGATTGTCAGATGACGTTTCTATTTTACCGATCGAAAAAAAACAGGTGTTTACCGGCGATTCGTTTTACCATGGATTCGTATTTGGAAACATACTTAACGGCAGTAATTCAAATAGTTTATACAATCGGTAAAAAATTTTATTTCCTTCTCTCTTGTTTATTAATACTTATTAATTATTATACTTATTTTTCAAATAAGCATTGTATCGAAAAAATTTAAAATTAAGAGCAAACTATTAATTCTTATTATTCGTTTATCTTTTACTTTCTTTCATAGCTATATTTAATATGTTATTGTTATAAATTTTACAATTATTTATTATCATTTTATTATTTTCATTTTTTATATTTTAAACTGTGTGAGTAAAGTCTTGTATTTTTGCAGAAAAGAATTTGTAGAAAAATTATTGTAATAATTATATAATAATAATAATTTTTTCTCATTTTATTTTTCATTTTACTTTTTATATAAGCTCAAGTTAATAATATAATCGAATTTTAGAAATACTCTTACAAATATATTAGCATATATATTATATATATTTTGTAAAATTTTATAATTATATAATATCAATTAATAATGATTGTTTTGTGGAAATATTTATTTTCAGATGAACGATCAAAAGCTTTAAATGAAGCCAACGAAAGATGCAATCAACTGCAAGATTTGCTCAATTCGAAAGATGCGGAGGTGAGTGTATTTATACATATTATAAATTTATAATTGTAATACACATACACGCGTACATGTACAGATTTTTGGTATAGGTAGTTTGCTAAAAGAGGAGGGTTACAATACGATTAGAAATTATTTCAACAGATGTTACATTCCCTAATAATCGTGAATAAGTGCAAAGCAAACACGTTCGTCTCTTATCCGTTAATATATGTCGCACAATCTGAAATCTTTTAAATTTCATTGAAAACAATGATGTAAACATTGTAAAAAAAATGTTGAAATTTTAAAAAACAGAAGAGAGAATTTTGAAAAATTAATACGTCCAGGAAATTTTTCGCTGTTAAAAAATATCGAGGTGAAACGTTTTACACACTATACTATCTATCTTTACCTATCTACCTACCTATCTATGTGACGAAACACCTTTTACCATGACGACCAGTCAAGAGGAGGAAGAAGGGGGGATGGAGGGTTTTGGAGGTACCCAGGGGTCATACGAGATAACGCATCGGGGATCGAAAAGTGGGGACTCTTATCGCAATGCAAACCTAAGATAAGAACGGCAAATGTAAACGCGCATCGTACGTCCTGTATCCACGACGGTACCGCCGGACTTCCTTCTGATTGTGCTTCCTAATATTTAAGCTGGAGATGTACGATTATTTTAAAAATCCAAATTCAGTTATCGACGATATCCTTTTTCCATCTAAAATTTCCATAAAAATTTTTTTCCATCAGCAAACAGTTTAAAACTTATATAATCATAAAATAAATATTAATACAATTTCTATCATTTGGTAGAAATATAATTTTTCTCTCGTCTTTCCTCCCTTTCTTTCGCTCTAAGAATCAAAAGTATATTATTATTCAAAATTTATAATTTTTATTTACGTATATCTTAAAGCACTCGATTTTTTTTATCTTTGATAAATTTTTATTTATTCATGCTTGTAATTTATCAGTTATATTTGCAAAAATTGTTGTTACTGTATAATATATGCGCGCATATAAGAAATGAATGGAAAGAAATCGGTCTGCATTAGATTGCTATATAGTTATATTTTGATATAATATTTTAATCTTGTTATAACTTGTGTATAAAAACCATTTATCGTATTATAGATTTCCCTCCTACGCCGACAAAATATCGAATTGCAGAGCGCCGTCATCGAGCTGAACGAAAGATCCAAAGAATCGGTGAGTCCAAAAATTCTGTGAATTAAATAATAAATAATTTGTTACAATTATCGTAGAAGAGAAAAACGCTCATTATTTGCATCAAACGTGGCTTTTCGCGAGAAAAGTGAAAATTTTTTTAGTCGAAATCATATTATATTTTCTGTAATCGTTAGTAAGATTATTGTTTATTCGAGAGTTACAAAAAATTAAGAATAATCAACAAGCAGCACGTTCAGTTTTTTTTTTTTTTTTTTTTTTTTTTTTCAAATAGATACAACAATTCCAACCGTGACGTGTATTCGCGAACGTTCGACGCATTGGTTATCACCTTTTCAAATGTAAGAACCGCTTGCGATTACGTGACCTATAAACCGCTTAACGTTGTCACGCGCCTCTTAGCCTAGAATCGTCACCTCCTCTCGGGTGCTCTCCCTTGTTAATAGTCGAGAACTTGCATATTACCGCGATAGTTTATCATTACATCAATACATTATAATAATAACGGGAGCGAGCCATTGTCTTTAAATTATCTATCACTCATTAAGCAAACGATAATATATATGTGTATGGGTGTGTGTGGCGAGTGGATGAACGTGCGTGCATGCGTGCGCGAAAGTGCACTTGTGATAACAAAAACTAGCCATTTGGCATTAGCTGGCAGATACCGATAGTAATTGTTGGAAAAAAGTCATTTTTTTGTCAGCGTTTAGATAGGGGACTTTTTGTTTCGCGTACTAATTTTATGTACTTTTATTATAGTAGGGGTATATAATTTCTTTTTATTCCATCATATACTCTTATAAAACTGGCCTAATAAAATGTCAATTTGTGACAATCGTAAAAATAGAATACTTCGATGGAGGTCTTTTGAGCTCGATGGAAGGAAACACACATATGAATACATATGAATACATATGAATATCGCATTTTAAATGAGAGAGAGAGAGATGCATATATAATGCAATTTATATAATTGCAGTAGAAAATATTTCTGAAAAATGGGATTATACGAAATGTAGACATTTCTCGTTGATCCAAATACGTTGTTTGAAATTTATTTTGTTTCAAACTTTCACGTTGTGTAGAAAATGTATATACGAACTGCGTTAGTCGAAAACGAGAGATAAGGCAACGCACTGCTCGTGTTCTTATACTTTATTACGTATCTTGGATCAACAAAGGATCGGTCTCACTTGTCGTGGAATGTGTCACAAATTTCTTCCAAGAGAGAATTCCTCACGCGACATTTCCTTCGGATAAATCAGCGGTCGTTTTTCTCCCTCAAATATTTCTCCTCTTCATCGTGTATTGTGCGTGTCATATGGATTGCATTTTGTATTACATACGTATATACAATCTTTACTGTGCGAACGCAGTTGCAACGTACCTAGTTTTCGTCGTTTGCTGTCACGTGTTTTCCCCATTATGACATATGAGGAGACTCGATACTATTAGTGTTTGTGAAAGTACGCGCAAAAAAAAAAAACAGAATTAACGAAGCCGAAAAATTCACAAGACTACCGCATATGTATTGTGCGTCGTGTACATAAAATGCGCTAAAAACGGATGAAAGATAAAAATGCGCGTGCCAGTTTTCTAATTCCTTCGAATTATACAGGCAAAAAATGTAAAGCAGACAAGGATGCAAAAAGACACGATGATGATTCATCGTGCGTTGTTACGTGTACGCAAGTGCAGCGATTTACCAGTCCTTGAGATCCAACGCAAGTAACGCAAGGAAAGTTATCTAATACGTTGCTGATCGTTTAAAGGATAAAAATTTCACGTTTTGTCTCTTGTTGCTCGGTAATGTAAAATATGTTCTCTCGACACGGCTATTATTATATGAAAATTACAAAATGAGATACCGCGCGTGAGATACTCCTCAAAAATAATATAGCATTAAAGTAAAATGCGCTCTCATCGCTCTCAATCGCGTGGTCATAAGTACAGATTGAAGATTGAACAGGCTTGCACGAAGGAGAGAGTCGAGCGTTGCAGAATATTTAATAAAAAATAAAATAAATAAACGAAAAATTCCTCCGAAATTTTTCGCAAATACGCATTGCATATAATCGGCCCGTAAATTGGTTCAATCTATCGATCTCGGTTCCTAGTCTCGTGTCACCCCACAGTTTCACTCTGTCGCCGATAACACTTTTAAGTATGATAAGAGCGGCCTCGGGTTGGGGTTGCTCAGTTTTCAGCACGATAGTGACTATGACTACTGTCTCAATCGAGTGGCTATAAATACAGGTTCAACGAGTTTGCACAAAAGTGAAGCAACGTGCCATTTGTGCGATAAAGTTCGGCATATATTAAGTTTTGTTGCTGAAACAATTGTTAAAAAGGTTGGTAATGAAGGTTTTTCTTTATTCGTTACTGCTATCTGTTAACGATTAGCCTGTTGCATTTAACATCGACGTTTATTTTTATCATTGAAACTTTGTTCCGAATAGGTTTGCGCGCTTAATTTTTTCCTGGAATGCGTCACTCCTTTTGCATCTAATTGCGATATCTAATATTTTTATAAAACATATTTATTATTGCGATGCTCTATTTTTAAAGGTTTAGAGACACGTAACTTGTAGAGAAAAGCTTCAACGTGCGAAAAGACAAACGGAACAATAACATTGTTAAAACGTCATTAGTATAACGCCGTATCTACAAAGATACAGTTACATATTACAATTATAGTAACAGTTTTCGATTGTACACCTGGATTCTTTCCGGTCGGTGAGTCTTCCTTTTTGTTCCATTTTATTTTCTGTCACAAACGGTGTTTTATAGTTTTGCATCGAGGAAAAAATCCCCAGCGATGATGCTACGAATGAAAAATTGGATAGGCATTGAAATTCAGGAACGCGCAATATGTATTCATGCTTTTTTATTATCGCGCAATCATTCATCATTTATGTCTCATTGACGATGCTTGATGCTTTCTAAATTTTTTATTGTCTCTCTCTCTACTTCGTTTCCTCAAGTATAGATGGTTGAGCGGAAAAACCACAGAGTCTCGAAGGTTTCTCGATTTTATTCCGGCGATTCCTATGGCGCTCTCTTATAATGTTTTCCCATTTCCTTCAGCTGTGCCCGCAGCAAGCGCGCTACCATACGGGCCGATAAAAATGTCCTGTCGACGCCTGCGTTAATATAACAGCACGTACGACGTGTCATACATTCATACACGGCCGTATTAAAACGAAAAAGATGGCAAAATTGTCCAATTACATTTTTACGTTTATAATAATATAATTTATTTTTTTTTATCAATAACAATATAATTTATAAAAATAACATTATTATATTTATAAATTAATAATATTAATAATATTAATCAAATTCAGAATTAACATTATTAATAATAATATAATAATTTTATTTATTAATAATAATAAAATTTATCGTGATGCTACGTGACGCTATTAAAGCTCGGTATTAAACAATTTTCGCGATAGCGGGCAACTAGCACGTATTTGCAGAAACGAAAATATATTTTCGCGAAATGTTTCGTAGCGACAAACTGCTCCGACATGAAATCTCACACACACACATATATAATATGTGCATATGCATACTATGATGATGCATCCTCGTATAGTTTTCTTACGTTTGCACCGCTCCGCGTAACCTCCACGCGTAACCTCCTCCTCCTCCTCCTCTTCCTCCTCCTTTTCCTCCTTCTCTTCTTCCTCCACCAGCTGCGTAGGATCGCTGGTAGAAGGTGGAATAGTCGAAACATACACAGTCATTCGTCGGCCAGCGCGTTCATTCGTCGCGTCACGCATCTCGCAACGTGCGAGCGCTTGGCTTGGGCGTGCGCCAACCCATCGTGTGGACCCGACCGTTTTTTTTTCCTCTCAAAAATGGTCTAGCTGCGAAAGCAGCCCTGTCCTCCGCTCGAACAATCGCTCGAAATGTCGTACGTTGGTTTTCGCGAGTTTTTCCGAGCACGGAAGCGGGGATCGAGAGGCTGTACGCGACTGCAATTTTCAATTCCAAGTAAGTTTTTCAGAATCGTTTCCGCCGCATAGAGACCGCGGATTATTTTTCAGACGGATGCTTTATCGAATCGATCATTTCACTTTTCTCATATCTTACTTACGACTGAAATGCGATAAGAAAAGTTTATCTAGCGTATTAGTTTTAAGATAACAGTTTATTAAAAAAAAAGTATTTGCGGAAGAATCCTGAAGAGAGAATTTTTTTCGTTCACCTTGTATCTGGTTGAAAAAATATGCGAGAGATTGATGTAGCATTTTATTTGATCGTGGAGAAAGAAAATGTCAAATACCAAATTTGCGGATGCGTGTCTTGGGATATATTTCGAGATTGCAATATAAAAAAAATAGCAGAGCACAATTCTTTCATCGCGCCATTTTTTCGCGCGCGAAGTGATGACCAGGCAATTTATCACGCGCACGCGTACGTTTCTATGGCTATTTCGCAAGTTTCGTATTAAATTTCCAAAATGTAGTCCTCGATAAATTCATAGTCGATTCCTTTTGCCAAACGAAATTTAAGTGGAATTGATCGATATCGATCACATATACATAATCTCGCTAAGAGTATCAATTTCCCTTAAAAATATTTTTACTCGGACGTACAAAAAATATGTTTGTTTTTACTATAATACATTTACTATAATTTGTTTTACTTGCGTTACATTTTGCGACTACAATATAAACACTGAATGAAATGCAAAAATTCGAGATTTAACATTCATTTATTATGTAATGTAATTTTTAAGTTATACAAGACTCTCGATTCCCTCGAGAAAGAAGACGTAAAAATTCAACGCGTTTTCTTTAAAAAATTATATACATTTTAAGAAAAACATATATGGAGAAGAAGCGTGGAAATTTTTCAGAGAAATTCTAGTAGCGAACGTTTACGATGAAGGCTTGTAAAACGTAAAACAGAAAGTTGAAATTAGCAGATAAAAATTTTCAAAGCGAATGCAATTGGCAACTTATTTATTTCCATTTGGCCTCACGATATAAGCTACGTTAAATTTGCGCCTATTTTGTACTGTTAAGCAACGTTTCCCGACAGAGTTATCGGTAGATAATGGACGAAGGACAGGCTTACCTATGATTACTTAACCAACGCGACGCGCGATTACCGTGCACTCGTACGACGTTGGACAGGTAATCGTATTGCAAAAAATAGAATGTTAGTTGTAAATGATAAAAGTTGGAGCGTGTACTTATCATATGTATGCACGAGTATCCAAGTTCAAAACGTTCGATTCGATTCGACGCTGACGTGTGCTCGCATATGTATGTAAATCTTTTCTTAAATAACAAGTGGAAAGGTACGAGACGTGCTTCAAGTGTCACGATCAATTTATCGATTTGCTTCAATTTTTTTCATTTTTATCTGGCAAAAATAACGTATTTGAATAAAGGAAAAAATTCCAATTCCAATCCCCACATGCGAATACGTGGTAAGTAATCGATATTTCTGAGTAATTTGTTAAAATAATGAGTCGAATTTGATTCGACAATTGAAATACATTTAGAGATGACGCGGGAAGGGAAGGGAAGCACATCGTGAATTTAATATGTTACAGATTCGGTACGTTTCGTGTAAAATATAAATGTTTCACACGTAGAAAACGTAAATTTTAAACTTGATACTAGAAAAAAATTAGACTTATTGTTAACGTTAGATTTAAATGAAATACGTACAATATAAAGATTAAAAAATGTCGCTCACGTGATAAATTACTTTTTTCTTTGTTACAATGACGATATAAAAATATACAAGTTCTTCTTTTTTTTTTCGAAAACTAATAATTAATCGATTGATATTTACATTAATAAACATGAGCATTAAAGATGCATTCCGATATAATATGGATATAGACATATTGTTGAATATCATTAATGATTCATATTGCGAATATATGTGTTGGCGATCTCGTAATATTATAAAGATTGGCCTTTTTCAAAATTTGAAGGACTCGTTTTTGCTCTCATTTCCGAGTCACGGTATGCGAATTAATATATTATCGAATTAACTAATATCTTATCTAATTAACTAATATATTATCGAATTAATTCATATATTATCGAATATGTTATTACATTGTTCAGTTTGGAGCGATCGACGGACATTCGCAGAAGGAGAATTTTGCTCTTGCGTATATGCTATAAAAAAAAAATGGAAAAATCAAGAACATATGGTATAAAAAAATATGGATACGCGAGAAGCTATAGTTATCACGTATTTCTGCTGTATCCGTTGTATGGTGATGAGCTGACGCTACATCGTCTCCGATGACGACTTCTTACCTCGAAGAACTCGCTGAGCGCCAACTTCTGAGTACCCAACACCAGAGATGGTGTGTTATTCGCGACGTTTGTTGATAAAATGTCCCCGTTGAGCTTTTCTAGCGGATGGCCGCTTCTCGTCGACTCGACGCATCCACGATTCTCGTTCCGCCGATTAATCTACGGCGATAGATTTCGAGACTCGATGGTATTCGTCGCGGGGGAGGCCCGAAAGTCGCCCGAAAGATGGTATTCATAGTCCATTCTTACATTTAAGATCATCTTACGAACTCATTCACTCAATCAAATAGCTACAATGTAGTTATTGATTGGTGGAATGAGAGCTTAAGATCTTAAATGTAAGACCGGACTACGAATACCGGCCGTAAAGTGAATGAAATATCCATGATTGCGCGCGGGAGCGTTACTTGACATACAGGATATTCGACAATGCAAGGGTCATGCGAGTCAAAGCCGGAAATAGTAAGCTGCGGTTCTCATTCGTCGAATAAAAATGTTTTCTCGCGCCAAACGACGAGAATCGTTATACGTTGGAAGCTTTTCCGGAGAGACGACTAACTCGAGAGAGTGGCAAACCTCGCGTAAAATAGACACCTCGACAATTTAATTTGACGCGCACGCAGACGCAGGGACATTTACTGTTATTTATCCAGATTATTTATCGAACCCTGAACCCCGCAGACACCGCCGGGCGATACTCGACATCGCGTGCGTGTACTCTCGACCGCGTTATTGTGTTTGTGCGCCTCGCGGCCACTCGGTTACGTCACTGGCATCGTGGACATTATTATGTTGCTACTGACGCAGGTACAATATGCCTGCCACGCTATTAGAGCAGCCTGCGTTAACCTGAAACTCCGCGTAAGCGGAGTGTGTTTCGTAACGTCGCGAGAGGCATGGAAATACTGTAAGCGATATTCCTTTATTATCAGCAAAAATGTGCGCGCGGGATGTCGAGTAGCGCGCCTGAAGTGGCTCGCCGAGAAATCAAAGTTGGCCGGATTGTTCTTTCTTGCGCGGGGATTATTTACGCTTGTCGTCTTCGAAGAAAAATGACTTTGATCGCGCGAGTACACGTGTGCAATTATCGCGTATACTTTACAAACGTCGGGTATCGTTTGTCGAATCTCAATCATCTTTCTTCCTTATAATCGAGCGAACCGGATAAATGATCTCTACCAAACGTTTTATTTATTTTTTCGAAATATACGCATTTTTTTTAACACGATGCAAAAAGGATAATCTGCGAACGCAGATGCGTCGTTGGAAGAAAGCATGTGTTTGCGCCTCGTAAGCGATTTCATTGCAGTCGTATAGAGCAACATCTGTAACGTCGAGTCGCGCAACACGAGCGTTATTAAAGAAAAATTTGTCCTCTCTTTTCCCGCAAATTAATTATTTTACTATTTTACCCTTCTTTTTATCATTAATTATTTTACCTCTATTCTTTTTATCATTAATTATTTTACCTATTCTTTTCTTTTTTCCTTATGCTTTTATATTTTGAACACTAATACAATAATTTATAACTCTGAAATATATGTATTCACGGTCGGCGCGGTTTTGATTTCACAGTCTCGTTGCTTGATTTTTCATCGCAGGATTACGATAACTCGTCCGTTTGCGATTGATAGCGACATCCTTTCCCACGCTTAATATCAGGATTGCGTTATCTGCGCACGACGCATCAACCGCGCGTAGCGTGTCGCACAATATTTGCCGTATAAATATTGAGCGTACGTAATGTTAAAAGGAGAATTTAAAAACTCCAAGATTCGAAAATAAGCTACGTTTGTTACATGGATGCGCGTGTGTAAACAATGCGTCGAAATTGCTCTTCATCCGTAGAGAATCCCATGAGATTGAAGATGACTGTTCAAATGGCGAAAAAGCACAGAGATTTCATCAAATTCTCTTTTCTTTCATCAGACGACCATTGTTGCACCTATTTTAAATAATAATAATCTACCCGTTGTATATTATTCAAACGTTTTTTCAGATTTTGCTCTTCATCTACGCACAAACGTATAGACATTTCTATGTCAATTTCATACAATATGTCAAGCTTATATCGAGTATTTTAATTGCCTATTGTTTATCGCATCGTGTAAGTCGATGAAAAACTAACGTGATATCTATATATTTCGTTTTATAAAATTGTGAGGATATACGTAAGTATTATCGGAGGTGTTACGCTATCAGCAGACTTGGACAGTCACATCTTGCCAGCGATATGCGTCGTTCTCGAGATACCGAAATGTGTAAAACGAACAAAAAGAAAAGGCCGTTACAAAGAAAAGATGGAGACTCTTGTCGTGAGACTGTATGCAAGTCAAACGACGCATTATTCCTTGACCTGACCCAACGAAACCTCCTTTCATATTCATTAGGATCGTCCCACTTCAGTCTGTCGCTTTGGACCACGGAACGCAACAATGTGTCTCCGATGCATCGCGCAAATCGATTTGTGTGGAAAATACCCAAGAGAATAGAGCTTGTATACATGACACAGAAGTTTTAAATACTTTTGATAATATTCTTAAATATTTTCGATATAACGTCAAATATGTCGACGAGAAATATGTCGGAGAGTCGCAATGTAATGTTAATTTTCTCCCAAACACATTCACATATTGATAAATTAAATTGATCGCTTGTTAAAGAAACCTAAATAATATATATTATTTTATTCGCGTCACAAATATTATTAATCTAACGTGTGTGCAAGATAAATGAAAGAATGAAAATTAGAAGAAAATTAAAAGAATGAATTTTTTTTTTTCTCAAATCATTGTCTCAAAAATCTCTCTCAAAAATCTTTCCATCTCTTTTCATTTTAATGAAAGAGGGAGAAGAATCTCTTGTTATTAATCGTTTCCTTTATATACATATATTTTATTCCGATCGGTATTCCCGTTGGACGAAATATGCCCGATAAGAATCTCGATCTTATCACGCACGGTTGAGTACAATGCTATTCCCGAGTCGCAGGGCCGTATGTATAACAGCTATGTATCCATTAGCATTTTGAAATGTATCGTTCACCTATCGAGGAAAGATTTTTGTGAAGCATCCGCGACAGAATGGGAAACGTCGGAATCCAAATGTGTTGCGTTTAACATTTGGCTATACATTTCAACGACAGATCTATCGTTTAACGTGACTAGACAAATTAGCTATTTTAAAATTTATCGGAATTGAAAGAGAGAGAGAGAGAGAGAGAGAATGTTTTTGTCGGATTGTTTAAATTTTAATTTATTATAAAGACTCGAGGGATATAAACGTGTATCTCCCTTTTGTTATAGAAGGATATAAATCACAGTGATGAAACTGAAGGCGTCTTTTGCGATCCGTCCTGCGTCGACAATCGAAATGCAAAGAATCAGAATGTACGTCAGCTACAGGAACAATTGGCTCAAGCCACCGTAAAAGTACGCGAATTAGAGCTGAAACATGTTCAAAAGGTAGTAATTATTATTAATAGAATCATCTGAGGCATTGAGGTTTGCGTAAACAATTATAATACAGGTAACCAACACATCCTTGAGAGATGATATTTCCGATGGACATCAAAAGGCTGAAGTTGTACGAGCGAGACAAGATATGATGAACCGTATAATACAAATGGAAGAGAAGGTACAAAAGGCATCAATGTATTTGAAACATTATTTTTCAATTATTAATTAGTATTAATTAAGTAGATTTAAAAAAAGAAAGCTCAAAATTCTGACGGAAAGAAATTGATTCTCATGTAAAAACGAATCATTAACAAAACATAAAATTACATTAAAGAAAGACAAAGGGATAGTCTTTTCAAGAGTTAAATGTTTCAAACAGTTTAAAAGAATGGAAATAAATAGTTTACGAGTATTACTTTTTAATTCGCGATGAGGCAAATTGCTCAGAAATTAATATATATATATATATATATATATATACACTCTTCGAAATATATATATATTTATATATATATATATATATATTTCTCTTTTATTTAAAAATAGTGATGGAATAATCTAACAAATATATATATATATATATATATATATATATATATATATATATTTGTTAGATTATTCCATCACTATTTTTAAATAAAAGAAAAAAGTTGTTTGCTTTAATTTTTTCTCTGGAAATTAATTCTTTATTAAATGATATCTCATGTTACTTTGAATAATATTACATAATGTTTTTAATTTATGGAAACTAGAGAAAAACTTGCGCAAGAGCAAATCATTTTCTTTAGAGAAAATCAGATTATATTCTTTATTACATATTATTTATTATCGATATTTTACATTTTCTTAGACTCGAGAAGCAGAACGTAATGCTAAGCATATCCAATTGGACGAGATCAGTCTTATCAATGACTTTCGTTCAGTAATGTCAAAATTAAACTCACGTGAAAAGTTTGACTTGGTTAGTGGAGCATTGAAAGCTTTACAAATCGAGAGCGAAATGCGCGAAAAGAAAAATCATGAAAAATCCAACGAGCAACTCGAGAAAGTCGAGAATGGCATCGAATATAACACTTTAACTTTGAAACATCATTTAGACAATATAAGCTTGCAACAAAATAAGCCCAGTGATACGTCTCAAGAACTTTTGATCAATAAGCGAGAGGTAATATTACAACAAAGAATAGAAGAACTCGAGAATGAAAATAAAGATCTTTTGGACGCTATGAACAAATTGGACGAAGAGCATACGCAATCGATTGGTAAGTAACAGTAATAGCCATTATATTATGTGCTATCCTCAGCTACAATCAGCGTTTTTATTTTTGATCGATTGTCAATTTTGTTACAATTTTAAAAAGCCACAATAATAAGAAATTTTAATTTGCACAGAAAAACTATTGTCACTCAGAGAAGAAACTAATAAAAAGCATCGTTCTCTACAAAGTGCATATGAGCAGCTTTCCATAGATTACAACAAATCTCAAAAAAGAATAATTGAATTTCGTAACAACGATTTGAAACTCGAAACAAGTCATCAATCTATCCAAACGGATAATTTAGATAATTTAGACAAACACATTCAAACAACGGTTCCTTTTCAAAGAGATGATGTAGTGTCGGAAACAAGCGTTCTCGAGGATATTACTCGGAAAATTAAGATGATTTTAAAAAGCTATACCGTAACCACTGAACCGGGAGAAACCATCTTTGAGGCCATCGCGAAACAATACGTTGATACTAAATGGAAATTGGACGTTTTGGAAAGGAAAGTAACCGAGATTACCAGAGATTTAAAGGAAACTAAGGAAACGAAAGATGTGTTGCAAATAGAATGCGAAGAATTGCAGTGTCATATTGATTCGTTATTGTTGGAAAATCAAGTTTTAAAATCGAGTTTACCATCTATTCCTGAAGAAAGCGAAGAACGAGTAGTCTCCTTAGAAATGGAAGTTGAATCTTTACAGGAAGAAATGAAACGACTTTCGATTGAAAACGAAACGATACGAGAAACAAATACAACTTTAACGCTCGCGGCACAAGATAACGGAAAGTTTTCGACAAATCACAACCGTTTGCAAAAAGATGTAAATCACAAAATAAGTGATTCTTTCGTAAAGGAAGATGAAGAATTTTCAGCATGTTTAGAAAAGAATAACAATTCAAATGAGGATGTGATATCGAGCGAACAAATAAAACTCGATTGTGAAAATGTAACGCGAGAATTAAAGTTGTCCCCGATAACCGAGACAAAATTGTTGGACAATAATCTTGTATCGTTGCAAGATCGAGATAAATTGGCAAATGAAGATAAACAAGATTTGTTACAGGAAAATATGCAATTACATTGCACGACTTTGCAAAAATGTGACCTACAAGAAGAAAATGATTACCAATTGCACGACTTACAGAAACGGCTTGACATGGCTAATCGCGAGAAATTTGATTTAGAGAATGATATCTCACGCAAGGAAAAAGAATTGGATGCAATGCAGATTCAAATGGACATGAAGCAATCTCAAATAACAAAATTAAATCAGGATAATGATAGATTAATTAAAGAAAATATGTCTTTGTCGGAGCAACTAACTGCTACGCACGATGAATCATTGGACAAGATAGAATTGTTAAATACGGAAATGTCGTTGCTTCAACAAGAACATAAAGATTTGAAACAGGAGACATTGATTTACAAGGAAGAATTGAATCGGACAAAGGATAAATTGTACGAGGCGCAACAACATTATGCAAAATTGGAAAATGAATATTATTATAATATAAATGTCTTAAAAGTGCAGTTGAATGAAGTTGAATTAGAAAAGACAAAAATTCAAACACAAGCGATAACAATGGAAGAGCTTGAAAATGAATTGAGTTTGAAGCAATCGTTTATAGAAAAGTTGAATTTTCTACGAAACAGATGTAAGCTATTAGAAGAAGAAATAAAAGTTGTTCGTACTAAAGAAATGCAATTGTTGGAATCTCGCGAAGATACATTGGAGATATCTTTGCCAAACATAGATGGAGTCAATAACAGCAGACTGGAGGAAGAACTTTCAACCGTTGAGGATAATTTAGTTGAAAAAGAAAACGTGAAAGCGGAAATGCAAGATTTGTCGAGAGATACATGGAACAATAACGAACAACAGACATTTGCTGCGTCGATTATCGATGAAAATGATATCAACAAATACATGATGAATGAAATTACTGAATTACGCAATAAATTACAAATTTCCATCGAGAATAGTAAAGAATCGGCAGAGATGGCTAAACAGACCATCGAGGGCCTCTCTCATCTTATTCGAAAAAAAGATCAGGAGATAAGCATTTTACAAGGTGAGATGGATCGCGCGAACACTATTGTCACAGAAACTTCCAACGAACTTGTCGTAATTAAAAACCAAAAGAATGAATTGGAACAAATTGTTTCTACGAAACACAATGAAAGTTTACAATATCAGAATGAAATTGACAAGTTGATTCAACGTGTAAATGAACAAACGGCTCAAATCCAAAGATTAATTTCCGAGCAAACAGCGAATGAAATACAAAAAGAAGAGGAGGCAAATCTGAAGGAACGGCAAAAAGAGCATATTCATCAAATTGACCAACAAAGCGAGCAAAGCGCCGAAATTGTGACTCTGAATAAAAAATGCGACGCATTAGAAATTGCTTTGATGCAAGAACAGTCCAACAATAGAATTCTGCAAAACCAGCTTACCGAAAGCCAAAACAGGGAAGCTAGCTCTGTTAAAGAATTAGAAAGACTGAGGACGCATTTGGTCGAAATGGAATCGAATTATACGGAAGAAGCTCTAATCGCTGAAAACAGTCGTCAAGAGTTGGAGACTAGATTATTGCAGGCTGAAGAGAAAGTAAAGAGTAGTTCAACTGCTTTCACCTCGGCAAATATTCGGGCAAATCAGCAAATAGAAACGTTGCAGCAACAAATTGCTCTAATTTCTCAACAAAGAGACCATATACAGGCAAAATTATCTGCCACAGAAGACAATATTCTACTGCAGTCTGCCTCTTTGACAAATTTGCAAATAGTTTTGGAACAGTTTCAACAAGGTGAGAGCTTTCTAATTTCATACTTTATTATTACAATATTATTGTATATACTATTATAACTTGTAAAACAACTGTGCATGTTTTGTAAAAGATGCTTCACAAATATTCATCATAATAATTATATTTAGAGATTTTAATTCGTATATATATGATAATGATGGAACGCGTCGAAACGTTTCAGATAAAGAACGCGATATTGAAGCAGCTACAGAAAAAATTCGATCTCAGCTCAATGAAGCATATAAGAAACAAGATAAACTCTTAAATGAAATTTCGATACTTAAGGTTTGTCCTTATACTATTTTATATTTATATTTGTACGACAGTTTCACTAAATTTTTCTCTTCTTCTCTAAAACTGTTGCACGTATATGTTTGCAGCAACAATTATTGGAGGCTAAAGAATGCTTGCAGGCTGCCTCAAGACTAAGCGAACAGCTTGAGAAGAAGGATGAACAAATCGAGCGACTCGACGAAGAAGGTAACCATTTCCAAAAATTACATATAGTATTGCCTGCATTTTGTTTCTGGTTTATGGCATGATTAGTGTTTTTAAATTAAATCGCATCCTTTTATTCGCATACAAAACTTGAATCAAGTTTTTCCTTTCATTGTGATATAAGGAAAGATTGACCATGTTTTCACTTTATTTTCATATTTATGCTTTTATTTCAATCCATTGCAATTAAATGATAAAATATGAGAAATGGAAATGACATTGGAATATAAAATTACCTAAAAATCTGATGATTGTTAATATCATCATGATGAACAATTAATTATGCAAATGTGTATAAAGTTTATAGAATATGTACAACTATCTCTTTTAATTATATAATTACACATTTTTTCATGGAAATGTACCGTATGCGAGAATATTATGGATCGTAATGTTGTAAATATATGCGATAAATTTTTATCAAGTTTATACGTAGAGAAAAATTTTCCATATTTTACATTTTTTATTAATAATATAATGATAATGATGTAATAAAGTTTTGCAATTGTAATAAAGTTTAGCAATTGCTGCAACAATAACTCGGTAATGTTTAAACATGCGCACTATTCAAATCTATTACTAAATTTTCGCCCCGCAAAATTAATTCCGAATCAAATGTACCAATCATATATTTATACGTATATACATATCTTGTATATGGCTTTTTTGTAAATAACATGAAGCACATACGCAATAATTTACAAAAATGTGTAAGATTTAGAATTAAAGGATATTATTACATAATCGTTTGCACATACATACACATACATACACATATGTAATTAAAACTTATACTATATGCGTGCATTGCCGAAACACAAAACAATTTCTATAAAATTATCAATGTGTGCGCGTTCTGTGACTAATCTGCGAAAGCAAACACGTATATAATCCGGTGATGTAGTCAAATATCAGCTGGTAATTCTGGGATTGTAACAATAGCCCAGGATTCTTGCTGGTATCTGGCTACGAACTGGATCATCGCCTTTGCATACTCACAAATCACATGATTGATTCATGCAATTTGCCACTGGTGCTGGTTTCTGCACTTTACTACATTCTGCGAGTTTTTGTTTCTCTCCTTTGGTGATTCTAACTTGAAAAATATACTCAGGATCTTTTTTTTTCAAACCATCATTAATACTGCACTTTTTCTTTTTATATTATATATGTGTAAGAATGATCAAGATGAATTATCCTCATCGCCTGTTTTTCGATTCAATCAGTCATCGTTTCATTGTATATTACGATTAACTAATTATCAATTTTCAATTGTGTGCGAATGATTACATCTATACACGTATATACAATATATAGTATTAGTGAATTTATCTTGCACATATAGTAGGTATTATTTTTTTGATTGATTAAGTTTTCGAGATTGCGAGATGGGAGCATACCGTAACGATTCCCCGCAATAATATGACTTTTCCATTATACATGTATTGGAATGCATGCACGAGAGACCTAACGGTGACGTATCAAGACGCAAAATGTCAACAATTATTTATTTTGAAAACTGTCTCTAGCTCTCATAACTAGCTGTATTAATAATACATACTTAACATTCGATACACCAGAATTGCGCTAAACAATCGTAATCATGTACTAATTATAAAGATACTGCATTGTATTTCAAAACAATTGCCATTGCTTCCACTTCTGATTTCTTTGCGCTCAACTGGTGTTTTCTCAGTAAAAAAATATCAAGTTTTTCTAAAAATATCAAAATGATGATTGAGATTGGAAATAGAAGAATTGACAATAGGCAATTGAGATGTAAATGAAACATTTTGACACATTAAAATATTAGAGTGTTATATATTAAATATGAATAATATATACATAATAACGTACGTTTGGTAGCGATAACGTGGGTAATCTCATGCGGTAACTGTGAGCGTGTAAATACAAAAAGCTCATATTACCTCGTGGGGTTTCCCACTCGTTACCATGATTCGTCAAAATTACAAATTTTTCGATCAGTCAAAAATTACTTTTGCATATATCAATCGGAATAATCGGTTATTTTTGTTCGGCCATGATAGTTTAGTTTATAGCATGTCATTGTAGTCTTGTATAAATATGCTTTAGTATACAATATATAATTTGTAAATTTTGAAATTTTTTTGATATATACAGAGAAAGAGAGAGAGAGAGAGAGAAAATGGCTATATATAAAACGTTGCGTGTGTGTGCATATTGTCTTGGAAATACTTTGTTAGAATTTGAACGTACTCTCCTACGTAATTGCTCCATCCGATTGGAGTACAAATCATTACTAAAACGCTTCTTTAATTCTAGTGGCATGCGCGCGACTTTAATTTCGTAGAACGGCATGATAAACGAAGAATGCAGCATGAGCAATTAAGGCGCAGGCGAGAGTATTGCATCAGGTACTGGTGTGATATCGAGGCAACCAGTACTTGTGTTATACTTACGCTCGTGTCTGTTCAAACTACCAATTCATCAACGATGGATCGCGCATGGTGTACATAGAAATCACATAAATTTTGCATAAATAATATTTTGAGTAAGCATCGTACACAAACACACGCACACACATACACACATTTATGAATATTAATCGTAATCCATATAAAAATGAAAAATAATGAAAGAGTAGTCTTCTACATGTACATGCGAATTGATTTAGTAAATTCTTATTTTTTTTTTTCATTTTATTTTAGATTCAAATTTGATTGATTTCGTTTAAAAAAAGCGCACGAATGAATAAAAAAAAAAATGTGAATTAATGTCGACAATACTATATTCATTTCTAGTTACGCGGTTGACGACATCGCTAAATTTTGCCGAGCAAAGAGTAAAAGAGGCAGTGGAGCACGACGAGGAGAAAATCGACAAGTGAGTAAATATAATTTATTTCTAAATAAATGAACGAGATAATTCTTCTTGGATAATTTTTTACAGGATTCTTATTAAAAATCTCTTCTTGGGTTATTTATCTTCAACTACATCGGACAAGTCTGCGATACTCAGAGTCTTTGCCAATGTTTTAAATTTCACAGACTCGGAAAAAGATAAAGCTGGTTTAAACAGTGGAACAGGGACACAAAGCAGTCGGTTCTTGCGCTCTTATGACAAAAGTGGCAGTGTACCTTTAAAGGTATTATACAGATTAATTTATTAACATTTATTAATTTAGATTAAATCATCATTGAAACATTAAAAGTTTTGCTTGCATTCGTAACAATTGGACAATTGCAATTACATCACGATATATTACATATTTTGCAGTATCAGGAAGCGTCTTTATCGGCAGCTTTTGTGAGATTTTTAGAGAGTGAATCTAAACCGAAGCCTCAGCTACCACCTTTGCCGATTGTGAATTCAGTGAGTAACAATTTGTTGCGAGGAGAGGTTCCCCATTGAAAAATATTATTCTCATTATTCTCGTTACAATTACAGTCTTCATCGGCATCAGGAAATAAACAACAAGCTCCATCATCATCATCATCATCGGCACAATCTACGTTATTATTGTCTAACGTTGCTCTTCCAACATTTCCAGACTTTATTCCGGCCAGAAATACAGGATCTATTTTGAAGGAGGTATTAAAGGACAGTTGATATTAAACGCATTATATATTTAAAAAATTGTACAAATAATATTAGAAATTATAATATATTCGATTGCATTTTATACCAATATTGTACTGCCTGATTGCATCCCACTCGAATCACTTTTTGCGCATTATCCGAATCAATTATATTGATATTTTTTTCTTTAAATAACCAGTTGCATGGTCAATACATACATATACATATACATAAATTACATACATATATATATTGTATATTTTGTGTATGTATATCTGGATAGATAAAGAGGGGTATTCTTGTTCATTTAAACTAGAGTTTTAACGTATCATGTAAAGTTACAATGAACAAAAAAAAGTATATTATACCATTACTCTCTTTTTGGAAAGAATAGCAAAATAACAAGATTCTCTATTTATAACGCAATGACATAACATCGTACTACAAGTAATAAATACAAAGTAAGGTTTCATTATACAACTAACGCGCGTACTGGGGATATAAATACAAAATTAGATCATGCGTATTCCAACAGAATTAGTGTACAAAATATAAATCTAATTCAACGATTTCATACATTAGATATTATCATTTTGCGAAACATATATACATAGACTTGTTGTGGCACTTTTCATTCAATCATATCAAAATGGGGTGGCATTTTATAAAAAAGTGGATACATTTATTTATTTATTTAATAACTGTAACTATAAATTTTTCAATAATTATCACAAGAACAGAAACAAAGTTATCGTTACTGATTAATGTTTTCATCATTTAATTATATCCAAAAAATTGCTAACAAACAGCTTTTCATATAATTTCATATAATTTGTTGAAAAATTAAAAAATTTATAATTCATTTTCAAAAAATTCATTGAAAAATATTAATAAACACTTCGACTTTCAAAATTATTTTCTGCAAAATATATTCTTAAATTTTTATTATAAAAAAGTAATTTAATGATTTTATAATAAGCGCTTTTTAATTTTAGTAAAATGGACAGATTATTAAATGAAAAGATGTTAATTTTCATCTAGTCAATATTAATGGATTGTTTGCACAAAACTTGTAAATCACGAGATGATAGTAGTTTGGATCTGTGACATGTTGTGTCCCAATTTTTTAAATTTCTTTAGCGGAATGCAGAATAATACGATGTTAATTTCACGGTAAAGTAATTTTTCTACTAATAAAAATAATATAAATGCGTTAGATTCTGTCTTATGCGCGTTATAAAAAACTTTATATAAGCGCATTTATCAAATATCAAAATGATACGATTGTCAAGTATGTTGATAATAGATCTAATTTCATGTGTTTGAATTGGTAATTATAATTTCAAACGGTAAATGTAATTGTTGAAATATTATTACATTTAAATCTTGGCCAAGAGCGATAGAAAAAAAATTCCGTTTAAAACAAAGGATTAATGTATGCATATGCGCGAACGTGCATACTTTAAAACAAATACTGCATATTGCCAAAAAAATGTTTAAAAAAATCAAAATGTCCAGACAAGTTTTTAGCCAATTTTCACCGAAATCAAGGTACGTAAATATGTGTGAGATGATGCAATAGAGTTTATAACATCACGTACTAAGATATAGCGCATGGTAAATATTTTTCATATGTGCGCCCATAGTTCAGACCCAACTAACCATTTGCGTTTTAGCTACGCATATACGAACAATGATTTCAGCACTTATTTTAATTTCAAGAGATTGAATATACGTACTATGTAAACATAATATTTTTATAGCAAATATTTGCGTGACAAATATAACAATATAAAACATTTAAGCGTAATCCTGTTTTTGTGCGCTTTCTTACCATCTTTAAGACTTATCACACATTTCGTTAACACTAACGAGATTCAAATTGATATACCATGAGCAGGTATACATTTTATGAATGATTGATATCTAGAAACGATACATTGTATCGAAATGTTATCAACTATAATCTATATGCAATGGAAGCATTCATTTTTGATAAGCAAGAGTATCCGCTGTGTGTGTATACTAAACTCATCATAATATACAAATCGCAATGCGACATATATATATATATTTTTCAATTTGTTTATTTAATAAAGTCATCCTTTCCTAGAAAAAGTTTTTGTTTAAAAGATACATTTAATTAAATATATAACGCCTATTAAACTATTTTTTTGATAATTGTGTATACGAGAGATGCTTAATATTCTAATACCGAACTGTACTTTTTCTTCTTTTAGCATTCTTGATTTTCTCATCGGTTTAAAAAATATAACAATTTGTACATTATATAAATCGTCACACGTAATCGAAGGTACGGATACTCTGTTGCCACAATTTTAATTGAAATTCATCATGTCATGGATCTGATAGTCTTATACAATACAATAATGAATAATGTTACCTAAAGCATTCTTTTGGTCCTATTTTCTGATACTACAATGCGCATAGATATCAGCGTCAAAAGTTTCGCTTCTGTGATACATGTATAACTGATGTATAACGATAAGTCTAAGGCGTACGAATATCACAATTTCATCTCCCATAAGACTATATGTGCGTCATTACTGTTGGGATCTTTGAACGCGAAGGTCGATTTTGAACTTTTGTCAATGTAGGATTGCGCGTGTAGTTGCCTCCAATTGATGTAACCACGTCCACCCATTAGCGTCAATACCGTTCTTTTAGGTTGTTCTATCTGCTGCACCATTTTACCATTTTTCTTACCATTCTTCTTAAGATTGCTCGCGGATGGTGGCTCCAATGCGGACTGTATCGCGCTATTGTTAGCTGTAGGGAGGTCGTAAGGACCGTTACGACTAGCTATGCTACTGTTGCGCGATAATTTTCCAGTTTTTAGAGATAAATTTTCTTCCGAAGATGTGTACAAGGAGCTCGCGTGAGAATCCACCGACCAATTAGAAAGATCCAACGATCTAGGTCTGGTGATTTTCATTTTCAATCTACGATCCAAGGTACTCACTTTATTTGGTATGGCTGCCAATTCTGGGTCGCTTCTTCTCAATGTCTCGTAAATGGGGTCTATGCCCGAATTGTTTTCATTTTCATAATCCTTTACGTACATCAATTCACCGTAAAGTCCATAAACGTCACAGTTTTCACCGGAACTCTGCGAACTGGAGAAGGAACTTGATAAAAGTCCACAACCAGCTCCTAATCCCCTCGGGAGTGTTTTCGAGCCTCGACATTCGTATTCTTTGCTCCGTTTTCTTCTCAGCATTACCGGACTTCCCGTCAACTGCTGTTTCAGTTTCGCGATATTATTACACGCGGATGAATCTAAACTCGCTCTATCTCGCGATTTCTGCTCGGCATCTCTCGTTCTTAATGGTACGCTCTCGTCATCATTGACGCGAATATTCTTCGCGGCAGAATACATTGCGCCTTTCGTATTGTGTACCGCCAATAAGAAGGTAATCGGACCAAAGTGAGCGTGATACGAAATATTGACGCGTCCGCTGATGATTGGCACTCCTTCTAAACGCGGCAATGGAATAGTCAAACTAATACCTACATTAGTGCCGACCCACAAGAGACCTTTGCACGCTAAAAGCGCCGTAACCGTGACTGCAGTTTGATTATTAGTAGCGAGAGTGCCGCCGCACGAGTTGGGAGGATTGTTCATTTTCGTCACTCTTAACACGTTGGATGCTATATTGATATCCTGCAGGTGTTTGAACGTTTCCGTATGATAGAGACAAACCGTGCTTGAATTTTTAAGGGCGACCCAAAGACCGACCCCGGAATGGGCCATAAGTCTCACATTTCCCACGTGTTCGTGTTGCGCGCTAAAGCTCTTGATGACATCTCCCGAAGTGGCATTAAGTACCCAAACCTTCTTGCCACAGGCGGCATAAACCGACGTATTGATTGGCATTAGGCATGAAACAGGATCGTTACCGAGTGATATAACAAAGGGATCTTTGAGAGCCCATGTACCATCGACTTGTCGTTTAAATAAAAGTAGCAAACCCGTGCCTAAAGCTACAAAAACGTTATCGCAGTGATACTTGATTTCAGTAATGGATCCCGAGACGGGATAATTGCCAATCTCTTCTTCCTTTTCCGGTTCTGTCGCGGCATAAATAATAATTTTCCGAGAATCCGTACCCATCCATACGAGATCACTGGCGAGCGTAGTAAAATCGTTGGAAATCCCCTTCACAAACTCGATGGCATTTACTTTAGTTTCCACCAGATCGAAAGTAGTTATACGTTTCAAGCAAGTTGCCGAAGCTGTTGTCGATTGACCAAAAACTGTTACATGACTGGATATGCCGTCTCCCGTACATATCCACAGATAATTTTGATTTCTACCGCGTCGTTTCGTGGAACGTGAATTTTCAATGGAATAATAACAACCGCAACGTACCTGCGATCAAAACATTGTGATATCGTGTGCGTATATAATAATAATTATAGTAACACGTAATATTTTCGTACCAACTTACTTCGGTCTGATGTTGCGAGCGATATACGGCCTGCGAACTAACGAAAAGCGGCATTTTCGTGGACGGTCTTTGCTCTTGTTCAGGTACTTCCCACGATGGGGAATTATTAGGATCCAGAGCTAATTGGGCCAATCTAAGCTCGGTTATCCAATCCTTTTTCACCAGCGGATTTTCCGTTTGAAACGTATACATTTGACCTTGCTTTGTGACTAGTTGGAGGCAACAACTATCGGCCCATATCATGTCCTCGTCTTTTTGTTGTATCGACATTTGTATCGATTGCAAAATTTGTTTAGTAGTTTGGAGTGTCATTCCCTTTAAATTCCAACAAGAAATACGAGAATCCAATTAATTAATTTACAAGTCAATTACAATCATCGAATTTCTATTACGAGTTTTATATAAATCTATATGCGTGCATGTTTGTTTTAAATCAAATACATAAAGATACGTGATAGAGATGTAAAGATATAATTCGTCATTTTGTCCTTACCTCGTATCTACCCTTCAATTGGACCACTAAATCACTTATTCTAGACATGACTTCGTAATCGTGCATAAGATCGTTCATTTCTACACAGAGATTATCCGCGTCGTTTGCTTGTCCACATTCTCCGCCGCTTTTGTCAGATTTTAAGCTGCCGCCTTTATTCAAACCGGCAGTGAGCAATCGACTTAAAGTCGGAGAAGTGCTAGTGTCTTGAATCTAAAACAAAATGATTAGTAATGCTATTAATTTTGTATATATATATATATATATCTTTAAGAGAGAAATGCCCTTTTATTATAAATTGATTTTGTATTTAACAAGACTATAATATATATAATTGCAATATGTAACGTAAAATTACATACTTCGATATCCGATACCGGGTACGTCCATTTCAGCGTTAATCGTTCGTTTCCTGAAAAATCTTCCGTCGATCTTGGAGTGACGGAAACGCATACTACTAAATCGTTTAGTAGCAATAACCTCCTTCTTTTGGATTTCGTTATCATGCCGTTTTGATTGAATTCCTAATAAATAAATCGTATATGCTATCTTTATTTCATTCGTTATTATGATTTATTTATATGTATATATAATATTATGATTTAAGTGCACATGTGTTTGATGACTCGTCTTACCAACTGCGTGACATTATCTTCTCTAATAAGATAGCGTGACGTTGAAGAAAGCGGACGATGCGATAACTTTCCGGAAACATGCCGCAACATTTCTTTAAACGCTTGGAATTGCTCCGCTTCTCGTTTTCTCTCGTTTAGCATTTCGGCCAAACTCTCGAGTTGCGTTAACGCCAACTGTAGAGACATTCTATCATGATGTCCTTGTGGTGTATGCTTTAATAAATCCTAAACATAAGGTATAAAACTGTCAATTTGACGACCCTGAGAGAAAATCATTTTTTTACATCTCATTGACAACTTACTTGCAAAAATAAGATGAATTGTGGGAATCTTTGTACAGGCTTGACCATTAAACCAAAGAAGGATAATCTATCGTGGGCACTAATTTGTTTCACCTGCAGAGATGAAGAAAAATATATACATTACGAAATTAAAATTTGAGAGACTTTGTTATCGAATAAATGGAGAGGCGGTACCTTGAAGAAATCTGCGAGCGCGGTCTTTCTCTTTGATTCTTGTTTAGCTAAATCCATCGCCACAGAAAAGTTGTTTATAAAGCCGCTGTAAATGTCGAGCACGATAGCTTTGCTGAAACTCGCGACAAATACATCTCCCAATTTTTCATCCTTGTCCCAGGATCGTACGCATTCCGCCAGAGCAATTCTAAATAACGTATGACACTGCAAAATTTCGGGAAGTCTATGAAACAATGTCGCTATTTTAGATTGGCTCAGTATAGGTGGTGAAGATTCCTCCAATGGTTTTTTATAGTCCTAAAATTAAAATAATCTATGTGAGAGAAAAATGTTTGCGCCGTCCTTTACGCTTACGAGACGAGATTGTTTTCGGTATACACGTACATTTACTAATCTCTGCAAAGTAGATACATAACTGTTTTCGGAATGTACTATCGCGGCCACGATGTGTCGACGTTTTAATTGTTGAGGAGACAAGTTTGGCGGTGGCGGTGGAAGCGTAGGTGGAGCTTGTCTCCGTTGTTGCATACACTGAAATTGTATCATTGCGCTAGTCTCTTCGTCGACCTAGGATATAACGATTAGATTCGATAAGAATTCAGAATAATTGAAATTATAATAATTCGCGCAATGCGAAAAATTGCGCGTAGACGGATTGCTCACCTCGCAAAGCTGTGGCATTTGCGATGTTTTGACAGGACTGGTTAGGGATACCGTATCCGAGGAGTCTACATCGTAATGATGCGTCGATCCTCTGCGAATGCTGAACCATCTCGAGAGACGTCCGTGATTTCCCGGAGATTCCAAAAGATCCGCACTGTTGGCCGGTATATTCTGAAATCGCCACTTGTCGCAAAGCGTACGTGCCTTGTGCAACGTATTTCTCAATTGGCAATTACTTCTGTAAGGAGCAAGTGACAAATTTTCACTATGGACACGTAATTTTACCGAGTTACGTAACGAGATTGAAAACTTACTTAATACTGATATTACTCTTTTCGCTTTCATCATCGGAAGAGATATCGTGATCCGATGCCGAACACCAAGAGTCCTCGCTTCTGGCGGACTGGGTGGACGTGTTGGACCTGTGCGTCTCTAAAGAGGGATGACGCGCGTTTCCACCGACCGTTTCCATCTTGCCGGGTCCTACGTCATCCCACGATTTACACCTTGAACGAGGCTCGTCTAGAAGCGTATCGACAAAAAAAACTCGACATTAATTACATTGGCAAAGTTAGTTTACAAAGATGACTAATACTTGGCATCTTTCTCTTTTAATTTGATACATATGGAAGAAGAAGAGCATCTTTTAACGATTTAGTTTCGTTTCATTATCGTATTCATCTATAATAAAACTTGCAACGCATTACGAGTAGTATTCGCACGCGTCATCGAACCAACTATATACGTCTGCTATGCGTCACCTCTTTGAGGATAGATAGACGAGAGAGATGATTTCGGTATTTTTGCTTCTTCTCTCATTGTCGGACGAGAGAAAAGGCAAAGAGAGAGAAAAGGTTCGAAAGTTGCCGAGTGTGTTGTAGTACACGAGTACAATTTTTGACGAATGCGCGTAACGAATACGAGAGACGGAGTCGCTTGATCGCGCGGAAGCGTCGCTTTGCTATTCATCGCCCGTTTTATTGGACCTTCCGCTGTGTCGCGCGCTCATGTTACCAACGCGATGCATTAACGTCGCGATCATCATCTGGTTAATGCGACGTACTCTATATTCCCACGTTCCTCTCGTCGCATATGAACAAAATGTACCGAGTAAAAGCGCCTTGAAACACTACGAGATGTCCAATATCGACGCGTATTCTACTTTTGTACTTTATACGCGCATGCAATCTGAAATTGAATCTTGTTGTTTTCGGAATAAACAAAGGAATACATTCGTTATATATGGATATATGTTGTATAAATTATATATATGTGTACATGTGCGTGTGTACGTAGCGCTCATTATTAAGGATGTTTCGTACCTATTTTCCAAATATTGAGAATTTAATGAAAATTGTACAGAACGTCCTTACATATGTTTAGAATCTTTAGTGCAATTTTTAAATCGATTCACTTTTTAAAGCGTTCACAGGTTATAAGGATTTTAATTTGCACCGAATTAACATGTTTATTCTTATAACCACGTCGATTTAAATGACAAAAATAATACGTGGAAATAATATTCAGAATTTGTTTAAAATTTGCAAAAGTTTAGATACAGAGGAAATATTTGGTCAAATAACATTATACAAGTACTAACTGATTAAAAAGGTGAAAAGATAAATATAATTCAATGAAATTAGCCACGAGACAAGGCGAAATTCTCTGCCAAAATTTTTCGATTAACAAAATTCGAAATATTTCAGTAAAAACGCAATAAACGTTAAAAAATACATCTCCGCACTGTTCCACGCAATTTCTCTCATACTCAAAATACATCAAAAGTGGATATATTTGTCAATCATGATTTTCATCCACTTTTTGCTGAGATTGTACGTACAAAGCATCCTTAATCAAAAATTGTCACACAAGCGCAAGATGCGTAGTTGTAGATTTGAATATCGAAATGTATGTTTTTTTCAGCCGCTATCGCGTTGCGTGGAGAAGAAGAAAAGTCTTTATATTCATTTCCACGAAGCAAAGCCATGTAGGCCAACGATAAATATCGACGGATACATTACATTTTTCTCGTCTCACTTTGTTACGATAACGTTTCGAGGCGAGCGAAGAGTTTTTTACGACACACATTTTATAATGCATAAAAAAAAAAATACGACACAGGCATGCACGCACTTTGCGGTGCGCGATGGCGGTCCCAATCTCACGTGTCACCACATCGTCCCCGAAAACTGATACGCCTACTCGTCGATTACCCAATACTTTCACATGGAAAAATACGACTCATCCTATATATGTGCCTTACTCGGCCCACGCACCATCGCGTTACGTGTTCGCGCGTGTAAACGCGTCAAGTGGAGAGTGGAGAGCGATACGTACGCTCGACGCACACGTACGCACCTAGATTCGAGGCGAGCCCGAGCCGAGCAGGTACGAAAGCAAACGCGACTGCCGTTGACGCGTTCAAAGTGCCGCGCGACGCGACGCGACGCGACGCGACGAACGCATAGTCGAGCAAATTACAGGCTGTCGTGGGCGCGCTGCGCCCCGATGTACTATTTCTCCGGAAGTAACGAGAGGGCCTCGCGCGCGCGCGCGCATCCATCAACTCGCTCGCGCGCTCTCGTCCGAGAGAGGCGAATCGGCGGACGACGAGCGACTCCCTCCCCGTGCTCGTTTCTACGCGTACATACGCGTCTGTCTACGTCTACGCGATCGGGGAGCCGGGCAAAGAGCTCCCGCGCGAGCGACATGCGTGCGCTCGTAACTACATCTCGCGCGTCTTTGGCCTTGCATTTTTCATTTCATTTAATTACTCTATCGAGTTGAACATGCACATCGCGCATGCATAATTCTACCCAAACGAAAATGTTTCGAAATTGCGTCCTATTCTTATTAATAGGAGTCAGTCGGCAAGCATGCGGGACCTCCGAGAGATTTTTCGGATAATCAGTCATTTTCGATAATTATATTTATTGCAAATAAAAAAGTAGAGAGCTCCGAATCGAAGTTACTTGAAAGGGACATTTTGCGATCGCACAAATTTAGCGATTAGTTTGTACGCGAGCATCCTGGCGATATTATACCCGCCGAGGTATATTATTCGCCCCAATTTCCTTTCACTATTTCTCCAGTTTATTTACAGCGGCTATGAATATGGAGCGAACGGTACGTTTTCAACAACGCGAAAGACTGCAGCTCGGCGTGATAATTCACTCAATGGGTGTTTTTGCGCGAAACGCACGCCTACGATTGGCAATTTCTCTCATTCATTGTGGACATTTCATACACGGAGACACGTGTGTACGTTGTATAGAAACTCGAGATATTTACCGTTGAAATAAAGAGGCAACGACAATACACGTTGTATACATACATACATACGAGCGATGAAAAGACGGAACGCGGCTTTCGAGGCGTAAATAATTTCGGCGCGACATCTTTTCTGTTTCTAGCAGATTTCGCAATGTTTCTCGCATTCAGCGGTGCGTGCAACGCAGCAATATTCCATGCCGCGAATGCTTGCACGGGTCAGAGAGCCCGATACGCGTGATCGATACGCTTTCAATCGATATAAATGCGACGAGCGCAATGTTTGTTTTAAATAAACAGTCGCGTATCGTCGACACGATTGACAGTTCTAACTGACAGTTGCGATCCAGGTGGTCGACGCCATCGCGAGAGGTATGATCGATGCAAACGTAAGGGCAACGCACAATCGTTGCATTTTTCAATCGGACCATACGCGATAATCGCAGTTACTTTTAGTAATAATACACAATCGCTCAATCATCGAAATTACATTATTATTATCATCAAATGAAGTAAATTAAGCGACATCGCGCTGACGAGAAAAGTATAACAAAGATTATCAAAAAGAAATAATTTTGTTCGCGATATCGCTATATAAGCGGCTATCTGCGCGTTGAGCTTTGAGAAAACAGATAGAGATAGACGACTTTATCCTCCTTATCTCGTCTCGTTTTGCTTTGCGCGCATTTAATCCGAGCCTTTGATACCGTACATTAATTAGAAATTTACATCGATACATCAACGTATAACGTTACGTCGTTGTACTGACATTTCAACGTTCCCGATACGGACGCGGTCTCTCCCTCTCTTTCTCTTCCTCTACCCAGGAAAGCCTGCTCCGATTCGAAATAATATCGCACGGATAAACACAAATATACCATTCCTGCCGTTGCAGCGATTAATGCGCGATACGAAGGGAGAAGAATATGTAAACCACGCGCGAGGAAGAGGAGAAGGTATTACGACGAGTCGCTACTTACATTTGATGAGGACAACCCCATTGTGCAGTTCCTCCATCTCGCGGAGGCGAATGTTCCTCGCGATGATTTACTCGCGCGACCCTGTCTCTCTCACTCTCGCTCTCGCTCCATCGCCAACTCGACGTGTTCCGCGAATACAATCACGCTACCACCCGCGAATTCATCGGCTCGCGCGCCCGCGCGCGCGCGCGCGCGCAAGTACCACGCCGCACACCCGCGTTGTACCCGCGTATACGGCTCGATATTACGCGCTGTTAAAAATCATATCGGACACGTGCGCCCGCGGCCGGCCGCGGCCTACGACGACGAGGAAGACGTGCCGTGACGCGCCGCGTTTCGCAATCGAGAAGCACCACCGCGAAGCGAGCAAACGGAACGAATCAACATGGCCGCGCTCTGCGTGTTCTGCTCCGGCCCCGTCCCTCCGCCCGCCCCGCTCCGCGCCCCGTCTACTTGTACACTGACGCGAGGAGATTGGAGAAAGAAGCGAAGGGCACGAAGGAAACGGGAGAGACCGAAGGGTCGGGGGAGGACGAGGAGGAGGAAGGAACGCGAGCGAGCGAGCCAAGAATGCGCGTGGCGACCAAACGAGAGAGAAAGTACGAGCGATCGAGAGTGAAACACATGACGCGGCGAGAGGCGAGAGCCGCGCAGCTGTGTGCGTGGACTCTCCACCCGCGAGAGAAAGACGGAAAAACGGAGAATGGAGGTAGATGGAGGACTGGACTGGGCGGGAAGGGACGAGATGAGACGGCGAATGAATATAAAAGAGAGGAAGAGGCGCGGTGCGGAAAGGACAAAGACCGGGAAAGAGAGAGAGAGAGACACATGGCAGGGGGGTTTTAAGCCGCAGAAGGTGAGCGAGATGCGAGACAATCTCTCGCTTCGAAAGACCAACAGGTGACATGGTATATTGCGTGTGCATGTCGAGAGAGGGAAAGGGAGAGAAAATGTATGCCAAGGGAGATGCCCGCACATTATCGCGCAGAGTATCATTATATAAATTGGCATTGATGTTTAATTGCAAACGCAAGAGTTTCCATCTCCTAGAATAAAATCTCGAGAAAATGTCGCGTTTTCAATACGAATGCGACTCGATCGGTATATGCCGCACCGACGATATTCAATTCTCCGTCTTGTCGCTACATCCAATAGATGGCGCCACCGTGCAATTATAAATTAATTACAAGTTTATACATATATCGGTAAATATATGTACATTGTATGTACATGACATACTTGAGTAAATGTGCGAAAAAGAAATGAATTAAAAACCTTTCAACGTATACGCAACATTTTTTTGAAACCTTACATTTTATACGAAAAATCTGTAAACGCGCTTAATATATTTAATATAAAGTTATTTTACGGAAAATATATATCGCATCGTATTTCATCAACCTTTTTTGACTCGGCAAGTAAAAGGAAATGCTTTTCTAAATCAATAATTGCTAAATCAATAATTAAACCGTATATTAAAAAGGTAGAGTCCGCGAGAGGTTTATTTTATATGACACAGATTAAAGAAACGGAGGTGGGGGTTAAAAAGGGAAAGAGAGAAAGAGAGAAGGGGACAACATTTCACGTGATCTCGCATCTGCTTCTCCATCGAGTGACCACAGCTGACCTCTTCCAAGTACCAATAATTAACTTTATTCGCCAAATGCACGCGAGCGTATGGATCGAGTATGAGTACTCTATGGCGCGAGCAATGTACTTTTATAAAATAGAGAAATATGCATACTTGTACAGTTACGTGTACGACAAAAACACTTTGTGCATGATAAATACATAGAGATATTTGAATTTTTTAAGAATTATATAATTTTTTGATCTCGAAAAAAGATGTGCAAAATATGTATGCGAATCTCTCCTCTCTTTTTCGTTCCTTTACGAGTATTTATTTTTTTCAAAATATACGAATTACGTTCCAAAAAATTACCGCTCTCTCATTTATTTCCGAGAAACATATTTTCAGGGGAATACGTTGTCTGTATTCTCGATGCGCGACAGACTACGCATCAAGAATTTGTAACGAATGTCAAAGTAATTCATAAAGTGGCGCGTAATTTGAAATTTGATTACCGGATACGATGATCGCGTTTACGAAACGACACGAGGGATTATCGTTGATATATTATCGCGTATAATCAATGTACTTACACGTACATACATTTATACAATCTACAAACCAAATCGATTAGACTCACCAATGATCTTGCTGTTGTTGCTATTGTTTCCAAGGGACTGGAGTTTCTTCCAGCCTTTCCAACCTTTTTTCCAAATCATGGCGGCTTTCGTTTTACGTGGAATACCAATTAGTTCCGAGCCGCTCGTTTTCCCCATTCCTCTTCTTAAAGATCCCAAGCCGGATCTAGAATTAAGAAATAAATCGTTCGACAAGCTGTATGTGAGAAATAAAATTGGACGATAAGAACTTGTTTGCAAAATTGTTTAAAAATATAGTCTTTATAATCTATCCAATAATTTAGCATATAGTATTAAAGCAGATGAATGTATGTGTAATGATAGTAACGCAACTTTCCAATGTACCTGTAACTCGCGCTGGAGCTTCCACTGAAACCGCTGTCCATATCATATCCGCGCGAGAGCACGTCATCGGCGAAACTAGCCAGAGGCAGCAGTTCTTCGGTAGAAGTTTCATGAGGTTCCCGTGCTATTTCTTCCTCGTTATTATCAACCGCGGCTGGCATCAACATTGCTTCTACGCTCAGGTTAAGTTCCCCGAGCACGCGACGATGCCGCGATTGTACGCGACGTACCTCGTCTGCCACGAGTGACCTTCGCGATCCGTGCAACGCGCGATGACATTGCTTGCTGAAAAATTGATTAGCGTTCAAAAAAATAAAACTTTCGTGCATCTCTTTAAATTTGTGATTTTCAATGCGATTATATTGAACTTTTATACTCGTAACACATGATTCGGTCGTGCTTTGTATCATTTATTGTATTAGCAAATTTTTAACGAAATATTCCGCACCATGTAATTGCATAAATTTAATTTGGATTTGTGATTTAAATACGTGTTCCCAAGAAGAAACAATTACCAGAAATTAGGGAGCTATCTCGCGCGGTCCATCCCGCGACAACATATGAAATGATATAGTTGTGCATTTAGCAATTGCTCTCAATTTGAATACGTCTGTAGTTTATCTCGTTTCAACGACTTGTGCGCCAGTCGAAGACACAGGGGATAAAGACATATAATCTACAATTTGTTTTCTTATTGTTCTCAAGTTAATCGCTATCTCCGGCATCCGCTACGGGATACATTGAACCGTGGGGAGTGAATTGTATTGTTTGCATACATTTGCATGTAAAATTTATCTTATCATTACTTGAACCGAATATGTTTTTCAGCCGACAAATCTCTAAAAATATAATTTATATTTCTTTTACTGTAAAATTTCCAATTTCAGTAGACATTGAATACCACTAGGCGTATCGTGTTGGCAACTTGTAACTCGCGTAAACACTTGACTCTATTAAAATAATTTCTCACGTAAAGCTAATAATTTGTTCATACGATTGCGCGAATGACATTTTTTTTTTATTATGGACTTTACCTAATTTCCGATATCTCTTCATAAATATTTTCTTCCGTGCCATAGCAAGTTGTGTAAGTGTGTCTCTTTAAAGGGTCGGATCTTGGCTGTAACTGTTGTTGCGGTTGCTGTTGTAACTGCTGTTGTAGTGGTTGCTGCTGTTGTCGCTGCTCCTGCTGTTGCTGTTGTTGTTGTTGTTGCGGGAGCGCCTGTGTCGGATACGCGACATGAAAGTGACTTGAATCAGACTGGTAGTACGCATACGAATAATCCAAAAGCGGATGCTGGTGAGAACTCGTGATGGGTGACACTGGTGATACCGGTTCCATTAAAGCGTTCCGCGTTATCTGTGGAAGAAAAAAATCAACGCCGCGCGATATAAAGATAACAATTTTAACACCACTAATGGCAGAGAGTATTATAATGCTAATATATATAAATTATTAAAAGTATTACATTTTTTTTGTATCGACTTTTATTTCGCATACGATTGTTTCTAGCTAATTTGTCTAATAATTATTACGTACAATCAAACGCAGACATGCGCAACATGTGCAGTGAAATTAATAATCTGTCTCTTTGCCCTCTTCAAAGTTTACCTGATTGTGCGGCGGTGGGTAGGGTGGAGGTGGGGGAAATTCCAGGTTGACTATTCGCGGCGACGAGATGCCCGACGTCATTCCTGACCCCCCTAAAGACGAAGCCATGGCACATCGTTCGAGGAACTTTTAACTAAACCTCGCGGTCCTCTTGTCGCTGTTCCATCGGCTTTGTCTATCGTGAGAAAATAAATATCACATTCATCACATTGCCCACGTTTTACACATTCGAAGCAGTCGACGCATTTCAATGTACTCTAGAAAACAATACGCCAGTGTTGTTTCTGGCTCGCGTTGTCCTTTGTTAGAGATTATGCCACGTTACATGACGCACTTTGAACGCGAAATTCATCTCGCGAAGGCGCAAACGGAAGTGTTTTACATTTATCTATGTCATTTGTAATGTCGAAAAATGTAATCGGAAGGAAACCAAGTCTACGCGACACACGTATATACGGCATAAATGGTAGATAACACGGTATCTTGCTTGAAAAGGATGCAGGTGTAGGCGCGTTTTATTCTAGATATTTATGCCTTATCAAATTTTCTTAATCGTGCGTAAATTATTGCAAAGAGGAAACAATTGGTAAATTGTCATCCGTACAATTTGTATATATATGAAAATGTAATTGTATAAAATATATATTTCCCAGGATACCAGTCGATACAGGATCGATATTAAGTAGTCGGTTATATCGCTTGATTCGTCATGTTGGAAGTTTAAACATGTACGCGCACGCACGCACGCACGCACGCATCCGCACGTACAATATATATATGTATGCGCATACTTTGGGATAATATTTTCAAACATTTCATAACGTTAGATACAAAAATTGCAAATGCAAAGAGATATATGTGTATATATTTGCAGTTGACTAAATAATAATAAAAATATATAAATTTAAAGTTGGCGAGATTTCATCGAGTGTAAAGAAGAAACAATCTTGGCATCGAGAATTTTAAATATCCATACTTTTCCATGTCGTAAAAATCAAACAGAGGACGTTCAACTCTTGTTACGAGCCAAACCTTTATCACTCGAGCAGCTATAATGTTGCTAAGAATGCAAAACTAATTAAATATTGACCATTCAAGAGATTTCGAATCAACGTCAGAGCGAGAGAGAGAGAGAGAGATTCTAGGTACGAGTGCGCGTATAACAGCTAGTAACATTCTTTATTTTTTTTAACAAAAAACATGTACATACAATCAAGGAAAAAAATTGACTGATAAAAATTTGTAAACTTTTAATTATACATTTTTATAAGATTAAATGTCGTTTAATTCGTTTGTCTATTTAACAAGAAAACGATTAGTCACGGAGATGTACAGAAAAACGAATAAAACTATCGACATCAAGTACATTAAATGTGTATATAATATTTATATATATAATATATACACGATAACACGCATTCCTCATATTTATAAACAATAAAAGAAAGTTAATGTTAAATTTTTCTAAGTAGATGAGAACTGATCATAGGAAAATGTTGAAAAAAAGGGGTTCGCGAGGAAAATGTCACAACGTTAACTCTCATGTACTTGAACTCTCGTCATAATTATAAACAATATAATATATACATATTTTATGTGCGATTATATATATATATATATATATATATATATATATATATATATATATACATATACCTCTCTCGTAAGCAAGACGAACCGACCAACGCGACCGACAAACACATCCAATCCTCCAATCTCACGCGTCTGAATGTTCTTCGGCAACTTGCTCTTACCCTTTGAATCGTGGAGCACAAGGACCGATTTGCTCAGCGATTACGCACGACGATGACGATCGAGTGCCACGAAGTGGCCGGTCGGGCCACACACGAGCAACATACGAACCGCACAAGAACGAATTGCTTTGCGCCTCGTGCTTAGATAGTTTCGCGTTCACGTTCGCGTTTGTTGTATGCGAGCAAGCACGCCCCCTTGAGAAGCCAGTCGACCGGTCGACCAAGAAAAGCCGCATCGAAGAGAGGAGGAAGTGAGGGAAAGAGAGAGAGAGAGAGAGAGAGACAGAGAGAAGAAGAGAAGGGACGAAAAATTGTAGAAAGGAAAAGAAGAAGAAGGTGGAGGGACAGGAGGAGGAGGAAGAGGAGGAGGAGGAGGAGAAGGAGACGCCAAGCGTCGTCTCTCGATCGTGCTCGTCTGCCGATTCGCGCGATTACCTTATATCTTATCACTATCCCGATTTTGCGACACGAGTACCCGCACGGACGTACGTATATCTCGGCTGATCCATCGCGAGTAGAAAATGAGCCATGGATAATATATTGAGATTGAAATTCCGCTAGATCACTCGATCGATAATTGGCGCGCCATTTCATCTTTGGTCGATAAGCACGGCACGACGCTTGTATCAACACACATGACCTACTTGACGTATGTACATGACGTACTTGTACCGTTCCTATTAATATAGCTTTATTAATGACACGATAAATGTATAAACGTTCGTTTGTCATGCGGAATAATTCGCAACATTTCAAGTATTATCGTTACATTTCCGATAGCTCGATTAACATTTTTTCCAGTGCGAGCGTACTCTGTTCAAGCCGAGCGCTCAATGTGACATTTGGAGAGAGAGCGCGCGCGCGCGCGCGCGCGAGGGCGATCGTAAACAAATATATGCAAAAGCGACAAAGTCACCTTTTCATTGAAATTATATTTTTTTCATATTTCAAGACAATTTTTAGCGGCAGAGTTAGGTTTCAGCAACTTTGTCGCTTCTTTTTAAGGAATTGACAAATAATGGAGCTTGGGCGCGTAAAATTGTCAATGGACTTGTAATGTTACGAATAGGAATAATTATAATCGTATCGAAATGATTTTCATTTATCATAGATGATTCGTTTTTCATAGATACTTTGCGAATAAATGTAATCTATACCGATAGTCAATCTTTTCTCGGTGCGTTTTGTTCAGGATCGATGTCCTTTATATCGATCCCCTTTCGTATAGAATACGTGTGTATGTACGCGTATATCCATATCGATTAATGTTTCTTGCTCGAATGGCCTTTTCTACAATGACAAAAAACAATGCAGTTACTATTGAGAAATGCGCGGATTAAGAGCAAGGTATTCCTGGAATCTCTACGTTCAGAATATCAATCGAATTCAGTGAGTCATTATTATAGTCTCATTGGTGGTTTTACCCTATTCGATTTCTGTGAATCATACATCCGTTGGCAAATTCCTATACGATGACATTTTTCATCTCTTTCTCTTTTTCGGACATTTTAGGACAGGACGAATTGTTACCATCTTTTTAATAGTAATAGTAATAATAATTGACATTTTTAATTGATAAATTGTTTTGGCACAATACAGAATAACATCGAGTTGCATTTCTCATAAAATTGTTACAATGTACATTACATACATTCCTCAGCAGCTTATCTTGTCGCAGAAATATTTCGTTGATATTATTGCATTATACAAAAATTAATAATAATTTTGCTCACCCCATCGTGTATTGTATGTAATAAATGTGTAAAAGCATGTTAAAAACACATATCCAACGGACATTGTATTCAAACGCACAGATACAAATTTATCCTTTCTCGCATAGGCATCGTGTCGCGATATTATTTCATCTCGTTGTCATAATTGCTACGAAAAATTAATAAAACGCACGGAAATGAATTTTCTTTGTAAATAAATTTTTGTGTACAAGATCGCAATAATTATCTCTACAATGTTTGCTACTCGTCCATCTACTCTTTTTCGCAAGCTTTACATAAGCAACAACTCTTCCATGCGATATAACGCTACTGTTGTGCGTATGTGCGCGCGTACATACACAAACGCATACACCATTTTTCTCTCGTCTTTTGTTAGTTAAATTTATAATAAAAGGAGATAAAGGCGATTAATTTTGTTGTTTCCAACAAGCGTTTATAGAGATTATACGTTGACAACTACATTTATATTAAAACAGCATTTTTTTCAATATAGCTTTATGCGGGCATAAAGCTTGCCAAAATAAGAGATATAATTCTATTTATCAAATAATTAACATCAACTCGTCAAAAAATCAATATCTTGTGTGTTTATGAGGATGACTTTAAATAATCATGACAATATAACAAATCGATAATAAACAGGAATACAATATATAGGGAAAACTCTGAATGACGCTAAAAGAGAGAGTTATACAATAATGTATAAATAATATTAATAATAATTATCATATGTATAATGCTGATGTATTGTTATAATAAAATTAGCCGTTTAATTATATACTATGTACAAAATGTTTGCATACGCGACATGGTGTTAATGTCAGCCGACTATAATGTATTCATTTCGTATCATAAGTAAGGCACACGAGTCAATGTCTTTACACGAGATACACACTACGTTAAGTAGTAAAGTTAAACTGTTTCGATTATAACATTGATCAACGCAAACTTGCTTCTAAAATTTTTGCAATTTCGACATTTGTACAAATTGTCTCGTTGGCTGCTGGATTCAGAAACTCTGATGTGACATTTGCCATGTTTATAGCGCTAAATTGTTTTTTTTTTTTTTTTTTTTTTTGCCAATCGGATTCAGTTTTGTAATAGAATTAAAAATACTATTTAAAAGGTTTCAAATCGATAGTTTCGAGTTCGATCCAAGAGCTCTTAAATAATTTTTAATTTTACGACATCCGTCTTTTGTCATTTTAACGAATAGTGGCGAATTGAATAAACATTCTTAAAATCGTATTTATATCGTATAAAAATACATGAAATAGTGATACATAAAAAATAAGTTTATGATAAAACTTTCGCGTGTAGCAACATATCGTTGAAAAATTGCTGCTTAAAAGTTTTTAAAAATTATTGCAGTGGACGCCTCCTGATTCAATTGTAACTAGTGCGATACCGATTACTTTTTAAATTATTGCGCGTGACCAAAGAATCTATAAGGAACAAAATTTCTGGAATTAATATACATTACATACATTATTTTTGCGTCTCAGAAAATGAACGTTAATTAATCAGCAATTGTTAAGATATGTCAAAATTAATTCATTTATCCTAAGATTCGATATGTGTTTCGACTGAAAAGGATTATTTCTAATAATAAATATACAACTTAAATATTGTAAACGTACTTACAGCAATGACTGTTATCGTTGACAAACATTTTATCGCTCATCGATCATAGAGTAACAACGTTACCGCGTGTTTTTTCTCATCAAACCGTTGATATGATTCATAACGTATGAATATGCAATGCACTATATAAATACACTCTTCAACGATAATTTAGATTTGATCGTAACAATCGGCAAAAATAAAGTCGATAAACAATAAGAAAAATGACGTAGTAGAATATAGCGATTATATAATAATACCCATTATATAACGATATTAAAATTATAGTATAAGCAATATAGCGGTAATACTATTAATAGTAAAAAGATGATGATGATGATGATGATGAGGATGACGAGGATGATGATCATGATGATGATGATGATGATGATGATGATGATGATAATCATGATGATAATAATAATGTAGTTATTAGTAAACATTAGCAATCGCATAATAACTGATGCCGCCATCGGAGGTTTTTCAGTCTTCTTTGGTTGCTGGGTAACTCGAAGAAATTATTGGGTACAGTAGAGCACTCTAATAACGCCATAATGAAAAACTCGTTCCTATCAGGATTTTCACCCTTCATTTTCGCACATCTCTAAAATGATTGTTAATCATAAATGGTTGTCCCCTTTTACGAAAAGAAGGAGCGCTCTTGCTCCATTTTTACCCGTTGACGAGGATCAATTGATTAATAAGCGTTTGGCTGCGGGTATTGGAGGCTCTGGAGCATACGACCGAACGGACGGGTGTCGCAGATAAGAATAACATCCGTTATCACGCCCCACGTTCTTCCTCTTATATTTAGTATCTTGTCAACTTTCTACAAACATACGTATGTTTGTACACGCATTTGCTGACTTTTTTATCACTGACAATAAATTTTGAGCAATTGCGCCATTGTTGATTAATTATTCTCGTCTCATCGAGCATTACCAAATTCTGCGACAAGATTCGCACGTCGTTTTCCGCCCAGTCGAATACGAGTTATATCCCCGACGAATTGTATAAGTTCGTTAGCTGATTTTTCCAAACTATTCCTACTCTTAAAAATCAGTTTCTCTTGGGTACATTTCTGATCCAGTTCCCACAATCTTGATATACGCATGTATAAAAAGTTTGTTTTCATTTTGCTTCAAAGGCTCTTCTCGATCGCTCGTGACCCGCGCGGCAGACAATCGGTGACGAACGGCACGAACGATCGACAACTGGTTTTTTTATCATCGCCCGACGATGATGGCACGGCACATGGCAAGGTTCTTCGTAGACCGGAGCAAATTTCTCGCAAGACGATCAGACTCAGCTCAGCTCACGTGGCGTCACAGAATGCCGCGATGCCGGATGATGGTTGTTGCGGTGATGACGTCTCGCGCGGCGACATTGTGCCGTGCAACAGTCATCGACGTCCGCCACATATTCCCCACGTTTCATCTGATGTGCGATTGAATTACAGAGCGATCGTGGACAGCGTTTCCTGTCGCACCTGACCTCGCCATTCTGAAACGTACGAGAAGCGGTTCTATTATCACGACGTAAAAATCAGCCGAGGTCACAGCGCGCGTGTTTCATCTTCGTTTTAATGAATGAACGTTATAATGAGCGTAAATAGCAGGGAGGAAGGGCGGGCCAAGCGAGCACACGTCTGTCTAAAAAGTTATGTCTCTAAAGACTCTGAGAGAATATACGTATATGAATAACGGTATATTTTATTCATAAACAGCCTCGTTTTAACATACGAGTCGCGCAAAATAACTTTGACTCGTTCTTTAACGACTGAATTTTTAAGTTTTGAATTTTATTAAAATCTTTCGGGCAACTAAAATAAAGCAAAGCCTCTGCGTTAGAGTCACGTTCCTCCCCGTACAATTACGGAGATGGTATTGTGGCGCACAACCGCGTGCATTTATCCATCGTGTTTATATAATCTTTTTCGATAATGGCATAAATAAATTGCAAATAAATTCTTACTTTGCAACGACACTTGACGCACTTCATCTCACCGTGGGAATGCACTCGGGGATGCCATTCCATGCCATTCTCGTAGGGTCCACCGAGAGGATATTTGCAGCCACCAGAAGAGAGTATCTCTTCCGCGGTGCGTCGCGTCGAAGGTAAAGCCTGATCTCTCGGTAGGTGTGCGATGTCGCTTAAAGCGGTGGTAGTTGTGTTGCTACGAGGAGTCGTTACCGGGCACTGCCTGCAACAAGCCTTCTTGTCCGGCCTGAAGGCGATCTTCTCGTCGCACTCGAGCGGCGGGCACTGCACCCGCGGGCATTTCACCTCCAGCGTGACAGCCTGCGAGACAAATGGATTTCCGTTGTAAATTGCGGACGTGAGAGGTGACTCGACTTTTTACACTTGGTCGTCCAAGTACGCGCGATACACACACGCATACGCATCTGTGTTCTTTATCATATTCTATTTTAATTATTATCACTAGTAATTATCGCGAAAAAAAGAAAGAGGAAATATTTTCATAACAATTACTTGACACATAACTTAAGACAAAATAAAATTGTAATACATTATATTGAAAAACACATGATAAATTAAAGTTTCTCGTACATTTTACAAATATTTTTTTTTTCAAAGACTGGAAGTACTATATAAGATGAAAAAATTTTTCACATAGATTGTTTCAAAAATTTTTACAAATCTATTTATGCGTTTGCAATTCTATTAGAAACCAAAAGGAGTAAAAACTTACGTCACAAACACATATCGCACAAATATCGAATCCTACTGGTGGTAAATACGGATGCCAGGATGATCCTGCGAGATGATATTGTCCAGCCAATGTACAACCTCTCGTGATGTTGCTCTTGATTGTTGTATTAGTTTCGACAGTCGCTGGTGCTAAATATTATTAAATCATTAAACGATGATAATGTAGCGTGTTTGTTTATTATCCTATAATTCTCGTTTTCAATTTTTGAAACTCCTTTGCAACTTTAAACTTGATATTAATAACCTGAATTTAAAAAAAAAATGTATTTGCTCAGAATATTATCTTTACCGGTATTTGCACAATTATCGCAAATTCTGTTATCAGAGATAAATTGAATGTAATAATCCTTGAGAAAAGGAAAAATATATTTTATTTATTTTTAAATTAGTCCACTACTTATTCTTTCTATGATATTAAAAATTGTCAAGTTTTAAAATCATTAAAATTTCATGTAATCTCAAAAAAATTGAAGACAATATATTTTCTCTCCTGCCAAATATATAATGTGTATACAAGTGCTTGCAAAGAGTTGCACAAATACTTAAAACTTTTATTACAATTCGCTAATCACGTTTGAGTATTATTTTACTCTTGCATTTTTTCTTAATCGATTCGATTGCCATTTTCTCCCTCGCATCTCTTATACGTGTGTCTTGATTTTATATCGAAGAATTAAATTTTCTCTCTTCTTTTTACGTGAATAAATAAATAAATATAATAAATTAAGATATTTCTTCATACCAGCGCATATCGGACAGCAATGACCAGGCATCGGTTGCTTGAGCTGCTTTCCCAGCGGGCAAGAGACTGTCGGACAAGGCATTGCGTCACATCGCGCCAAGCCGCGATAGCAATGACACATTAAACAGGGATCCGCGCTCGATGTCCATTGCATGCCCTCCTCGTAGAATCTAGTCTCGTGAAAGCACGCGCCGGTGTCGATATCCGACCTGGGTGGCTGCAGATTGTACGCCACCACAGAAGCAATGTCATTGTCGGCGTAGTGCGGTAAACAGCTAAACGGCGCCCTAGCCTTGAAGGGAGCTTTCAAGACGTGAGTAGCCTGCTTGTCAGTCACCTCGAGAAAGCCAATGCCCGATTCGATTCTGTAGAGCTCCATCGGCGACAGTCCGGTGACCGAGCCTTCTAGGGTGTATCCCGTAAATTCTTCGAGGAGTCTCCTGGCGACGGGAGCACCTTGCGCCAGCAGAGGCATGGTCTCCAGGTACAAACGGAACGTTTGCGGCTCTTGAGACGAGGAGGGAAAACCAGCGAGCTCTAGCTCATAGTGTAGGGAACAATCGAGGTCTACCGCGGTCCATATCAGACCGACCGGTCCGGGATACGTTGGCTCTTTGGTCGATCTTCGTAGTAATACAGGCGCGGCGGTGTCTCTGGCGTCCGCTACGGGTCTTTCCAAAAGTCTGCCGCGCAACACGGAGCCGAGATGACTCGCGGCGACTACGGAGAGTTCCTCGTTGAAAAGCGGCTGCAAGAGTCTCGGTCCGGGTCGATCGAGGGAACCGTTTGCGAGACCGTTGATCAACGAAGGCGTCAAGTCTTCGAGTTCCGTTCTCCGTTTCCCACCCTCGTCCACTAACGTCACTAGGGGACTCTCCTCCTCGAGGCCCATCAACTGAACCCCGTAACGTAACGCTCCGATGCGATCCAGGAAGGCCCATGCCAATCCAGACGCCGCGGACGGCGTCTCCGACAATAACAACGTCTGATATATATCGCAAGTTGCGCGCGGACCAACCGTGCCAGCCAGTCGAAGAGCCTGCGGATCCTTGCGAGACATTATGCTGATCGACAACTTGCCACGGGTCAACAAACGGAGATCGGTTCCGGAAAGCGCGCTACGAATCTCACCAAAGTTCAATTCGTTGGACGGCTTTTTCACCACTATCTCCTCGGTAAGGACCACGTAATCCTTCTCCTGATGTTCCAGCTGAACGATCAGCGGAACGTCAGCTACGTCGTTTGGCAGGAAGAGACCGTTGAAGACGAGCGATACGTGGATCGATGGCGTCGAGGCGGATGAGGCGGATACGATCGCTGTCGCGCCCGCGCCGGACATCAATGATCGATCGACGCCCATCGTCGGTTCTAACAGCGAGGAGAACTGCTCGCTCGACAATGCGCGGTAACGAGACACCTGACCGGTTAGACTCGACGAAGGTTCCCAGATGAAGGAAACGTGCAAGCGTTCCTCGCGCAATAATTTACGATAGTCGCGCGGGACGCGTCTCCATACGCCGCAAAGCTTGCCAGTGGCATTTTGATAGGCACCACCGATCGGATCGATCACCTGTTCCTCGAGGATACTGCCGGATCCATCGACGAACTGTATGCTACGCGGACGAGGCGTCGATGCGGACAAATAAAACGAGTAGTAGAGATTTTTGCGATGGAAGCTGAAGCGACCGGTCGCTAGATAATTGTACGCGCTGTTGTACGCCGACGTTGGATTAGAGTTGTCGCGATGCAAAGATTGCGACGTTCTGCCCGTTAGTAAAGTGCCGAAATCTGCAATCATAGATGCGAGAGAGACGCTCGTTGGTTCAAGCTCAAATTTCATCAGCTAGACTAAGGAGTTGCATACGTATCGATAAATAATGGATGGCAATTATTGACAGATGGACAATTAATATTTCTCAATCTTTCTCAATTTTTAACCTTGCTCTTTGAAAGAACAAGAAACGATACATCGACAGTTTTTTTTTACAAATAGAGGAGGGAATCTTACGTTTCAAGCTTCGTTCCTCTTCCTCCGAAGTCAGTTGCGCCGGCAAATCTTGCACTATGTCCGTGTCTGCAACAAAGTTTATTTTATCGTTTAAATTTGGGCATTTATTGCCATTTTATCGCTCGATACACAATTCTTTCATTCATTTAACGTTCCCGTTTATTACTCGTTGTCAATTAAAAACATAAAGATTATATGTATTTGCGAACATTTTCTTTCGTTGCCAAGACGGGACGGGACGGTTTTCAACATTTTCAGCCGAGTTGAATGCGCTTGATGTTAAAAATAATTTAGTTAAAACAACCTAGACGAGGAATTCTCGTTGCTTTTAATCGATGCTGAAGGAGATCGATACCATACGTATAGAAATTGGCGCGCACACATGTACAAACGACTCGCGCGAGTTTTAAAATTAAATATATATTTATAAAGGAAAGAAGGATAAAACACGCGCACAAGAGAAGTGTTTTCCACTTTGTTTTGCACATGGTACGAGAAGCAGACGCCCATCGGCCCGATGGCAACTCGTCGTCGCGCGCTCTCTCTCTCTCTCTCTTTCGCAGAGGATAGGCATAAAATAAAAATAAAGGGTCAATCGTCGATCATCGATCGTCGATCGTCGATGGGCAACACTGACTCGATTCAGCAGCCGGTGGTGGTATGTGCGTGGCATGGGCATGGCACGGATCATAAAGAATGCCTGCGCGCGGTAGGAAAAAGAGTCGGCTGGCGCCAACCGCTGCTACTTTGAATGTTACTTTTATGGCGCATACCGCGCCGGTTCAGCGCCACGGAGACGTTAATTGCCCTCGCGCAAAACGTACAGCACGCCTGCCCTGCCTCTCTCGACACGCGTGAGACCAACCACAGTTATCGACTAAACTATTTCCGGCTAATTGAATCTAACCGAGACGGACGGCGCGACATTCATTCCATCGCGCCATTAACATTGGAAAAGGAATACACGACGATTCGCGAACGCGATAAACGATAAACGATCGCAATCTGTCGAGCCTACCTGTCGCGTCCACCTTTCTACGTCTCGCGCCGTCCTCGCCTTCTCTTTCTTCTCGCGTCGATAAGTTAACCAGTCTCTTACACTTTTTACGAGAAAAACAATTTTTGCCAATTCCACAAGGCTACACGTCGGCGGGCTATAATCGTTTCAAAGTTTATTCGCGTTATCGTTTCGAGCGAAACAACGATCGCTGCGCGGGATTACCGAGAAAACAGATTCGAACCTTGCAATTTCGCTCGGTCGGCCGGTTAAACAAACATCCAGACGCGAATAAAAATCGGCAATAGTCTCGCTCGTAAAGTATTTTCGTCCCTCTCCTCTTTTTATTCCTTTTTATAGCCGCGGACGCGTATGTCAGTAACGTCCAATTCGTTTTCGTAACGTCAAAGTTCGCATTTTCGCAGTCGTACGACAATCGAATGAGAATCGATGCGACGGTCCAATCGACGAGGTCAAGGGTCGCGATACATTTCCTCGCGCAACGTAAAAGAAAGGCGCTGATAATCGCGTCAAGTTTCACCTTTCATCAGCCGGGGCAACGATGATGACAATGACGGCGAATGGTCTCGCGCGGAAAATAAATTCGACGCGCGAGCTTTCTACGAGAACAAAGGAGAGAGCGAGAGAGAGATGTAAAAAACGATTCTATATATATTATCGTTATTGGTCACGGCGGGATATCGCGGCGACAACCGGAGTGCTTTATCAAAAGTGTCACGTTAACCTAATTGCGCGATAAATATATGCGCGTCTTTTTCGTCGCATCGCCAATAGCTGCGCGATACGCGACCGTAAAAATGTAAACGACTCTGGATCTATTTATAAGCGCTCGATCCGATGAATTTGTATAAACGATATAAAAGACTCGTCCTCTACCCCCCGCTGGACAATTCGTATCCATTGCAACAATCTCTCTCTCTCTCTCTCGCCTCATCCGCCCATCTATTCTTATTCCCACCGCGTGCGTTTAGCCCGATCATTACGTATGCTAATATTTACATTTAGATTGCACGGCTTAATCGAAGTGACGCCATGCGGTAATATAGCCGGCGCCATGGCGCTAAACCCGTGGCGTCCGTCCTCGTCTCCTCTCGCTCCGCTTCTCTTCGACGATTACAACTCGAGAGTCGCCTCTCGAGAGAAGAACGCGAGAGATCGGTCAATCTTGCCACCTAAATCTCTTCTTTTTCTCATCCGTTGTTTCGTCTCCTCTTTTGGCCATTTCCTTTCACCGCTAGGCAAGCCATTCGTCTAGGCATTCATCTCACTCATCTATCTCTCTCTCTCTCTCTCCTTCTCCGCTTATATATCTCTAAATAAAGATGCGGAATTTCTTTTTAGCGTCATTCCTGAAAATTGCGGCAGAATCGGCGGTGGCGATTAAAAAAGATTATTCTAGTTTGTATCCGTTTAGAACGCAATTTATCAATTTGCGCAATACATTCGGCAACTTTTCGGTTAAACAATTTAAATGTAAAAGGCAAGGCGAGGTAACGCAAAAGCGATAGCATCGCTATGCGAGGCGAAACATTTCGTGGCAATTTGCGCTCATTACCGTTGCTGTGACGCACGCCAAGCTTATCTGCCAACCTTATCAGTGCGCGAGATACGCTACTTTCACCAGCATCGGCGGCTCGCGGGCCAAATTCTTCGAGAGCTCCCCCAACGGAGCCGGCCCAACGCCGTCTATTTCTCCTCGCCAGGATACCTAATCCGTATCGCCGCTATACCCGCCATAGTCGCGGTAGAATGCGGATGGAGTAAGGCGCATAGCCGAGATACCCGGACAGATTGCCCTCCCGATCATATCGAGAAAATAAAATAAAAAGGGAACGAAATATTCATCGCGACGGACGGTTAATCGGAATCGAAAGGAGGAAAAGAGGATCGACCCGAGACTAATCGGATTTGTATTGCATAACTTACTCAAGTCACCGGGACAGGATTTGCAACATCGACCCGGCAGTAAAACTGGTTCGTCGCACGTGAGTTTGGGACATTCGTTCTTTATATTGCGACATTGGACTCTGGCGATGATCCGTCGTTTCTTTTGCACCTGAAAGCAACAAACAAAGTCGTCGGTTAGATCGCGGAGCAAACTTGTCTTTTGCACTTTTGTCTTTTCGGGGAAAAAACAAAACCGTGCTTATATTCTTAGCGAGCGGCGTAACACGGTGAATCATTTCATCCTTGTTTACAACCAACAAGGATAAAGCGATACACCGTGTCCATCCTGTGTCGCTTGAATGATGTGATGAAGAATGTCGATGTAAGAAGAAAAATTTGGCATTTTCATCTCTCTCTTTATCCAGAGCATCGCGCGCGAATATTATGTATATATATATATATATATATATATATATATATATATATATATATATATAAATGTTCAAACTCGATCAACATTGTACTTTTCAAGATTGACACGACGCCTGACTCTCTTCTCGTCTCCAAGGCGACGATAAAGGGAGAATAAGCGTTGCGTTCGACGAACCGCAACATTACTGCGATGACTTTAAGCGAGGAGACACGACTTCTCGTAACGACGTGTGATTCACGCGACGCGTCTGCTTCTTCTACAACCAAGATCGCGACCTATCAATAGCTCCTCGTGTACACGAAAGAGGGGAACTGTCATTCTTCCGAAGTCTAAAAATAGACGCCGCGCTCACGAGCCGAACATAACACAGCGCAGCATCTCTCTCATTTTCTTCCGTCTTTCTTTCATTTTCATCCATCTTTTCTTCGGTCCATCGTAATACACATTTTTCAACGATATTTTTTAACCCGTCAGTTATTAGCGCGACGTTATCGAAATGCGCAAATGCGCTTTTCCAAAATCAAATTCAAAGCTCTTTCGAATCTTATCTGACATTACTTTAGTCGAAAAATCTCCCTGCCTCGTTACCGCAAGAAAGAGATTGGAGTCTAATCGTATTAATTAACATTCATCAGTTGTTTACACTCGCATGTTTTTTATCGCTTTTATTTAGTGCGCACGTAAATGTAAATTTCCCAACATTTTCAAATTAAACGAGTAGTAGGTGCGAAATAATAAAAAATAATAAATTTTATAACAATTTTATATAATAATTATAAACTCAAAGAAATTATATATCACGACGCTCACATTTATTTTCGTCACGTTCCAATACTTTTGATTTAAGATTTGAATCAAAACGATGCGATAACCGAATAAACCGAATTGTTATGCGAAAATATTCCATATGCAACATCACCAACACTTTTAAACATGACAGTAAAGCGTACGACATAATTGATGAATATTTATGAAAACGCGTCGGGTAAATCTATCGAAAATAGTAAATTATAATTATACGAGGAAAGGTATATAATCGAGGTGTTAGGTTTATATAGAAAATTTATGTTTTCCCATAACTTCTTCCATACTACGAATAATGCATTCCAACGCACGAATGTGTAAACAAACATGTACAACTACTCGTATGTACAAACATACATCCATCTCTGGAAAGCCATCGATCGCGTTTATATCGTTTATACACGAATGAGAAAAAAATTTACAGGACATAAACGGAATATGAATGACAATTATTGCACGATTGAATAAATATTCATATTGTATATGTATGTTTGTGGCGTAAATTAAATTTTTTCTCTCAAATTAAATTCAGCGTTTTCGAGTGTCGTATGCGTTACTTTCGTGCATCAATGTAATATACGCTACTTATTAGTACAAGACATTAAATTATATGTATATATTGCGCGCGCGCGAGAAATAATTATCTCAACGATACTATACCATACTACATTCTTTTATCGTTGCACGTAAAGATTTATTCCGATAAAAATTTATCCATCTTTTTGTTTTATACGAGTTTAACACGTCTCGACTATCGATAAACATTAATGTTACTTAATTCGTCAGAAAAAAGGGGGAAAGAATCAACACAGACGATCGAAAAATTAAAACAAGACACGAGCATTTATAGCATGTTTCTCGACTGAATAAATTCCAAGGTAAAGAAAAAAGAGGCTACGAATTCTTTATTCATATATGCTAAAAAATTCCGGTGAGATATCTTACTGAAATTATTATATTAAATGTCATATATATTCGCCAAACGCTGCGGAATATGCAACGTGTCTTAATATGTGAATTATTGAAATGTCTGTATAGCGAGTTACGCGCATACATATATGTATACGCGCATTTTATTTACAAATAAATAAAATACAAGCTCATGTATTACGTACCGGTATACATTCGCACTTGATACAATACATGATTCCAAAAGGCGGTCCTAAATCCGCGAACCATATCGAGCCCAGTTCGCGAATCTGCTTGCCAAAAGTGCATTCTGAAACGAAGAGAAAAAAAGATTAACCGTCGATATTACATATCATCTAGTAATATACATGTTACAAGTACAAATTATAATAAATTAAATATCGCCCTATTTAATTTATCGATAATATTTTACAGATAAATTTGCGTGTTTCGCGATTAAGAATACATTATTAAGAAAAGTAGGTGAGGTGCGTATGTATTCCAGGTGCAAATAATGCAAATACACTTCCGTTGCCATCATTGACGAATAAGGCGCAATTTGACGCAGGTATAACGTAATACGTTCGGCATGTGCATGAGCCGTACGCATATTCATTCGCACATTTGTCGATAATATGCGTCGCGCGTTCTTTAAACCATCGTTGAATGAAACTTGGTCAACGTCGCAATTTTATTCCATATGTAAAACTTTAGCTATTGTTTACAAATATCGCGCAACCGGTCGATCGGTTAATCGATGCCGTCAGTGACACAGTGACAGGAATCTCTTGACCGTTCCGTGCTGAATCACAATTGGAATTGTGTGCGTGTGTGCGCGCGCGCGTGTGTTTTGCATAAGGATCAGAATTTCTTAACTAGCAAAAATGCAATATGTATATATTATTAAATTAATAGTAATTTATATTCATGGTTTTTAAATAATATAATTTCTTAAACTCCTCTTCTCTCTCGCCAAACAGAAAAGAAAATGAAAACGATCGAAAGCTACCAAGAGTCTCATTGTTTTATATCGACGCCATTTTCTCCTCTCGACGTAAAAATAAATGCGGACCTGAAAGCACTCTGAAAATAACGTAATGGGAATTGTTTTCATCGGGGCGTATTATGCACAGCCATGTTTCACAATGTTTTTATTTTTGTCGAGCGACTATAGCGCATTGCCGTTTTTCTCAATTCATAATCAATGTAGGGAAATAGAGATTGGCAGAATTCTATTAAAACTATTTATAAAAGAACACTTTTACACTATATGCATTTTACTCATTTTCTTAACGGGTGAGTAAATCAATTGTTTACACATGCAGATAATATATATGCCATGTACAAGTTTATGCGCATGACTTGGATACATGTATAGAAAAGAAAAAATATGAAAAAGAAAAAAATACATGTGCAGATTTCTCATCACTGTTGATCAAAAATTATTACAAAACGAAAAGGGAGACAGAGAAAGAGAAAGAAAGAGAGAGATGGAGGAAAGGGAAGAGGAAGAAAAAATTTGATCGTGTGCAAGTTGGAAAAAAATACAGAAAAATTCATTTTGCACGAGGTCATTGCACTGCGCGTACTAAATCGTTCCAAGCTCGCAAAATCGCGGCCTTTAGTAACTAGGAGTCTGAAGAGTGAAAGAGAGAGAGAGAGAGAGAGAGAGAGAGAGAGAGAGAGAGAGAGAGAGAGAGAGAGAGAGAGAGAGAGAGAGAGAGAGAGAGAGAGAGAGAGAGAGAGTCAAGCTACAACATTGAAAATATGTGAATCACGCGGTATATATATTGCCGTAAAGTAATCTATTAATTCTCTCTCTCTCTCTCTCTCTCTTTCTATCTCGTTGGCATGATAACAGTGATTTGTTGAATTTTTCAGTTTCGTTCCCTCGCACCTTTTTCACGCGTGCAACGCGACATACTTTCGGATATATACATGTGCATATATAAATAAATTTATTTTTTTTTAACTCTTTAACTTTAACTAATAAATGGTTAATTATTTTCAATTGCCAAGGCCTAATATGTAGTTGATAAAGTATATTAGTTTAATAATTAAACGATTAATATTTAAATCGCAGAGTTTAAGTTTAAAGTTTCAAGTAACGATTTTACAAACTGATTGAAAAAAACACTCACGAGCGGGTACATTTTTATTGCGATGCCATGAATATGTCTTCGCTCACGATAACATAAATAATGCGAGCGTGGAAAAGAGCATGTACTGGAATACACTAGATCATAATCCGCAAACGGTTAAGCGAATGGCAAACATGTGCTACCTTTCGTTTTTCGCTTTTCCGCCCTCACATTCTCCTCTGTGTATGCGTGCGGGTATGCGTGCGCGCGTATGCGTGCGCGCGGTCTCTCTCCAACTCTCACGTTGGATAGATTTACGAACGTGACGTCTATCCGTTGATTCTCGCTGTTCGCTTCTTCCTCTCTCGTTCTTTCTTTTCGGCATCTATCCTCTCGTCTCGTCTCGTCTCGAGTTTCACATCACCTTTAGCATCGCGTCCGCTCTCACGTCTCATCGTAACATAGCGATGCGAAGCGCATACACACGAGAGACGGTTATCCTATCGCCATCACGGTGCGGAGAAATGACGATTGACGAAATAAAAGAAAACCGGATTTGTTTGTAAAACTTAGAAATTAATCTTTAGAAATCGCAAGGCTGACTTTTCCCTTCATTTTTCAAGTTGGTCCGTTTCTTTTTTTTGTACGATATTTAAAAATTATAAACTTGTTTTCTATGAAATTTAAAATCTAAAAAATTGTTCGATAAAAAACATTTTGCTATCAATAATCGGTTTTCTACAAAGCTGTATAAAGAATACTTAATAATACTTGCAAGTTTAATTTCGAGTTTTCGCCAAAATGATGTATAAAAGTGGATAAAAGAGCAACATTTATATACATAACGCTATATAATTATGATCTCTCTCCCTCTCTTTAAATTTCCTGTAAAGATGGGAAGCGCATCGTGCGCGCGTAGACATTGCTTTATGCGACAACGGCTGCCCGAAGCATTTATACATGGATCGAGAAACGGCACCCTTACCTCCGTAAAGGTATCGCGGCGGCATCGCGACTTTGGACAATGTTCGAGCGCCACTTTCTCGAGCGCGATGCCGCCTGCCTTGCCTCATTTTACTTCATCTCGCTTCGTCTCCCCTCGCCACCCTCCACCCGACGCTACGCCGCGCTATGCCGCGTCGCGCCGCGCCGCGCCGCGCCGCGCCGCGCCGCGCCACGCCTCGCCGCGTCACGCCGTGCCGGCTCTCGAGACGTTTTAGCGTCTCCGCTAAAAGCGGAGAGACACGTAGGCGATGTGCGATGTCGTCCGATTATTTATGTATGCGTGAACTGCGCTGCGCTGCGCTGCGCTGCGCCGCGCCGCGCTATACCTGATACCGATGATGCGTACATTTACGTGCGACGCGTACCATTATTCGCGTACATTTTACCTTGCTTTTTTTCGCTTTATTTATTTACTTTTTTTTCCATTTCAACCTTGTTTATATTAAAGTCGTGTTTTTTCAATTTCATACAATTTTAAACGAATCAGCGAGTTCAAAAACAGGTCGAAAAATAATATCGTTTCATGGATTTAATTCTTTCATACGCTTGCGCTTTCTCTCTCTCTCTCTCTCTCCGCTTAGTTTATTTCCTTTAAAACACATGATACGCGGGCATATCATGTTTAAATCACATGTATAATGCGTATCAATTTATGTCAAAGTGTCATCTCGACAGAAATTTAAATTTTTTAAAACTATCCATCTCTAGACATTATTATGATATATATTATTCGATTCCTATGTAAACGATTCTTTTTTTTGGATAAATTATTTTCTCGATATTATTCTTCCTCGTGTTGTTTTTCTCTAGCTTCCAAAAATATTTCCAAAGAGACGCATGCATCATTTTACACGATTGACTCTACGTATATGAGAAAGACGTGTACTAAAAAGAATCGAAAAAAAAAAAAAACAGTACACTTCTCTCGTAAAAGTCATATACATGAAATGATGCATGATGTACATAAATTGTTCCAGTGTCGGACACACACACACATATATATATATATATATATATATATATATGTATCCCTGCATACATGTCCCTACACTTACGTGATATCACGCACGGCTCAGAAATGCCGACCTTGCGCCTGCGACTTGAGTCAGTGCACGCGTAATGCGATGCATTCACGTTCGCCAAGCCTTTCGGCCAATCCCTCCGTCGGTCGCGCGACGACCGCGCTGATAAGCGATGAGGGCGGCGGCGGCGGCGGCGGCGGCAACGGCTGCGACTGCGGCTGCGGCGGCGGCGACCGCAAATCTACGACGTACATAGAATATCTGTATGTATGCACGCACGCGCGCGCGCGCGATATGTAAATATACCGTCGGACGAAATATCAGGTAAGGCGTAAACATTTTAGACGCTATCGTTTCTTTTTCTCCTAGTGAAAAATACATTTTCTTCTCGATTCGATTAAAAAGAAAAATACACTATCAAGAAATAGAAAGAGAAGAGGGGAAGAGAGAGAGAAAGAGAGTCATTGCGAGTATCGACTATATATTTGGGATTACGCCAAGACTAAAGCTTTGCTTAATTTCGTCAAAATTTTGTCTGTCAAATAAACCGCTATTACAAGTCGACAAGTGGCTCGTTCGTATTATTACAAATTTCTCCGCTGGCACGCGTCAATGCTCTCGCGAGCCAAGAAACTGATTAATTCAATTTTGCAAAAGTACAATATATCGATGGTACGTTTCGCGCGTCACACGAGGAAAAATATATCCGTAAAAGCATACATTTTCCAAAGAGGAAATAACTGGCAATAACGCACATTTTGCGCGTATTAAATTATTTATTTTTTCAAATACGTGACGGGAAATGTGTTCATCGCAAAAAAATACACTCATCGTTGTAGCGGCGAAATAATGAGAATTGGATAATCGTTGACCGATGACGCGCCTACTTTTCCTTCCTCTGTCGTGCGAGAATAAATACACGAGAATTATAAATAATACATTACGTTTCGAACAAGTCGGTTTGATTCGATTTATCGAAGCGACGATCGATCGTTGCTGACAATGAAAAAAAAAAAAAGGAAAAGACCTTTGCCGGTTTAGCTCAAGGTTATTAATCGAAATAGTTTTTTTTTTTTTTATGTAACGTACATGCACGCGCGCTGAGAAAGAGAGAGAGAGGAGAATGCCAATTCACTATACAGCTTGAGACTACATAAGTTAAACTAACAGTTTAGAAGAAATCGTATAAATGAATTAATATA